TGGGGATCCAGCCTACCCCTGAATGCCATGGCTCATGAAGCCGTACACAGGCAGCCTGGACAGTCATAAGGAGCTGTTCAACAACTGGCTGAGCAAGTGCAGAATGGTGGTAGAATGTGCATTTGGACTGTTTAAAAGCGCACTGGCGCAGTTTACTGACTAGGTTAGACCTCAGTGAAACCAATACTCCCATTGTAATTTTGCTTGCTGTGCGCTCCACAGTATCTGTGAGAGTAAGGGGGAGACATTTATGGCGGGGTGGGAGGTTGAGGCAAATCGCCTGGCTGCAGGTTACATGCAGCCAGACACCACGGCAGTTAGAAGAGCACAGGAAGACGCGGTGCACATCAGAGAAGCTTTGAAAACCAGTTTCATGACTGGCCAGGCTACGGTGTGAAAGTTCTGTTTGTTTCTCCTTGATGAAACCCCCCGCCCTTTGGTTCACTCTACTTCCCTATAAGCTAACCACCCTCCTTTCCCCCCTTTGATCACGGCTTTCAGAGGCAATAAAATCTTTGCTGCTTCACATTCATGCATTCTTTAGTAATTCATCACACAAATAGGGGGATAACTGCCAAGGTAGCCCGGGTGGGGTGGTGGAGGAGGGAAGGACAAGGCTACACTGCACTTTAAAACTTAAAAACTTTAAAAATTTAAAACTTATTGAATGCCAGCCTTCTGTTGCTTGGGCAATCCTCTGGGGTGGAGTGGCTGGGTGGCCAGAGGCCCCCCACCGCGTTCTTGGGCGTCTGGCTGAGGAGGCTATGGAACTTGGGGAGGAGGGCAGTTGGTTACACAGGAGCTGTAGCGGCGGTCTGTGCTCCAGCTGCCTTTCCTGCAGCTCAACCATATGCTGGAGCATATTAGTTTGATCCTCCAGGAGCCTCAGCATTGAACATTGAATCCTGCCTCCTGTCATCACGCTTCCGCCACCTATCCTCTTCAGCCTGCCACCTCTCCTCGTGTTCATGTTGTGCTTTCCTGCACTCTGACATTGTCTGCCTCCACGCATTTGTCTGTTCTCTGTCAGTGTGGGAGGACAGCATGACATCAGAGAACATTTCACTGAGACTGCGCTTTTTTCGCCTTCTAATCTTTGCTAGCCTTTGGGAAGGAGAAGATCCTGTGATCCTTGAAACACATGCCGCTGGTGGACGAAAAAAAAGGGACAGTGGTATTTAAAAAAGACACATTTTATTAGAACAATGGGTACACTCTTTCACAGTAAACCTTGCTGTTAACATTACATACATAGTACATGTGCTTTCATTACAAGGTCACATTTTGCCCCCCTCACCACATGGCTAACCCCTCCCCCTCCCCCCACTGCGTGGCTAACAGCGGGGAACATTTCTGTTCAGCAACAGGCAAACAGCCCAGAAGGAACAGGTATCTCTGAATGTCCCCTTAAGAGAAAGCACCCTATTTCAACCAGGTGACCATGAATGATATCACTCTCCTGAGGATAACACAGAGAGATAAAGAACGGATGTTGTTTGAACGCCAGCAAACATATGCTGCAATGCTTTGTTCTGCAATGATTCCCGACTACGTGCTACTGGCCTGGCATGGTAAAGTGTCCTACCATGGTGGATGGAAAAAGGCTGTCCTCCCCAGAAACCTTTTGCAAAGGCTTTTGGGAGTACATCCAGGAGAGCTTTATGGAGATGTCCCTGGAGGATTTCTGCTCCATCCCCAGACACGGTAACAGACTTTTCCAGTAGCTGTACTGGCCGCGAATGCCAGGGCAAATTAATCATTAAACATGCTTGCTTTGAAACCCTGTATACTATTTAAAAAAGTACACTCACCAGAGGTCCCTTCTCTGCCTGGTGGGTCCAGGAGGCAAACTTGGGTGGGTTTGGGGGGTACTGGCTCCAGGTCCAGGGTGAAAAACAGTTCCTGGCTGTCGGGAAAACTGGTTTCTCCGCTGGCTTGCTGTGAGCTGTCTTCAACCTCCTCCTCCTCATCTTCCTCATCCTCAAAACCTGCTTCCGTGTTTCCTCCTACTCCATTGAAGGAGCCAAAGCACAGGGTTGGGGTAGTGGTGGCTGAACCCCCTAAAATGGCATGCAGCTCATCATAGAAGCGGCATGTTTGGGGCTTTGACCCAGGAGCGGCCGTTTGCCTCTCTGGTTTTCTGGTAGGCTTGCCTCAGCTCCTTAAGTTTCATGCGCCACTGCTTTGGGTTCCTGTTATGGCCTCTGTCCTTCATGCCCTGAAGATTTTTACAAATGTTTTGGGATTTCGAAAACTGGAACTGAGTTCTGATAGCATGGATTCCTCTCCCCATATAGCGATCAGATCCTGTACCTCCCATTCAGTCCATGCTGGAGCTCTTTTGCGATTCTGGGACTCCATCATGGTCACCTCTGCTGATGAGCTCTGCATGGTCACCTCTGCACGTGCCTGCAGCTTGCCACGCTGGCCAAACAGGAAATGCGATTCAAAAGTTTGTGGGCCTTTTCCTGTCTACCTGGCCAGTGCATCTGAGTTGAGAGTGCTGTCCAGAGCGGTCACAATGGAGCACTCTGGGGTAGCTCCTGGAGGCCAATACCGTCGAATTGCGTCCACGCTACCCCAAATTTGACCCAGCAAGGCCGATTTCAGTGCTAATCCCCTTGTCGGGGGTGGAGTAAGGAAATCAATTTCAAGAGCCCTTTAAGTTTAAAAAAAAAAAAAAAAAAGGGGGCTTCGTTGTGTGGACGCATGCAGGGTTAAATCGATTTAAGGCTGCTAAATTCGACCTCAACTCCTAGTGTAGACCAGACCTTATAAAGTTTGCAGATGATACTAAGCTGGAATGGGGTTGCAAGTGCTTTGGACGATAGGATTAAATTTCAAACTGATCTGGACAAGCTGGAAAAATGGTCTGAAGTAAATTGGATGAAAATCAATAAGGACAAGTGCAAAGTACTCCACTTAGGAAGGAACAATCATTTGCACGCATACAAAATGGGAAATGACTGCCTAGGAAGGAGTACTGTGGAAAGGGATCTGGGGTCATAGTGGATCACAAGCTGAATATGCGTCAACAGTGTAACACTTGCAAAAAAAGCAAATGTCATTCTGGGAGGTATTAGCAGGAGTGTTGTAAGCAAGACACGGGAAGTAATTCTTCCGCTCTACTCCATGCTGATTAGGTCTCAACTGGAATATTGTGTCCAGTTCTGAGCGCCATGTTTCAGGAAATTGGAGGAAGTCCAGAGGAGAGCAACAATGTGATTTAAAGGTCTAGAAAACATGATGTATGAGGGAAGACTGAAAAAGTTGGGTTTGTTTAGTCTGGGGTAAAGGCGACATGACAACATTTTTCAAACACATAAAAGGTTGTTACAAGGAGGAAGGAGAAAAATTGTTTTTGTTAATCTCTGAGGATAGGAGAAGAAGCAACGCGCTTAAATTGCGGTAAGGGAGGGGTAGGTTGCATATTCGGAAACTGTCCTGGTAGTTAAGCACTGGAACAAACTGCCAAGGGAGATTGTGGAATCTCCATCACTGAAGGTTTTTAAGAGCACATTAGACAAGCACCTGTCGGGGATGGTCTAGATAATACTTGGCCCTGCTTTGAGTGCAGGGGACTGGACTAAAAGACCTCTCAAGGTCCCTTCCAGTTCTGTTATTCTATAGTTTGAATCATTTCTACCCCATCTCTTTCCAGGCTGTCTGCTCTCAGCATGCTGCCCAAAGAGATGGCATTTACCTTCCTGGGTGCAGAGGAGGCCCTCAGCCTTGCAGAACCCTTTTATCACTTGAGTCCTCTCTGTACCTGGATTCCATCTCCCTTTCTTTTAAGGCATGAGAAGCTGTGGTCCACTCTACTTCTCACTCTTCCACCCTCCTATAAAAATGTAGCAGCTCCAGCTGTTCTAATTCCTTCTTTCTGTAAAATGTGCTGTAGTGCTTGGGCCACTCTGTTCCCAGTCTCCCTCCTTCTCTTCCAGGAAAGGTGCTGAAAACTGCTTTGCCTACTCAGTTCACTTGTTTGGCCAAAACCTATACATGCCCTGAATCGTTAGGTGTTACAATCCCCGATTCTGCACATTTGCATTAAAACACTTAATATAAGAAATTTTGTCAGTCAGTTTCCAAAACAGCCTTATCTTTTGGAATTTTCTTACTTCTGATTGCTTGATACTGCAAACTGTTAACATTCGATTAACAGTTGTTGGGTTTTTAAAAAGAGAGAGAACTGATGGGAAGGAAGATATTGGGAGGTAATTAGCTTGCTGAGCTGATGACCTCTATTAATGAACCTTGTTAAGTTCACTGCTCTACCCCCAATTCAGTCTGAAAGATCGGTAAGTTCCTTTCTCATCAGTTTGTCTATGCTGTGCACACGTCAGATTCAAGTTCCTTTCTCTGCAACTTAGAAGCTCCATTGTCTACTATATACATTTTCTGAAATAAGTAGTGCTAACTTAAGGAACTGTGCACGTATTTTTTCACTCTTGCCAAACTTAAGCTACTGAAAGGATTTTGCTCAAACTTTCCGGGGGGTGGGGGGGAATCACCTTCAAGGCAGAAACTAAGTAGAAAATTTCAGCTGAAATGGGGAAACATTTGAAAAGTAGTGAGCATATAAAAACAGGGACATAATTTAAACTTTTGCAACCTTCGTTATATTAGGTAACATTAAGTGCCCATTGTAATAAACAAAGTAACTGTTTCCATGAGTCATCTAATAGGTAATGTTGAATGGCACCTAGAAATCCATACTTTTCAGAGGTTTTCTGGTATGTGTAAAAGCTAGTTTATCTCAGCAAATGTTGAAATCATTGTTATGCCAACCACTATAGTTTAGGCAGCATAAATGATGGTCACAAATGTTAAAATTGGTAGATTTTTACACCATGAATAGCATTCTCTCTGATTTAAGAATCTCACAGGCATTCACAATGTATACTTCATGTAGGTGATAATGACTACAGAGTTATTTCAAACCTAGTTTGTGTTGTTTTTACTGTTGTGTTTCTAATGCTGACTTTCTTTTATGGTAGGGAGACTTATGGTGCACCGTCTTATCAAAGTGCTAGTCCATTGGAGACGAAATGTTTGCTGTCTGGTTTAGACCATAATGAAGCACAGGATAAGACTGAAGGAATGAGCTGTATGATACATGACAGGAGTGAAAGTGACTTACATAACAGAAATTTTGAAAGCCCACGTTCTTCTGCTGCAGATGGCACAGTTGTTAGGTATTTGAATGACCGACCAGCAATTGATGCTTTGCAGAACATTGAGTCTCTTTTTAAAGCTGTAACCCCTACAAGATCAGAGGAGGAAAAGACTAATGGGTCCAGAAGAGATGAGAGCAGCACTAAAACTGCTTTTAGTAGCACAGCCCAGGATGCTGAACTGAAAGGGATAAGGCTGGCAGAATCTTCTCTTTCCTCCACTAGTACTTCCAGTGCCCACAGGCTGGAAATCTTAAAACGGAGGCAGCATGATGCTAAATTGCATGATGCTAAATTGGAGAAGCTGAAAGAGCGGATTAGGAAGCAATGGGAACATTCGGAAGAATTAGGCAGCAAGGGACAACTTCTGGGATATGCCGAGCAGCCTGTAGTGGTAACAAATGTGGAGAATGCAGTGACGCCGAAAGTCAGAAAAGTGGCAGTTGCACCCCCTGCTCCGACATATAAAGGTATGTAGACTCTCTATCTTGTGTTGTTTACATGTGGCACCCCGGCTTGAAGCAGAGACCGGGCAGCAGCCCAGCTCAGGAACCAGGAGTTGGCTTTCTTGTCAATTTGGAGCCGTGAAACTGACAAGAATGACAGCCAAAATCCAATGAAAGAAACACAATGTCTACGTAGATCTAACTACACTGACATAAGCTCTATAACTCTCATTGAGGTGGTTTTATTATGTTGGCATAGTAGGGGAGTTACATCAGCGGGAGGAGCATTTCAGTGTGTACACCTCCACTGTTTTGTCAGCAAAACTCTGTAGTGTAGACATAGCTTAATAGCACAATTTTTTTCTCAAGGTTTTTAAAGTGTTCTGCAAGATCTAGATAAAACTTTGTTTATCGTAGGTTTCAATCCTGCTGAGACAAAGATTCGCACTCCTGATGGAAAGGTGTGGCATGAAGAGGAATTTCATAACATCAGTAGGGAGTTGTATCGCGATATAGCACTCCAATTAACAGGTGAGAAGCAGATCTAAGCTTATTAATACACACAGGCTTCTCTGAGAAGCAGCTAGGGTTGCTACACACACAACTTAACTGACACAAACCCATGGCAAGTGAAAAGTTGAGCTACCTAATAGAGCATATGCTGTATTCCAGTGTTTCTTAAACTTATTTGATCACACCATTCTTTGTGTCTGTAGTAGTTTATGCCCCCCTGCCACACAAGTAAATATACCAATAAAAAAAAATGCAACTCTTGCTAAATATTAAAAACAGTTAGGCATTGATTCAAACATAGCCATTTAAGTATATAGTAATGTAAATTTTAAGTGAGATGCTGCCGTTTTGGGTACCTAGCCAGCAGTCGCCACTCTTTGGCTGCCCAGTTCTGAAGGCAAGGCAGAGGGCAGCATAAAATGTGCGCAGTACGCTTTTATTTTCCCTAAAGCTTCTCTTTCGCTGCCTGCCTGCCACCCACACCAGAATACATTCCATGCCTCCCAGTTTGAGAACCTCTGCTGTACTCCATCCACAAGCACTAGAAGTGGTTGAAAAAACTTCCCCCCACCCCCGCAAAACATTTTTAACTAACAGGATTTTTTTAAATAAGTCAAATGATTGTTTTATTTTGTATTGGAAGATTTTGCAGATTGAAATGGAACAATATTTCATTTAATTTTGAAATTTCCCATTGAAAAATTTCATCAGGTCTTTTCCCACAATAAAATTGTTTTTGATGAGACCCCACTTTTTAGTGGGAAAATTTTTCATTTGACAAAATGCAGACAGTTCTAACAAATGCACACCTTTGGGTTACCACAACTACTACCACTATGTGGCACAGCTTTAATTCTGCCCCTTCTACGCACCTTTTTATCAAATTACTCACTCCCCAAATTAGTTGCGGAGATGTTTTGTGTCGTAGTGTGTTGTGGTGGAGTGGGTAGCCATAGTAAAGGGGGTGATAGAAGGCTTGAATCCTAGGAGCTGCATATTTAAGGTGCAATACGTGGCCTGTTGTGGTAAAGTGTGTGCCTCTGGCTGCAGGAGATAGAGGGTACATGTATTATGAGGTAGCTTAACTTCTCCTAAACTGTTAGGAGTGGAAAGTCTTTTGATTAGCATATGACATGATCACTGGATGGTACAGATACATCAGTACCCAAAAAGTGACTTTGGTTGTCTTGACAACTCTTATCTCAGTTTCCCTTATAAGGGGTAAATTAAATCAAACCAGGTATTAATACACGAGAAGTCTCATGGTGCTTCTCCCTCAGCTCAAGAGAAACAGAAAGTTCAGCTGTATCCAACTTTCAAAAGAGGAGGAGGAGTGGAAAAGTTTTTCCAGAAAGAAGTGTGCCAGGGTAACTCTTCCCACGATCATATGTTGCTATGTAACTCTTCCCTAAAGAAGGGAGACAAAAAAAGTGAACTAGCTGGAAATGAAAAAAACATTGTCATGATGTACCATGATTTTTTTTCCTTACAGCACTCCTACATCAGTTTTGTCTGTTGTGAGGATTAGATAGGATCTTGAGGATTTTATAATTTACTTGTCTGTTTCTTTACTGCTGCTTTGTTAACAGTAATTTGATTTCAGGGTTATGAGTTTTTTGCAAGGGCTTGGCTTTGCTTATTTTACACTACCAAATGAACCTTTTTCTTTACGTGTTTATTAAATACACTGTGGCAAATTGCTGGCACGATTATGATGGGTTCCGCGCTTCCTCCTCTTGTTCTACTGTCCCACTAGTAACCCAGAGAAGGGTAGTGGAGAGAGAGGGACCCGGGCACGCCCTCTACTCCGGGTCCCAGCCCAGGGGCCCTAGGGATAGTGGCAAACCACTTGAACTAGGGCTTCCTTCCCCTGGGCTACTTCCCTCTCCTACTCTTCACCTTGTGGGACTTCCTGCCCTCTCTCTGCACAAGCCGGGTGTCTCTTTACCTAAGGGCTTGGTCTTCTAGCCAGCCATGGCACTTCTCCAAACTGCACTCTGCTCCAACTCCTTCCCCTGGCTGATGGAAGCAGGGGGTTTTTATCAGGTGACTGGCTTCAGGTGCTTTTAATTAATCTATAGAAACCTTTCTTCCCTCTACAGGGAATAAGGCTTCTCCTTATCCTGGGACTTACATATGTCTCCTATATCACTCTCCTGCTGCCTTCTGGCCATGCTGTATTACAACACTCAAAAAAGGGGGGAGGGAAACAATGAAAATGTTCAAAACTCAATGCAAGTGAATTGTTTTCAGTAATATCCCTTATTCCCTTTCTTTGTGTAGAGAAAAAAACCTTTGCTTGATAGTCTTTTTAATGGCATTAAATGTCCTTGTTGTGGCAGGGGATCAATTTTAGCGATAGTACTCAGGTTTTGTTAAAGCAAATGCTGTTTCATAAGACAAATGCATACAAAGGACAAAAAGAAAACAGTAATCAAAGATGCTAAAATGTAGCTTGGCTTTGCTTACCGTTCAGTTGCTGAAAGACCACAAGTATAGCACATGCCCATTTAGTCACTCCAAGTCCTTGGCTTTACTCCTCTTGCTCTGAAAAATGTTTGGCTGTTGTTGATTGTCCTTACTTTCCTCTGGCTGGTCTGTAGGATATTTTTACTGAGATAAGGCTGCTTTTTAGTTTGCCAGACTGGCTACAGAAAAATGATACAATTAAATAGCTTCTGATTCACTAAGCCAAAGAAAAAGAGGAGATGGGAGGAATAAAGTGGCAATGGAAATGGACACCCTAAGAGGGTGTAATGAGGATCTTAGGCTTTCATCTCGGGAGGTGCTTGGATAATACCAAGGATAAAATGTTGTCCAAATACCTGTTGTTATCTGGTCAGAACATATTTCAGGCCAAGGAAAAAGGACCAACGGTGTAATAGTAAATCTTTGGGCCCCAGTGTTAGTGATGGTGGCTGAAGTAATGGTGATCATGATGTCTTCCTTCACACTCAGAACTTGCTGCCAAGCTGAGGAATTTGACAAGTGATCCTCGCAAAAATGTCCAGAAAGAACAACAATCTATTTTTATCAAAATTACCCAGTCAAAACAAGCTTTCAATGGTCCACATATGTATGTTCTGCTATATTTGTAACTTCACCAGGAGCCTTGAAGGCTCCTAATTTAAGTGGTTTTTAGTTCAAACAAGCTTGCATTTGAATAATTTATAGAATTATGTGCTTTTTGAAATATTGTTGTCACTTTTACTTGTCAAAAAGATTGTTTACATCTTTCATCCATTTAAGATGTTTAAAGGATTCAACACGTGTCCCAGTAGATACCATCTCTCTTCAGAAATGGTCATTTTAAGCATAGTCCTTCTCAAAGCTCCAAAATGTTACGCCTATACAACAATCATTTGATAACACCTTCCCCTCCAGACACACACACAGACATTCACTTCTTATGCATTCTCTTCCAGTTAAATTTGGGATTTCTTAGTATCAGAATAAAGTAAGCTGTGGTTCTGACATGGGGTTATTAACACTATTAAGAGTAGATCTAGAAATATTGTCATTTCTTTTTTTTTGGGTGCCTTGTTTTAAAAATATGCTGAGATCACATAAATTATCCTGCAAATGTCTCCCAACAAAAAATAACTGGAGAATTTTGCACAAACTCTGGACTTTTATGGCTTTGTTATATAAGTGTTAAAGATCCATTTTGCCTGTGAGAGACTGTTCAGTTTCTAAAATTCAAAGGTCTTTTATCACTAAGCCTGTTCTTTAATGAATTTCCAAATTATTTAATGTAATTATTATTTTTTTCTCTTAATGTATTTAAAAATCAGAACAAGAAGACAATCTAAACTCTTTACAAAATCAGTTGGGGGCACTTTGAGAGCTGTAAGCAAAACTTAGCTTTTCCAGCTCTGTTCTAAAATCTTGTGGAATTCTCCTTAGCTATGTGTTATCTATCTGCTCTTGACCTTTGCACTCAAATTCACATTTGTTACCCTAGATTTTTGGAAATGTCCACTAGAAACTTTCGTTAGATGTACCTTCACAATATCCCACAGTGGATGACTGCTGTCCTCGGATGATGATAATGATGTGAGGTTTTTCTAACTAACTTGCACGATGCTTGTTGTCATTCTGCCAGCAGAATCAGACACATGCTAAATAGCATACAAGCAATTAAAAATGTATGCATGGTAATATAATCTTCAGATTTCTGGCTCTCACCTTCACTTCATTGACACCACTTAAAAGATTTATCTTGAGTAACCAAACCTATTTCTTTTACCTTTCTGTAGAATTAAACTTCTCCTTCTGACTTGCAGGTTGTATTTTATGGGTTGATGAAGTTCCAAATCTTTGGTGCCCTTCTGATTACTTGTGGCACTCTGGCAGTCCAAAGCAGCTGTAAACCTGGCAGATCAGTCTCCTAGTGATTTTTCTAGAGTAGCGATAATCCCCATTTAGAGGTAGACCCACCCTCCTCATGGCCCTTGGTGAAGGAATTATGGCTTGGGTCACAGTTCTGCCAGTGATCCTTTGCTGCTGGAATTGCCTCTAGGGGCTTTGGGAAGCTGGGTGCAATTTAGAGCTGCCCTGAGGTGGTTCAAAATTTCACCAGGGACCGGACCTGCTCTTGACTAGTACCTTGACTGGGGAGCCACAAAGTTGTCTTAAAGCCATTTTGCTTCCTTTGCTGAAGTTATAGCCCGGGATAGTCAATGGTGTACCGCGGGCCAAATCCGGATCACCAGACACTTTTGAACGGATCCCGAAATCCTTTTATTTACTTATTTTTATTGTTGTTGGGTTTTTTACTTTCTTCTCTGGAGTCTGGACTGTGACTATACCTTGACCAAGAAATTTGGACCTTGACAAAAAATAGACTACTCCTGTTTTTGCGCAGGGTTTTTATTCAGATTACTCTAATGTTTATAGATATCTTATGTTTAACTTACCATCTTTTTTTCTAGAAATCCGGTGTTTCTTTAAAAGTTTAATATAAACAGAGTTGTCTCAATTAAACAGACATCTAGTCCATTTCTCACATTTTCCAGGGGACACATTTCAGTAAGAGGAATGAGTTGTATGCAGGTTTGGCCATATGCTGCTCCTGATGTCATGTGTACACCAGCTGTCTGGAATGATCTCCTTCAGTTGAAAAGATCGTATCAAATAGCTGATTCCAAGTAACCAATCTATAGTCATACACAGTACATACTGTAAATATATATTGAGGTGGTTCTATTAAAAGTGAACACATGGACAGAAAATGTAATGTAGATATGTTCACCATGTACTGTATGGTCAGCTGGACCTAAATTCTTTTCCAATCTGGTACTGAAATCAGCAGCATACCTGAAAATTCTGCAGCATCTTCAAGAACATGTCTCTTAGAAATTGAGGGTTTTTTTTAATTATGAAAATTAATACAACTAATACAGAATCTCTTGATTTGTTTTTTAATTGTGATAGTGAATCCTACTCGGTGGGAATGTTGATTCTGAATCCCACCCTTGGGTTTATCTCTATCAGCTAAACACATGTGAAAATAAAACTTGTCCTGTCTACGCTAGAGTTTTAAAAGAATGTGTTAACACACTTTAGCTAAATTAATTTTAAAATACCATATTTATCTTAGTTTACACAAGCCCATTGGTAACAATGCACTGACTCACATTTGGTTCACTTTTTGAATGCTTTCTTTGCAGCCATAAGGGCTAAGGTTTGTCATTTTTTTTTTAAATGAAAGCTTAAATGATGCAGAACAGTTCTGAATCAGTGGATATGTCTACATAGCAAAGACCAATGGCTGGTCTGGGTCAGCTGACTCAGGCTCAGGCTGTGGGGCTGTAAAATTGCAGTGTAGATGTTCGCCCGTGAGCCAGAGTCAGCTGACCCGGGCCAGCAGTGGGTGTTTAACTGCAGTATAGACATACCCAGTGGGTGTATTTTGTGGCAAATTCTGCGGGCACAATTGCAGAAAGTACAATGCTCAGCTATTTAGTCTATCACATTTTGATGGATTGGTTGGGAGCCAAGGATTAAATGTGCTAGCATGCATAATGTAAAGGAAGAGGGTCATGTATTCAACAATGAAGGAGCTAGACATAGCCCATTCAGGTGGAGCATTAATATGTACTTTGTAAAACTTACTTTGTCATTTAGTAGATTAAAAAAGCAACATTAGCTCAGATATGCCAAACTATTACCGTGACTTCTAACCCCCAAAATGAACTTTCTAAGGATCTGTTACAGCTGTTATTTGTGCATACTTATGGCTTTGCAATTTTCTAGTATTTATGTAAACAGTGCTTGAGGCAAAATGTTCATTCTGAGTGTGTTTGGGCAAAGCTATAAGGATAAGCCTAAGCAATGCATTGTGGAGTCTAATCTGTGGGCCTTGGAGTAGCAGTAGAATTCTACCTAGCTCTTTCTATAGCAGATGCTGTATTCTAAGGTAGTGGGTATGACCTAGAGAGTGATCATGCTGCAGTTCTCTGACTAATCCCCACTTTATCGAGGTAAATGCTGAAGCAAGTTTGCTTCTGAGTTTTATTTTTCCTTCCCATGGGGTATCAACTAACAGTTCACACATACTGTCTGCTTTTCAGAGGATTCAACAGGGAAAGAGAAACCCCCTGAGAAAAGCAAGGAGAAGAAAGCAACTAGACCAGTGCGCAAGGTTCAAAAGCTAACCAGGTCATCAAGCCCAGATTCCAAACCAGGTGACTAGTAGTACTCTTGACATAGGCTTTTTTCTAGATGTGTATGTTCAGAGATTAGTTATGTCTAGACGGGTGAAAAAGGATGTAGTTTAAAGGCAACCTGTTGACTTGAACTCTGGTTAGTTGCACAAAATGTCCTAAAGGTTGTTTGGTATGCTATATCAGCAATGTATCCCCCACCAGTTTTTTTTTCTGTTTACAAAATTTTCCTTTCCCCTGCCACTGTGTGCAACTCTCAGAAACAGCAGATGATTGAATATGTATTTCACAGGGGTTGTCTGAGGACATTCACCAGAGCACTGGAGACCAGCAGTACTTCCTTGCTCTCCACTTCTGCCTGTGTCTTCTCTCGTCTCTGTGGAAGAGCCTAGGGGGTGGGTGTGAAGTACTTCCCTGGGGTGCAGCCTGAAACTGGGATACTGCTGAGCTCTCTGTCTATCCAGACTGGGCTCCCTCTCTCATTGTGATGCTGTGACAAGTTGCAGACCTCTCCCAGTCTTGCACTCACACAAACATTTACTGCAGGGACACACCCTGCTGAGTTACATGAATGCTTTTTCCAGCCACTTATAAACCAACAATAGAGGGGCTCCAGCCACTTCCCCCCAGCTCCCCAGCCTAGGACCCCTTAGCTGCACCATCTTGCTATACAGTGGAGTCGCATCATACGTACATTTAACTTATGCAAATTCAACTATATGTGCTTGGCAAAAAAAAGAAAAATAACAATAACTCGCGGCGGCGGAGTACTGTACAGGCGTTGACGGAGAGCGCTCGGGTCGATTTATCGCGTCTAGACTAGATGTGATAAATCTACCCCCATTGGATCGATCGCTGCCCGCCGATCCAGTGAGCATCTCGCCGTGCTGAGTGAGTCTAGTGTTTAAAGATACGTATTTTTCATACATCATGGCCCCTAAATGCAAGCCAACTACTTCATCTGGTGCTCATCTGAAGAAACAGTGATCTGTTCCAGCACTGGAGGAAAAACTGGCTGTGCTGGTCTTATTGAGAGACGGTATGTCAGTCTCCAGTGTGGCGTGTAAATATGGCTGCAACGATTCTAGCATCCGTGCCATCAAGATTCGAGAGAGAGAAATTCATCAAGCTGTGGCATCAAGTGCTCCAATAACTGCTAAGATGACGAGCCAGGTGCGTGATAAGACTTTAGTGAAGACTGAAAAGGCATTAAACTTATGGCTGGAAGACATGAACCGTAAACATGTGCCTATCGATATCAACACGTTGCGAGAAAAGGGTCTTAGCCTCTACGTGCTGTTCAAACCTCCCACCGAAGAGGGACAGCCTTCTGATGAGAAGGAATTCAAAGCCAACCAAGGTTGGCTTAACAGTTTTAGGAACCGCTTCAACCTCAAAAACGTGCAGACTACTGGTGAAGCTGCATCTCCCAGTGAAGAGGCAGCAAAAGCCTACCCCGAACAATTAAAGAAAATCATAGAAGAAAAGGGCTAGCTTCTGGAACAAGTTTATAATGCTGACGAGACTGGGTTCTTCTGGAAAAAAATGCCCAACCGCACTTACCCTTCGAAATCAGAAAGACAAGCCCCTGGCTTCAAAGCAGCTAAAGACAGTGTGACTGTGGCATTTTGTGGCAATGTGGTGGGCTTTTAATAAAGCCGGGCTTGCTCTACAGGGCTGCGAATCTCCGTGGCCTAAAAGACCAGAACAAAAATCTGCTGCCTGTGTTCTGGCAATCAAATAAAAAGGCTTGGGTGATGGCAGCATTATTTCTGGATTGGTTCCACAAGTGTGTCATTCCAGAGGTCAAGCGGTACCTTGAAGAGAAAGGACTTGACTTTAAAGTGTTGCTGATCATAGACAATGCTTCTGGCCATCCTGAAGCACTCCGGTTTGCGCAGAACGCCGTTGAAGTCGTCTTTCTCCCTTCTTTATTCTTTCATTCTTCCGTCTCTCTCTCTCTTTTTGACTATATGCGATTTTCGCCTTACGTGCTGACTTTAGAACCTAACCCCCACGTAAGATGCAACTCCACTATAGTCAGAAGCCTGATCAGTGTAAGTTATTTACCCAGTTCACCCCCCCCTCAGTGTGGAGAGGACATGCACCAGCCCGCCTCTGTTCCTGAGAGATTTCCCTTTACACTTCAAACAACACACTGTTCTAGGTTAAAAAAAATATATAATATATATATATATAGAACAGATTTATTAACTACAGAAAGATAGATTTAAAGTGATTATAAGTAATAAATGTACAGATAAAGTAGATTACCTAAGAAATAAAACAAAATCACAATCTAAGTTCTATAAACTAGACAGGATTTGAATCAAGCAGTGTCTCACCCTGATGGTACAAACAGTTCATCAGTTTTCCATACACAGGCTGGAGCTCCTCCTTTCCAGCCTGGGATCAGCTCCCCAGTCAAAGTCTTTGTTCCTGAGGTGTTTCCAGGTTTTGAGTTGTGGGGGGAGTGAGGCCAAGGGATGATGCCACTTTCCTATTTTATAGCTTCTTCCATGTGGAGGGAACTTAATTGTCCCAAAAAAAGCCTCCAGCACAGTTAGTGGAAAAATACAGTGTCACATGAGCTGGTCACATGCTTTTCCATGCTTCGATGAGTCATAGCAGGGGCCATTACCCATATTCTGGCTAGAACATTCAGAGGAAAGTCCACCAGGTGGGGATAAGCTTCTTCCATGGCCCATTGTGTTAAATGACAGGCCATCCACTTGAATAGTCCATTCACAATGTGCTGGCTAGACTGGATGTAAACTACCTTATGGGAGTTACCACAGGAGCAAACACATTTGAAATACAGGTACATAGTCAATATTCATAACTTCAGATACAAAAATGATACATGCATAGAAATAGGATAATCATATTCAGCAAACCATAACTTTTCCATTAACACCTCACATGACACATTTTGTACAAGATTTGTTGCAATTATAACACTGGTGAATTCGGGAGTGCCAGGGTGTTGCTTTGGGGTACAGAGTGTCACAGTGGGATGCTGCATGTTGCTTTCCTGGTGCCTATCCTATCTCACAGATAGATGCCAGCAATGATGGAGGGACCAACAGCCTCCACTGTTTGTAGGTGGGGTGGGGTCAATGAAACCTGTTGTGTTATCCTTCTATGGCCTGATGGATTGGGAATAGAATGAAGGAGTCCCTCTCTTTTTTCCTCATTCCCCCCCACCCCCCTTCCTGTGTACAGGTCCAGGTCTGTGGAGGGAATTGGGAGGTAGAGAGGAACAGCTTCCTTCTCCATTACTTTTCCTGTACCCCAACTGAAACAATGAAGGGAGACAATTTTCCTTTAAATTGTACTAATCTTTGATATTATAAGTAACAAAAGTAAATGGAAAAACTTTCAGATGGAATTATTTTTGAATTGAACTTTCAAGTCAAATAAGCAACCCAATCAATATACTAACATAGCTTAAAAAATGCATAGGGTATTTATTTCTGCATATTTAACCTCAGAATGTACTGTGGTCTGTAGTTAGCGAGCTCTTTTTTTCTTTAACTGGGCTTATAAAGTTAAGCCATATACAAATTTATTACTCCCAAAGAGTTTCAGGAACAAAGTTAATGTGGCACAATATAGAACTGTGCACTCAGTATATGGTACTCAGGGAAGCAGTGTGTAAATGTCTCATTTTAGTGATGGTGGCTAATAGTTGAAACTGGTATTGAAAGTAAATGTTAGATATGAAGCTGTTTCTTTGTTCCCTGTTGAATTCATGTTGTTCAGGATCTGTGAATGGCTAAGCCTCCTCCCTTACATAGAAAGTAGAATTATCAAAACTCTAACAGAAGTTGTGTGTTCTGGATTTGTCTTTAAAGTAGATTGAATTTTAGAACTGCTACCTTCAGTTTGGTTTTATTTAGGAATCTGAAGATGGAGTTCCCAGACAAAGTTGAAAGGGTAGCCTGAATTAAGCAATGCTTGTGGGCCTCATGGATTAAGAATGGAACCAAATATCTCCTTGAAAAGAAAAATTAATTAAGAGTTTTCCATAAAATATTTGTGATCATATCATTAGTCCAGAAAGGGGGAATAGCACAGAGGCAGTTGAACTCAGTAGCCATGTTGATTTCGTGGTGTTATCCAGCTGCACCTATCTCTGTGTTGGGCTGTGTAATTCTCCTCATGTTTTTATGCTGAAATTCTTAGAGGAGAGGCACCAAAGCTAGTTCAGTGTTATATCTGTAATGATGTTCCCTCCCCCTCCAGGCACTGCAGTAACAGAACGCATAACACAGCCAGGTATTATAAATAACTGCAGCTCATATTCTGCTTTGTTAGCTTCTTTTAGTGTAGACAGCTGAGCTGAAATAGAAGATGAGCTCTTCCTTCTGGCTTTGTGGAGGGGCATAGAAGTACTTGAGAGCAGCAAGTTGAGCAAGAGAATCTCTTTGGCTGGTGCATCTCTTTTGAAAAGGTTCATGGTAACCTGTTTCAAGTTCAAGTGACAGGTTCATAAAACATGTGTATAGCTTACAATTTAAGTAGCCACTGAAATGGTGGCTTTTCAACCTTTTATCATAGAGGTCTACTGCTTCCATTAAAGGAACATTGAAGATATTAAATGTGAAAATATACTAGATCTGCTGTGTTGGGTTTACTTTTAAATTTAGTTAGATTCAATGTCTAGGCTTCTCAGAACCCTGTAGGGCCAGTAGGCTGTAATCCCTATTTATTTATGTCTAGTTTTTAAACTATGCTCATGCTCTAGTGTATGAACATATATGGTTGGAAATCCCAACTAAGAGGGAGACAAATTGACCTGATTATTAATTACCTGCAAATTACCTGTTTCTCAGCGGAGATTAAAGTGATAAATGGCCCAAATTAAATAATTAGTGTACCGCTTTGCACTTATATATATATATATACTTTTCATCCAAGGATCTTGGTGCTTTACTTCAAAAGGTCATTAAATATTGTGTGGGAAGCTAAAGGGAAGAAAAACTAGTCAGACGAATTTACATGTTTAACCTTATAAGCATTCAGTGAAGATACCTTTGTACCAGATCTGTCAGCCTCTGATCTGATATAGGATCGTAGAATAATATTAATGCATGTTTGAAAAAAATAATGGTGATGTGGCCCTTTAAAACTGCATTCTGTTCCTAAGCAATGCATAAACCATTAAGATAGCATCTTAACCCTTTAAAGCTTCCCCTTCACAGAATGTCTTGCTAGAATGCAGTGGATTTGCATAGCCCAGGACTGTTGTTGACTCACATTTGTACATTCATAAGAGCCATCTATTTCATCAGCAAATTTGCTATTAAAAATGCTGTTGCTTTCTAAAGTCCTTTCTGTAAACTAAATAGGTGCTCATTTAGCTTCAGTACTTAAAGACGAATAATTCATTCCCCCCTCCCTCCATTCTGGGCCTCCTTTTATTCTCACTACTCTGACATTTTATCTCTCTCTTATTCTATTTCTTCTCTGCTTTCTCATTTTCCTACCCCCACTCAAGATACAAAGCCTCTTTTCTCAACCTCACAATCTTCTACAGATTCTCTCTCTCTTTATCTTCACTAACACTTGTCATCAAATCTCTTAGGCCAGCACAGGACTATTACTTCTACAGTTTTTTGTAGGGATACAAGTTACTGCAAGATGCTTTGGGTTTTTACTTTGTGCTGTACCTCAGTAATAAACATGATACCTTAGCCTTCATATACTTTTATGCTTCAAGGCTATTTCTTAGGCCTGGGTTGTGCAACTGAAGTCGTACCATTTGTTTGGAATATAGTGATGGTTTCTTAGTGTAATAATAAGTAGAAGGTTTATGGTAAGTACTAGGTAAATTCAAGATACACTGGAAAATACATGCTGTAATTCATTATTTGCTCTTTGTTTAGGTGGAAGCCATCTGATAAGTACATCTTCTTGGCGGGATGGACAAAAGCTAGTGAAAAAGATACTGGGTCCAGCACCTAAAGTAGAGCAACAGCACAGAAGAGCAACATCCAGTGACAGAAATGGGAGGGAGAGAGCTACTAAATCTCGTAAGCTGTGCTGTATTTAACACTAGCTTTTTCTGTTGGTTTTAATTTTTTATTTAACAACTTTGCGGACTTCTAAGATTTGAGGAGGCTCCTACTATATAAGGAGGATGCAGCAGTTAAGGTTGCAACTCAACCTGCTTTTGTTATAAAGCCCTATTTTTATCTTATATGACTTTGACTTGGAAAACTAGTTTGGCCTGAAAAGTGTCAGTTTTTTGTGTCTTGTGGATCCCACTCCAGGTGTATATGAACATGACAGCAGAATCTTTTTGAATAGCTGCGTCCACTGGCTCTGTGTCTGCACCTTCCATGCCGTTGTGCCTCTCCTTTCCCACCTCGAGCATAAAGGGTAGAGCAGCCGTACAGTCCCTCTGTTCCCTCTTACCAGCCCTGGCACTGAGACAAAACTAGTAGCATTTGTCTGCTACCCCTTATTGTTCCTTCTCTTAACTCAGTGCTAATTTTTCCCTTTTTACCCTCTGTTATTTTTTTCCTGTTTGGCTTGTCTTTTAAAAAAACGAAGGACTGTATTTTTCCCTTTGGCACATGGCGCCTCTTTCTGCACCAAAATGGTAGATTCAAAGCCTTCAGACTGCAAACCACATCTTTTCTGGGTGGCTTAATCCCTCTCATCACTGGCCACAGCCACCATTTTTTCTCCCTTGGTGAGAGCCATATTCCAGGTTGGTGTTTGCTGTGCTGACCTTTTTCCACAAGGACAGGGAAATCCAGGGAAGCCTATATAAAATTTCACTGCCTCAAACAGTGCATAGGGTCACTTCAGACCCTGAAGAGGGAGGATCAACTTCTGAGACAGATCTGACCACTGTTAAGTCCTAGGCTGCTAGTGCCCCTGCTACCCAGCACATGACTCCTAAGATGGGTACCAACAAAAAATCCTTGGCATCAGGCAAGGCTCTGGCACCAAAGTCCATGCTGGCACTGAAGACTGGTGCAGCTTCTTCTATGAGACATGAGGCCCAAATATAGAGACAGACATGGCTCCTGGCATCAGTCCCTATCTTTCTGTAAGGAAGGGCGCAAACATCAGTTCTCCAGGGAACAAACCACTATGCCTCTGCCCGTCACAGGAGGAGTAAGTGATGCTGGCTCAACCTTCAGCTTGGTGCTGAAGAAGTATTAGCCTCAGGTGGTACCAGTGCTTACAATACCACTGGCACAGGCATTGACACTGGTGGCAGCTTCAATATCAGCACCATCTATGGAATCTCTACTGGTGCCTGATGGTTTTTTTACTGGAGGAGACTATCTTGTGCCCGGTGATGTTTTTGGTACTAAGACTTTCATAATTGGCACCAGTGTATAATTTTGACTTCTTGGCATTAAGGTCTTCCCAGAGGTCAGGCTGTCCCTTGACTGTTTCTTTGTTGTCCTCCTCACTGAAGCACTCTCTTTCTCCATGGTCTAGCAAGGAGTCTTCTCACCTCAGATCATTATATCACTGCAAACAAGAGGCTCTTTCTTTGGAGCTCCTACACACATCCATCACAGGCCTACAAATGGCTTGGTCAGCCCAATCTGAACCAATCTTACCAATACAGTGTGCCATCGTGGGATTGTGCATATTGGGGATCTCTGTCCTGGACATCCAGAAGACCTTCCTACATTCTAGGAAGTAGAGTAGATCTCCATTTTCCCCTCCACATCTGTGCCCAGATCACCATCATTTTGAGAGAGATGAGTGAGTAAGTGGCTGAAGAGGAACAGACACTAGAGAACAGCAGGAGCATTGTCCTTTGCATTTCAGGCACCCATTGTCTTCCTTCCCCAGCCAAAGCTGTACCGTCAACCCTTGTACCAGAATCTGATGACTTCAAAAGTTTCAGGACCTGTGCCCCAGAATTGCCAAGGTACTTGACATTGAAATGCCTGTCACTTAAAACAAGCTCTCACAAGCTTTTTGGTACTCTGCACTCATCTGCTCCTGCTAGGATAGTACAACCTGTCAACGAGGACCTCCTGGAGCTAAGACCTTGTGGCAAACACCCGCTACTCTACCTCCTACGGCTAACAGAGCAGAGAAACACTACCAGGCTCTTTGGTGGTCTCTCCTGTGCTTGAAAAATCTAAGGTGAGAGATATCCCAAGAAACTGAGTTCATTTGGGAAAATGGCCTGTTCATCAGCCTCACTACAATTATGATTAGTCAATTAACAGGCCCTATCTAGTAGCCAAAACATTGCTACCAGCAGCCGTTGATACCTCAGACACTGGCTAGACAAGGCATCCATGTCTATGCATATCTAGATGATTGGCTAATCAAAGGCTTATCCCATCAGGAGCTTACTGCAGCTTTGAACTATGTCCTTCACTTGTTCACTCAAATGGGCCTTTTCGTGAACTATGAGAGAGTCTCCCATCCCATCACAGGCAAAAGAATTAATAGAAGCCTTGAGTGACTCCAAATTGGTGATGTCATATCTTTCTGAAGACAGATTTCTGTTTCTTCAGTCAATAATCACCAGTATTAAATTGAATCCAGCATACACAGCATGGAGCTGTCTCGGATTTCTAGACCATGCCACTCTGCACTTACATGAAGCTTCTTGGCAAACTTCACTCGTGCCTGTTACAAGCCTGGCTAAAGTTGGTGTATTGTCCTACAAGAGATCAAATTAGCATGAGAACTGTAGTCCCATCACTCATCCCATCAGGACTGAACTGGTTGGTGGTCCAACCCCAAGAATTTCCAGAGTGGGTTCTCTTCTCTCTAACTCCTGCAAAGATGCTGATCATGACACATCATGAGCAGGTTGGTGTGTTCACCTGAACCACCCCAGGTACAAAGGATTCGATCTCAAAAGAAAATAACTCTTCACGTAAATGTTCTGAAACTCCAAGCAATCAAATTAACTTCCATGGCATCCCAGACTGTCCTATGGAATTCCACAGTACAGATTCATATAGTCAACACATCTGCAGGTGCATCTGCTCCTGCTCATCACCCCCATGTCAGAAGCTATCAAGTTTTATGGACATTTTGCCAACAACCCAGGTATCATCTCTCCATCTCACAGGAGTCTGCAAAGTTTAGCAGACTACTAAGCAGACAATTCATCACCAACTACAAGTGGTCTCTGAAGAGCTTTATCAAACTGATTTCTTTTCACTGGTGGGGAAATCCCGTCATAGAGTTGTTCGTCACCAAAGACCATCTGAAATGTCCAGCCTTTTGTTTTGGGGAGGCAGGTTCATTGCAAGATGCGTGTCTCATACTGTTGGATCAAGGTCTCATATACACATTCTCACCGATTCCCAGAATGACATGCAAGACGAGATGAGAGAGTCTCTCTCATTAGTCCTGATGGTCCCATACAGGTCAAGACAGTTCTGGTTGATAGACCTTCCCCAGACATCTGCTTAGCCTCCCATTCCACTTCCAGACTGCCCAAATATAGATGGGTTTGGCAAACTCAAGTTTTTGTTTTTTCTAATTTAGATGATATATATAAAATTTTATTTTAAAGATTTTTTTTCTAACAACTATTTTTATTTTTATGATTGTGGGGGGAAGGTTGGAGTTAGAGTTAGGGCAGTGCTAACAGTGATGAGCTGCAGAGGGCTTCCTGTGTGGCTGGGGGGCCAAGACACTAGGGCACAAGATGCGGTGTGGGGATGGGGAGGTCATCCTGGCCTGGCAGAGCAGAGCCCTCTGTAGCCAGGACTGTAAGGAGAACAACGAGCCCTTGGCCATAGGGGAGGCCACCCTGCAGCTGAACGGTTCCTGCCTGGGGACAGCTCCCACACTCCTGGCTGGTGAGTAAGTGAGCGGGTCCATGACAATAAAACTGCAGAGTGCTCCCTGCATGGCCATGGGACCGGTGACATGCAGCCAAAAGGTACAGGAAAGGCTGGGGTCCAGGAAGGGCATAGCAGAGACCTTCAGCCAGGGCCTCAAGAAGGACGAGCTCTCGGCCATGGGGGAGATCACCCCACTGCTAAATGGCTCCAGCCAGGGGATGAAATCATTCAGCAGCTGGGTGGCTTCCTCTGCGACTAGGGAGAGGCAATTCTGGCCGGGGGTGTCTGCTCTGCTGAGCTAGGACTGCAGCCTTTCCCACACCTTATGCCTTCGGGGCTTGAGTCTCACCAGCCGGGAGTGTGGGAGCCATTCCCGGACAGGAAATTCTCAATAGCGTAGTGACTTCCCCTATAGCCAGGAGCTTGTCCTCATCCTTGCAATCCTGGCCAGGGGTCTCTGTTCCACTGGGCCAGGACAACTGCAGCCTCCCTGACACCTTGTTCCTTCTGGGATCGGGTGTCACTGGCCCCGTGGTCATGCAGGGAGCCCTCTTCAATTGTACTATCATGGCACCTCACTCCTGTGACAGTGGAGCAGCAGAGGTCTCCCTGCATGGCCAGTAACACTCAATTCCTGCAGGGACAAGGTGTAAAGATGGCTGCAATCCTGGAGGAGCAGAGCAGAGACCCCCTGCATTCCCCGCTGGTGAGAGGGAGTAGATCCATGATAGTGGGCTGCAGAGGGCTCACTGCACTGTTGCAGGAGCCATTCAGCAGTGGTGTGGCCTCCCCTGCTGTTGGGGGCTCCTCCTCCTTGCAGTCCTGGTCAGGGGTCTCTGCTCTGCCATGCCAGGACCACAACCTCCTGCTGTATCTTGTGCCTGTAGGGATTGGGTGCCACCAGTCCTGAGGCTGCTCAGGGAGCCCTCTGCAGCTCTGTTGTCTCTGACCCACTCACGTACTCCTGTGACAGCAGGGTTGTAGGGGACTCGCTACAGAGTGCTCCCTCCATGGTTACAGGGCTGGTGATATCCGATCCCAGTAGGCTCACTGACTAATTGATATTTTTTTTCGTCGATTTCAGTGTGTCAGCTGAAAATCAGTTTACCAATAGATAGCAATTAGAATTTAATTCTGCCAAGCCTAAATGTAGTATTGCAGCATCAAGGTCAGCTACTACATCAAGATCAAGGGTCATTGCATCTGATAGTCTGGATGTAGGCTTGTTGAGCATCACTGACTGAGTCTGCTCTCTACAAGATCCTGTTCCAAAGCAGAAATCCGCCATGAGGAGGTCTTTTTCCTACAAATGGAAAAATTTTTTAGCTTGAGTAGCTCAGCACAACTTTGACTTGCTGAAAGCTTTTATACCAAAGATTCTTAACTATATCATATATTTAAAACATTTTGGAGTTTTTTCAATTACATTACAATCCGCATTGCAGCATTTGCTGCATGTCATGCACTTGTCCAGTCATATTCATTTTTTTTATCCTATGGTATCCAGATTTCTAAAGGAGTTACTGCATACTTACCCAATAGTCAGAGAACTCTCTCCTGCATGGAATCTTAATATCATCCTTGCAAACCTCATGATGCCACTCATGGAGCACCTTTTAGTATGCTCTTTCCACCACCTCTCATTCTCTTGACAGTCTTTTTAATCCCATCACGTCGGCCAGTAGGATCAGCAACGTCCAAGCTCTCGTGATTGATCTTCCTTACACAACGTTCTGCAGAGGCAAGGTGATGTTGACACCTCATCCGAGGTTTTTCTAACATCCAGGTTTAATTCAAACTGGTCCATCACTTTACCTATTTTCTTTCCTAAACTCCATTTTGCTCGCAGGGAGAAGAAACTCCATGCCTTGATGTTTCAAGGGCTTTATTATACTACCCTTTCAGGACAGATCCTTTGATTGTCTTCCTGTCTTTTATTGCCTTTTCTCCAGTGACCTGAAGGGCTAAATCATCTCCTCCCAGAGAGTATCAAAATGGGTTACTCAGTGCATCAGTTTGCCACCATATGGCTGAAATACCTCTTCCTCCAAAGGTTAAAGCATATTCCACTGGAGCATAAACTGCTTCCTTTTCTTGTTTCAGAAACCTCCGCATATCTGACATTTGCAAGTCAGCTACATGCACCCCTTGAGGGCTCCCTTGATCTGACCGCAGGATCAGATGCCAAGGTCTGCACTGCAGTATTATAACCATTCTTTAGTGGCAGTCAGAACTCCTTTATACCACCTCCAGATAGGGCATTGCTTATCAGCCACTTGGAGTTGGATCCACATGAACACATTTGATTAAGAAAAAGTGGTTATTCACCTTTACAGTAACTGGTTTTTCAAGATGTTATCATCTGTGTGGATCCCGCTCCACAATCCAGCCTCGATTTCCCCACTTTTTTGGAGTTCTCTGAATTAGCCAGGGAAACTGAGGGAGAGTTGCAGCTGCTCTGCCCTTTATGCCCTTGTGTCGGGGGAAGGGACAGGGGAGAGCGTGAGGACATTCAGGATGCAGGCACCCGGCCACAGTGGACACTGCACACTGCTTTTTCCAAAGATCAAGGCACTGAACTGGGCACCTGGAGTGGGATCCGCACAGACGAGAACATCTTGAAGAGTCACAGATACTGTAAGATAAGTAACCAAGTGTGGGGGTTTTTGTTTGTTTTTGCTTTTAAAGCAAAGAGCGTTTCTGCAAAGTTGGAAGAAAATTCATCTGTGTTTTGAATTAAAAAAGAGTGGTGTTGCACCAGTTTGCAACTTTGTGTGAACACTTATATCACTACAAAAAGTTGCAGTGGTTTAGCTAATTTGGTGCAACATTACACCTATAATTAAAACTGGTGAAATTTGTGTGTATAGATAAGCCCAGGGTTGTAGTTTAAGATCTTCAGTTGTGTTTTATTATGGAATCAGTTATACCTTTTTGTAACCCTCGCCATAATTAAAGAATCCTGGTTGTAAACTTGGAGGCAAATTCTGATCTGCATCTTATAGCAAAAGCAAAATCCTTGAACTCTCACATTTTCACATTTGTAGTTATGGTGGTAAGAGAAAAGTAATTCCAAAGCTTCATGACACAAAATTCTCACTGTAGAGATCAAGAAGAATTTTTTCCCATGTTAGAGAGTTGTAATAGTGTATTACAAGAATTCTTCTTTCCTTTGAAGCAGCAGATTTTGGCCACCTTTGGTCTTAATGGCTACAGTCCAATCCAATGTGGCAAATCTATATTTTTACTTAAGATTACTATGATAGCTCATTCATAGATTCATATATGGATGGACACTTTGTTTCATACAAATTTAATGTGGCCATTTTGATTTAAAAAGCTGTAAAGAAAAGACTATAAAACTTGCAAGATTCTTTGGGTATTCCAACAATGTACACATTTCACATCAAATTTGGAAGAAAAATTGGACTTGTAGTAATTTTTTTGCCCAATGTCTAGTTTCATTCTGAAGCAAACTTTACAGCATATTTGTAAAGCTGTATGGAAGGGATTTAATTATAAACTGATAGATCCTTAACTATAGTAGTGCTAATGGTAACTGTTAAAATATGTGCATTTTGGTAGCAGTGTCCTGGCTACACCCTATCTGTTTCCAATTAGTACTATATTATATTATTATATATTAGTTATTATATTAGTATTATATATATATATATATATATATATATATATATATATAAAAAAAATCTTTGGAAGTCATTGGCTCTGCTTGGTGTATTAAAATTTTTTGCAGATATTTCAGTGGTGGCTTCTACTTCCCAAATCTTAACTTTATATATCAAAGCTTTTTAGTACAGTGCTTTTGATATATAAAACAGGATGTTTTCTCTTTCGGTTGGAACTGACAAAAGAATACTAGTTCATCTCCTTACTTTTTATGCTCTTCAATTATTGATCATTTTTATGTGATTTGTTTGAAACAAAGAAAATCTCCCCTCCCCACCTTTCTTTCCCATTCAGAATGTTTAGATGTATCATCTGACACCTTTAATTCTTCAGCAGGCCCTATTGGAAGGACAGGGTCAGATCCCAGGCTGGATGTTACCCACAAAACCTGTCCAAGAAGTTCTGAATGGTCAAGGAGTAAAGTACAGTCCGAGAGTAACCTGAAGAAATTGGACTCTACTTTTCCAGGTAGTAAACAAGATGAAGACCATACCTCCTTAAATAAGGACTTTCTGCCTGTAGAGATACGTGGAATTCTTGATGACCTGCAGCTGGACTCAGTGATTCCAAGTACAAAACAAGAGAAAGATGGGGAAAGGCAAAGTCAGAAATCTGCAGTGCCTACACAAGGTGCCAGGAGCCACAGTCCAACAAAAAGGAAACCAGACAAGTTAGCTGCTAGTGAAGAGCCTCAAGTTATCTCCAAGAAGCGTCACTATGACACAGATGAGGTTCGCCAGTACATTATTAGACAGCAAGAGGAGAGGAAGAGGAGGCAGAATGAAGAGAAGAAGGCACAGAAAGAGGCAACAGAACGAAAGAACAAACGACTTCAAGAGCTTTACAAGAAACAGAGAGAGGCTTTTGCTAAGGCAAAGAACATGCCAACTTCTGAACCTTCAGCAGCTAGGCGACTACAGGAAACCTATTCTAAACTGTTGCTGGAACACACTTTGCTAGAGGAAACTTCTCAGCTCCCTATTGCTCAGGAAATGCAGGTATGGCAGTTTCACTACTCAGTATTTTAAAGATAGGCATAGAAATAGAGGGTAGAATACTTAGGAAGGTCCTGAATTATCTTTATTAAGCTAGCAGTTAAGGAAAGAAGCAGATTATACCTATGAAAATAATGATCTATACCACAAACCAAAATTTTATTTGCCCACAAGACAGATAAACTGCAGAATCTCCTCGCGTCAGCAAGACACACAATAATGGTGAATGGAAATTCAGTATCTTGTAATTTTAACCAGCATCTGAGTTTAATGTATTGATTAACTGATTGAAACTTAAGAAATGCATACAATAAAACGCCTCAGACTGAATGAGGGGCTTCAGTTCAGCTTACTTTTGCAGAGCTGTGACTATTGAGGTCATTCAACTCACTGCTATTTGAGGCTGAATGTGAAATGTGGTTGTTGGATGACAGGTCATCACTGTTAACTTTCCTGGTTCCTCTTTGGCTGGCTCTTGTGTGTGAGTAAAGCTTGTGTCCCAGTCCGTTTTGTTGGGACAAAAATCTTGAATGCCCTCTCCTTTTTTCTATTTTTGCATGCTAGTAAAACTTTAACGTGGAGTTTCTTCTAGTCCCTTTGACTTTAATGAGACTTAAGCTACTCAGTCACTTTAGGTGCTTCTGAAAATTTTGCTGTTAGTGTTTTCTCTTTATTTCTAGCCCAGGCCTGGATATCAACCATCTGGGGAATCTGACAAAGAAAACAAGGTACAGGAGCGTCCTCCTAGTGCATCTTCCAGTAGTGATATGTCCCTGTCGGAACCTCCACAGCCTCTTGTTAGGTAAGTAAGTATGGATGTTTCAGTCAGTGACTTATTTGAAGTACAGTAATAAATTTTTATTTTGAGGTTGTACAGGAATCTAATGTATGAAAAATTAAATTTTGGTTACCAATCTGCCTCAAAATTATAGCATCTGTAAATAGTATTTAAAATATAATTGACATCAACTGCTGTTATTCTTCTCTAGATATCTCACAGAGATTTGCGTTCCACATCAGGGACTGGTCTTTCCTCTGTCATCCCTGTGCAAGAACAAGTAATCATATAACCATATCTGCCAGTTAGATTGTCATTCTCTGTTTGAATCACGTCATTATTTTCTTCCTCACTTTCAGACTGAGGTGCCAACTTTTGATTCTCACCTTCAGGGCTCCACACAAGTCTGTTTCTGCTTGCATCTTTGTTCTAACTTCTTCCTATTCCCCAGCTTGCTCCTATTTCAACCTTCTGCTTCCGCCAAAATACTCAATTTATATCCTTCCACCATTGCCTTCATACATGGAATAATCTCTCTTCCTCTTGTGTAGCAAGCAGACTCTTGCTTATTTTCTGTGAAGCTTTTCAATAATTCACTAAAGTCAGAAGCAGCATGGAGTGGAATCTCTGCGCAGTGTTTTCACACTGAACTGTCATCTGGTCATTTGATATATTGTCTAATTTAGGTTGTAAGTTCTTTGTAGCATCGACTATCTTCTTTTCTGGACATTTAAACTAATGGACACTACTTACTAAATTTAATCAAATTTATATTAACAAAATATTCAGAATGCGCATTGAAACATTCAAAAGTGAGGAAATAACTGTTAAGGCTTACCTCTGTCCCCTTGTACATGTGTCCTATGATCTGGTCTTTAATTACATGATCACATACCATTTTTTAAATTTATGTATCTCATTACCTTGGTCAAATTAAAACTCAGTTTTGGAATGTAGCAATACTTGTCTCTTAGGCAGGCAGAGTTTTAGCTAGGGCTAGGAAATTCAAGTGGTAATAGTTCAAATACTACACTGGTACATACTATACCTAGGCATTGCTCAGGTGCCTATCACAGTAGTATATTCATATTGCATTATATGGGTGCTAATAACAGGGAAGAACTGAGACTAAAATGGCTGCATAATTTATTTGGAGAGCCATGTAGTAAGTTGAGAAGCAGGACTTAGCTGGTGAGTTTCTCAGGAAATCTAATATTCAGACTATGTGCTAGTAAGATTAAAGAGGGAAATTCCAAGACTGTGGATCACTGGAAGAGGAATGCGTTTGTAGAACCCTAGTTAGGGGAAACTTAGCTATAATAAAAGGCTTTAATTTTATTTATACATTTGTGAATGTGCTTATATTCCACACTAAATGTGTCTAGTCCTTGCCCAGTGTGTCAGTTGCTATGAAGTGTTGGGAGGGTAATGTGAGTAAAACTGGAGAGGATTCTCTGGGCTTGGAAGATTCCATGAGACAGGAGTGGCAGGGAAAGCAAGGTGTCATCTGAACTGCATTCTGTAAACTGCTGCAAAAATCTTGCTTTTTCTTACCAACGAATACTATCTGGTACAACATAATGCAATTTAAGAGAGTGTTTAGACTTTGTATGTATATGCTGTATATTTTATGTAAATACAGTATAGAGCATTTCTATTTTTGGTACATCTATAATTTCTATTTCCCAAAAGATTGTTGTGTTTTGATGTCTGTGAAAAACACTTTTTGTTGCAAAGATATATGTTCACATGAACTCTTAGTACTTCACAAATGTTGCACTTGGTCACAAATTTCAGTCTTGTCTTTTGATTCTAGAAATGATTTGATGGAGCCTATGTGGATACAGCCAGATAGACTGAGCCCAAGAGTCCAACTCTCTCACCCACAACCTCTTGCTGGCTCAAGTGGAGGACTTTTCTCTCAGCTTTTGGATCTGGAGCAGATGGGCCTTTTGCCAAAGGACTTTGACTCAGTACTGACAACCAGGAGGAATCACAACACAGCTGTGGGATCCTTGACTTTGACACCTCAGCCTTTCGTGACTTCATCTGCTGCACAGCACGATCTCTTGGTAAAGCCTGGTACCAGCCAATATAAGAGTAAACTGGATCGTATTGAAGCCCTGAAAGCTACAGCTGCTTCTTTGTCTAGCAGAATTGAAAGTGAAGCCAAGAAGTTAGCTGGGGCTGGCATCAACTATGGCTCAGTGTGGAACTCTGAGCAACTACTGCTGGGGAACCAGGATGATGGACGCTGGGCTAAGGCTGTGAGTCCCCCTGTGAGAGAGGATAATGAAGATGTTTTCTCAGCCAGAATTCAGAAAATGTTGGTTACTTGTGTGTCTCATACAACCTTTGATGATAACCTTCCTGGAGTGGGCAACCTTAGTGAATTTAAAAAGCTCCCTGAAACTATCAGGCCTCATAGTGCAGCAGTCAGCCTTGGAATGAGATCCCCAGTGAGTCAAAGACCTGAAGGAATGCTAGGACATTTATCAAAGAGGCAGATTGACTCCCCTGGGTCTGAAAATCAGGGTTATAGTCAAAACAAAGGAATAATTACTCACAATTCCAGCACAGATTCAATCAGTGAAGGGCCTCTTCTAAGTGAGGGGAGTCTCTCCGAGGAGGAAGGTGACCAACATAGGCAGTCTCCTTTGAAAATTGCTGAGGTATTAAAAGAAAAGGAGTTCTGTGTTGGGGAGAGAACTGCTTTTGAGCCCATAAAAGAGTTTCAGAAGGAGGCAGAAAAGTATTTACCACTTTTCACACAGACAAGTGGCATACAAAGCAAGGGACCATGGGAGGAACTGGCCAAGGGAAGTCCACATAGTGTCATCAACATATTTGCAAAATCTTACCAACTACATGGCAAAGGTAAGGAAAAGAAATGGAAAGATTACACCATGGTACATTCATAATTTCCATATTGACTGAATTTTGTAGTTGAATTTACTGGTGGTGACTCAATTTTCAAGTATCTCAATAAATATGAAGAGGGATTAATAAGGAACTGTTAATAAGGCATAAGTGTGAATGACGAACGGTTATTTATTCTTTCATATAACACAAGAACCAGGGTCACCCAATGAAATTAATAGGCAGCAGGTTTAAAACAAAAAAGTACTTCTTCACATAACACACGGTCAACCTTGGAACTCGTTGCCAGGAGATGTTGTGAAAGCCAAAACTATAACTGGGTTCAAAAGAGAATTAGGTAAGTTCATAGAGGATAGGTCCATCAATGGCTATTAGCTAGTATGGTCAGGGATGCCATCCTACGTTCTGGATGTCCCTAGTCTTTGATTGCCAGAAGCTGGGAGTGGACAACACGGGATGAATCACTCGATTACCTGTTCTGTTCATTCCCGCTGAAGCACTTGGCATTGACCCTTGTCAGAAGACAGGATACTGACCTAGATGGACAATTGGTCTGATCTGTTATGGCCATTCTTACAATTCACAGGGAAGTTTTATGGATGTAGTTTTGAGTAATAATTGATTGACCTGATTTTATTTTTTCCTGCTCCAGGAAGAGAATTCCATTGTTTTTGGAAGCAGAAGACTGCTTTTGTATTTAGGTTGCTACACTCCTGCGGAGTGTAGGTAATTAGAATTTTGGACCAATTCAACTGTTAAATGCAACACAGACTAATTTGGGAGTGAATTGTATTTTTTAAATGTATTTACCATGATTTTAGAACATTGAACTATGTGTGGTACATGTTAATTTTTGTATATTTTTAGAATTGTATACTTAGGGTTTATCAGGTATCTTGTCATATCCAAAGTGCTATGCTACACCTAACTACCTTGCGTTGGGTTTGAGGACCAGAATGTGTTTGATAGCTGACTTCACCCGTTACAGTACCAAACAATTTCTCCACAGAAATCTCCCTAACGTCTCCTTGTTTGTAAGCCACTTGTATTTTTCTCTTTCCCTCCCCATTCTGTTCATCTGAAGTCCATGTACGCTCATTGGAGCACTGTCCCTTTAAATATACTTCAAATACATGCTATTGTGGACATCTGCTTTCAGTTTGGCATCTATAACTATTTTCAGACCGCTTTGCCAGCTTCTGGGTTGGAAAGCTTTTTTTTATTATTATTAAATAATAAAAGGGTCTTGTTGCTGAGAAAAAGGTAAGTCCTGCCCCTGTTCTTTTTTTTCAGGTTTCTTTAATGTAGCTGGGCAAATGGAGCCAACAGTGGGAGCTGAGCCAGTGGTTGGGAGTATGCTTCCTCCTACCACAGCTCCATTTCAAATCCACCCACCAATCCCACCGATGCGATTTCTTAAGTGAGTTATTTCTAACAAAAGGATCAAGCTTTGTGCCAAAGCTTTACCAGCATTTCATCCCGTTCTCTTCCCATTTCAGTTATTCCTGAAATATGGAATGCATACTGTTTGCAAGATTTGTTTAATCTAGTAATGTCAGTGACTCTATATATGCCAGATTCTCTTCACTCACCAAAATAGTGCTGCACAGTCAGGGGTAGATTACTTCAGTAGAGGGTAGATTTTTTTTTTTTCCTTTTTTCTTTAAATTCAACTCTTCATATGTAGTCTTATCCAGTGGTAGCTCTGAAAAATAGTTTGGCAGACAACACAGGTAATGAATTGAGATCTTTGTAGCAATCTCTGGTCTTCATAGATTAGGCGCTGGTGGTATATCAGTAGGCAGGATCTTTCTTGCTAAGTGAGCAAGTTTGTAGTGTTAATTGCTCTATTTGGTGCCTTGTTGCATATTTTCCAGAATTTTCATGCCAGGACATTGCATTCTATTCTTGTGCATAGCTATTCTGTCCTCTTACCAGTGCACTTAATTGTCCTCTGGCACTTGCTCTTGCCTTCAGATACTGTAGTCATTTGATGCTGAATGTTTTCCACAAGCTAATTTACATTATGTCCTTTTTGATTATTTTTTTCATTCTTCAAAGATGATGGAATTTACTCCCTCTAGCTCTCCAGATGGCTCCACTCCCAAGCATCACGTTATCCAGATAACATTTTTCAAGTGGCTTTTTACTTCAGTATAGAAAAGAGGCAGAATATAGTTGACATTTTATATTAGACATCCAGTGGCAGTTCTATCATATTCATTTAGCATGCTTCTATTGGGAAAGCATTCTTTCTTACTGAGTACTGGTGGAAGTATTTAAGGCCTGCAGTATCATTTCCTGTCATGTGAGCTACATGGAGTTTAGTATCAACTGTCTTTTTTTTTTTTTCTTTTTTTTTTTCTCCCCCTTTTCACAGGATTAGAGGAAAGGTCAAATGGTGGATCTCCAGTCCTACGACCTTTACTTCCTACCATGAGCCCTCCAGATAGTGTTGTTTCATATGAAGATGACTTTGTTTCATCACAGGGCAGTGGAACTTTGACAGACAAACCGATTGCTCTTGAGCCTAGGTAATTATGTAGAAACATCTGGAGAAAATTGAAATGAAAAATGATACTGAATTTCTGAGTACTTATAAGCAGCTTCCTTTTTGCATCAAGTAATGTGTGAATATCCCCCAGAAGAGTACTGTTACACTATGCTATCCCATTAGTGAAAAAGACGATTCCTTATAGTAGGATTTGGTAAATAATTTACAGTAGAACCTCAGAGTTGTGAACACCTCAGGAATGGAGGTTGTTCATAACTCTGAAACATTCATAACTCTGAACAAAACATGGTTCTTTCAAAAGTTTACAACTGAATATTGACTTAATACAGCTTTGAAATTTTACTATGCAGAAGAAAAATGCCACTTTTTGCCATGTTAATTTAAGTAAAACAAGCACAGAAACAGTTTCCTTATCTTGTCAAATCTTTTTTTTTAATTCCCTTTATTTTTAGTAGTTTACATTTAACACAGTACTTTACTGTATTTGCTTTTTTTTGGGGGGGGGGGGTCTCTTCTGCTGCCTGATTGTGTACTTCTGGTGCCAAATGAGGTGTGTGGTTGACCGGTTCTGGGGTTCATAACTCTGGGGTTCATAACTCTGAGGTTCCGCTGTACCTGTGGCCTTACACAACTAATATGTCAAGCCACATGACCTAGGAGCAAGCAGTGTAGGACAGAGAATTGAGTACTCCTGAGACCTAATCCTAGTTCTGCCCTGACTTCTTATGTTGGCTTGGGCAAGTCACTTATCCCTTCTGGGTCTTGTTGCCCCATTTGTAGAATGTGAGAATAATAGTTCCTAACCTTTCATAGCTGTTATGAGGCTTAATGTTCAAAACTCTTTGAAGATATTAAGCCCTATGTAATTGCCAAATTATAATTTTTTACTGTCTTTTTGTAGTAGTTGTTGTAAACATCTAGAATTTTTTCAAGGTTCCAGTAAGGTTTAGTAACAGAAATTTAAAAACAAAAAAATTCTGATAGAATTTTGAAACCTTCTCTGTAACTGCTTGGAATTCAAGACCATGGCATTCCAGATCTTCCAATTTATTGTGAAAATGGTTGGATTCAAATTACTTGCTGATTTTTTTTCAAAATTTAGCTACATCGAATTTTCCATCTTTGGAGGGATTTGGAGTGGGATAGGGGAGAAGCAATAATCCTATCAACTTGTTGGGGAAGGAGGGCAGCAACAGATGTTTGTCTACAGTTTTTGTGTAGGCCTGAATAAGTGGAAGACAGAGCACATTTTTCATGTTGGTTATATGGCTAGCTGTAAAATGTTCTCTTACAGAAGAAAACAAATATTGCAATTTAGCTTCTAATTTAGCTTCTAATACAACTTACCACCTTTCACATAACATTGTCCCTTTAATTTTTTCATAAATGCATGACCCTGTTGAAAAAGTGTATAGTTCTACAAGTTTATCAATAATATCAGACATCCATGTGCAATCTAGATTTCCATCAACTTCAGGGTAATACATATGTGTATCCAAATCTGTAGTTGAATGCCCATAAAAACTTGTATCTGAAATTATGCAAATATCCATCTTTTGTAATTTTACATCTGGTCTGAAATTCAGTACACTCCGAATCAGGTCTAAGTTCTGAGTGTCCTAGCAACTGCTACCAATTTCTAATACCAAAAGTCATCTTGTTTCTCAAGATGGGTTTGTAATGTGGCAACATAAAATTGGCCCTGATTTTAGTCATCTGTCTCCTCAAGAAAGTCATGTGGATTTCTTGTGGCATGGAATAGGGGAGTTGGGAATCTTCAGCTAGTGTTTTTTGTTCTATGGCAGTATCAGTGGGAGCAGCAATTCCAGCATTCAAGAAGAGCTTCCCAGCAGGAAGTCTCCCCATGAACACCGATCTGTAGAGCTAACCTCCCAGCATTCACCTGGACCCTGGTCTGCAGCATCTTCTCGCTCATCTGGATCTTCTAAAAGGAAAGGGAAAAAGGAAAGTAAGTGCAGTGCCTAGTGTAGACTAACTTTTATCAGATGGTTATATTAGCATATATTGGATTGGTTCTGGGATTATTGTGACAGATTAAGCATTTTCACTTATCCAGGGGTTGATGGTACAGCATCTGTAATCTAGTGTCAGTGTAGTAGGTAGCCTTCTTTACTCTTAACCCTGTATGAAAATGTCTGCTTCCATTACATTACTATTCTAAAGAGAAATCAAATGTCTGTCTTCAGCAGTTACTTTCTCATGCTTTGACCATGTAAGATGCTCATCTGTAACTCAGTCTGTTACAAATTCAGTGAATATTGAAACAGAGTTGTTAATGCTGTTTCTACCAGAAACATCACGATACTGTTTGGGGTGATCCTTTTTTTGGCTTTGTGACATAGTAACTGATAAAAACAAACAGTTGAGAAATTTAATAGTATCATGATAAAATGTGCTATATTAAGCAAACTGTCTAAAAAATGACCTAGCTTTATTTTTTTTATATAACCTGAGATTATCCTCAAATTCTAAAATTAATTTTAAAAAATCTGTTCAGCTGCTGTGAAATGAAAATAATGGCCACCTTTTTGTAGCAGATAGCAAACATACAATATATAGTCCATCATTAGGCTATGAAACATCTGTATCTTATGCATAAATGAATAAATATCAAGCCTCTTGTGCTAGTTTCCGTTACATTAGAAACGGAGCAAAATATGATTTGACAAATGGGAAATTAGTTTTATGCTTTTTAAAAAAAAAATGGACAGTAAGATGAGAATACTAAGTTTAAAATGTGGTTACACTCAGAAAAGAAATTGTTTAGTTGGAGGTTCCATATTCTCTCTCTGGCTTCTGTATCAGAATTCCTCAGTGTGCAAGTCAAGATCGGAATTTTTCTAACCACCACCACCACAAAAACTGATATTTTCCGTTTAAATTGCCAGTAATTGTGTGTGCAGTTGGGGTTTAGTTGACTATTTTGATGAAGAAAGTGTGAGGCAGAACAGAATTGTCTACTATACAGTCATGGCTGTATTGGCTCTGCAGTGCAACAGGTACTATATTAGTAAATTTAAGTAGATGTGATTCAGAACAGGAGCTAGTCTTGAGTAAAAAGGTGCCATATTTATTTAGGCTAGACAAGGCCTTTTTTAAGTAAGGGAAAAGTCCACTCAATTGTTTCTTTGTAGCTAATAACTGCTGAACTTTTGGATTTAACTTTGCTGGTATTATACTTTGTAGGGCTAGAATCTTTCAATGAAAGTTCACACCACTTTCCTGTGGAAGATGACAAAATGCTATCTGAGTCAGAGCGTGTGTCCCAGCAAGCAAAGAAGTCCTTGCCTAACAGCAGAGTTTCTAATAGAGACCATGAGCAGAATGCAAATACTGATAGCACTTTGGAAGAGTTGTCTGGACATTCTTTGATGAGGTAAAGTGGACCTTTATAAGACATGCACATATTACTAGAACTTGGTGTTGAGTTTTAATATGTAGTGTGGAGTACAAGTGCAACCACAGTGTAGAGGTGGAGAAAGGTGGAAAAAGGATTTGCAGCTTGATCTGCTGTTTCAGCACTACACTGAATAACTTTTATACAAAAGTCTTAAATTATAGCCTGGCTCCTGAAAATTCTACCGTCTATCTGGATAAGTTAGTAGTAATAAATCACAACGTTTACTAGTGAGACACCTGTACTTGGAATAAACATAGTATAAAAAATGCTGTCTGATTAATTTTTAAAAATTAATCAATTTAAAGAAAATATTGAAGCTGACCCTATCGTTCTGAGAGAGGACATAGAGTTTGAATATTATTTGTAGGTTTCTGGCAGCTTTTGTAATGAATACAGCTACCTCGTTTCAGCATAAAAATGGTCCTCGAGATCTTGTCTGTCTTGTTTAACACTCAAAAGGAAACTGTCAACTTCTGTTCTTTGAAATGGACTAGTTTAAAAGAATCAATTGTCTGATGGAATACCCTTTAAATACAATGTTATGAAAACCTTTCAATGTTTGTAAATATTTGATAGTTTTTCTTAGGGCTGTTGATTAATCGCAGTTAAGTCACGCAATTAACTCAAAAAAATGAATCGTGCTTAAAAAAATTAATTGCCGTTTTAATCGCACTGTTAAGCAATAGAATACCAATTGAAATTTATTAAATATTTTGAATATTTTTCTACATTTTCAAATATATTGATTTCAACTACAACACAGAATACAAAGCATATAGTGCTCACTTTATCATTTTTACAGGGCAAATATTTGTAATAAAAATAATACAAACAAAAGAAAATAGTATTTTTCAATTATTATTTAGCTTGTGCATAGTCCTCTAGCCAAGCAATAGCATATTCAGTGGCGTGATGCAGTTCTTCTAGGCCACCACTGAACCTAGTCAGTAGGCATTCATCGACAATGTGTGTCATTGTCTGTCGCGCCACAGCTGCACAAAGGGCTGTCACGAAGGCCCCAGCAATACTGGTAAGCTGCACAGAGACCTTGACCGGTCTGAAATCTGTTCAACAGGGACCATTGGTGATGGGGCAGGTCAAAAACTAGGTGGGCGGATTGTGGGGTCGGCAACGAGGGACTGGTTGGGGATTATAACAGATATCCATTCCTCTCGCCAGAGTGTTTCCACCCCTAACATCCTGGCGTGGCAGATGAGACCATAATGGGCGATGTGACAGCAAACGTGCAGCTGGTGATTTTAAAAGGTCATTGTGCAGTGGCAGGCTTGGGCTGACGCGTACTTTCTCCAGTAACTTGCCAGTGGCAACCTCTCGTCTGATATAAGGAGTAGCAATATTGCTCAGAACTGGAAGCCATGGGAGTGGAGTTGGACTCAGGGTGCCAGAAATGATCGGCATAGGAGCATGTAACTGCATATCCACCAGTTTGGTGTGTGACAATCGACTCCATACTGTTGCACAGTACTCCGCCACTGAATACGAGGTGGCAAGAGCTGACATCCCCAGAGTTGGAGCACTGGCACCCCATGACGAACCTGCCAGTTTGCGAAGAAGATTGTAACGCGTCTTAACTTTAGCTGCTGTCTTCTTCAGGTAGGCATAGCAACTCAGTGTGCGATCTAAGGTCACACCTAGATAGACCAGTTCTACTTCATGCTTCTGACCATTCAGATAAACATTCAGTTCTCAGGTTGTGCTAAACTGTTTTTATGACGCTTGGCTGAAAGCGCCAAGTCTTACAGTAGTCAGCTAACTTTACTATGTCCTGGTTTAAGGTGGCATCAAGCTCGTGAAACGTCCGGGTATGGGTACCGCAACAGATGTCTGCGTAAATGAACTTTCGTGACTCCGTTGTTGGCAGGTCATTGATGTAAAGGTTGAACAGGGTTGGAGAAAGCACAGAGCCCTGGGGTAACCCATTGCTCTTTCGTCTCCAAACACTTGTCTTCTCCCCCATATGAACTCTGAATTGCCTATCACGGAGGAACAGTTCAACGATGCCTGTGACCCAAGGTAGCAGGACCCATGATACCTTCACAAGCTGGCCAGTGAGCCATACCGTATTGTATGCTGCTGTTAGATCAATGAAAACAACACCTGCTTTCAAGTTTCTCTGGAAGCCATTTTCAACAAATATGGTCAGCGCGAGTACTTGGTTGCATGTGCTACGACCTCAGTGAAAACCGGCTTGGTCAGGACTCAAAATTCTCTCCGCTGTAGGACCAAACACTTTATGCACTGAAGCACACTGACAGTAATGATATGGGACAATAGCTTGATGCTTGACTTGAGTCCTTTCCTGGCTTTAGGAGGACAATGATTTTTGCAGTGCACCATATCTTCGGTAGCCTGCCTTCACTGATGACCCCGGTGAAGAATTTCACAAACCAGAGCTGAGCACGGGGGCCAAGGTTTTTCAAGAATTCTGGAAATATGTTGTCATAGCCCTCAGCTGTTCCACACTTGATGCTACCCAGTGTCTGTTACAGTGAATGGTTCTGGGCAGCTTCTGATCTGGTGTACATGTTTAAAAGTACGCTATTTGTTCCTCACTTGTCTTCACACCTGTTTCTCCAAAGGTGCTCTGGCCACTTTAAGTAGGTATCCAGCTACCTGGTTGGGTGACACTGAGGGTCGGCAGAGTGCAGGTGGCTGCTGCGTTGTTCCCAGGCATCGGAGCAGACTCCAACACTTGCAGCTGGAGTGAGTAAAGCTCATCCTCTCGGTCGTCTCCTCCCATCTGGCTCAGTGACCAGCGTCCAATGATTTGATCAGATGGTCATTGACATCTGGGTCACCAGATGCCTCATGCTGCTCAAGCAAGGAAGCGCTCTCCTCGTCAAAATGGGATGTAGACTGGACGGCAACGGCGTGGGATGGCTCTGCAGGCTGCTTTATGGATAGCACCACAGAAGCAACGGTAGGTCTCATTTACCAAGATATGCCGGGCTGGTATTGTCACCACACACTTCTCCAGTGCTTCCCTATATTTTTCCCAGTCAGCCTTTTGGAAGTTCCACCACTTCTTTTTGGAACTCTTGACAACTGGATCAGGATCAGCGATGGTCTGTGTTGCCTGTGTGGAAAGTTATTCAAGACTTGGTATGTTGCTGGCTGAGGATGGCCATGAACTGAACTGACCCAGCACAAGTCAGGAGAATAGTCATGATCCCATCTAGAAGAATGGAACGTGCCTTGCTGCTTAGCATCATGGATAAGGGCAAGGTCATTTTGAGATGCCCAGGTGCAAGTTGTTCACTGTCAGTTTCAACCTCCTCCTACTCCCAGTGTGTGTGATGGCAGTTGAAGTTTCTAATGTAAACAGCTGGGTGTGGCATGCTTGGTAGAACCTGTTGGTTCCAGCTGACGCTTGGAGGCTTGTAAACATTTGCTAGCTAGATACCGCCAACCTGGATGGTGTCACAGAATTCAGTAGACATCAGTTGAGTGGCATCTGCAATATTGGACCGAATGTATGTGGCTTGGACATGCTTTGGGTGTTCCACATGGCACAAGAGGTCAAAGCCATCGATACTGTAACACCTGGCTTCGGCAGTTGCCGTGTGTGTCCCTTGCAAGCAAATGATGTCGATAGTATGTCGATGAGCAAGAACACTGAGTAAATCACAATTGGCAACCGACAGACCCTCCACGTTAGGTTGTAATACGTGTAGAGCTGGAAGAGGTGAATTCTCAATTTTCAATTCACCTCATACAAGTACCATAGTGCAATCTCTTTATTGTGAAAGTGCAACTTACAGATGTAGATTTTTTTGTTGTTGTTACATAACTGTACTCAGAAACAAAACAATGTAAAACTTTAGCATCCACAAGTGTACTTAGTCCTATTTCTTGTTCGGCCAATTGCTAAGACTAACAAGTTTGTTTACATTTACGGGAGATAATGCTGCCCTCTTCTTATTTACAGGGTCACCTGTAAGTGAGAACAGGCATTTGCATGGCAGTTTTGTAGTTGGCATTACAAGGTATTTACATGCTAGATATGCTAAACATTCGTCTGCCCCTTCATGCTTCGGCCGCCATTCCAGAATACGTTTCCATGCTTACGATGCTTGTTTAAAAAAAAAAAAAAGTGTGAATTAAATTTTTGACTGAACTCCTTGGGGGAGAATTGTATGTCTCCTGCTTTGTTTTACCTACATTCTGCCATATATTTCATGTTATAGCAGTCTTGGAGGTTGACCCAGCACATGTTGTTTGTTTTAAGAACACTTTCACTGAAAATTTGACAAAATGCAAAGAAGGTACCCATGTGAAATTTCTAAAGATAGCTACAGCACTCAACCCAAGGTTTAAGAATCTGAAGTGCCTTCCAAAATATGAGAGGGATGAGGTGTGGAGCATGCTTTCAGAGTCTGCAACACTCTGATGCGGAAACTACAGAACCCAAACCACCAAAAAAGAAAATCAACCGTCTGCTGGTGGCATCTGACTCTTGATGATGAAAGTGAACATGCGTCGATCCAAAGCAGTGCGGACCGTCATTGAGCAGAACCTGTCATCCGCATAGACGCATGTCCTTTGGAATGGTGGTTGAAACATGAAGGGATATACGAATCTTTAGCACATCTGGCACATAAATATCTTGCAACGCCGGCTACAACAGTGCCATGCGAACACCCCTTCTCACTTTCAGGTGACATTGTAAACAAGAAGCGGGCAGCATTACCTCCTGATAATGTAAACAGACTTGTTTGAGTGATTGGCTGAACAAGAAGTAGGACAGAGTGCACTTGTAGACTCTAAAGTTTTACATTGTTTTATTTTTGAGTGCAGTTTTTTCATATTCTACTTGTGTAGGTTCAACTTCCATGATAAAGAGATTGCACTACAGTACTTATATGGAGGTGAATTGAAAAATATTATTTCTTGTTTTTTACACTGCAAATATTTGTAATCAAAAAATAAATATAAGGTGAGCACTGTATACTTTGTATTCTGTGTTGTAATTGAAATAAATATATTTGAAAATGTAGAAAACATCCAAAAATATTTAAATAAATGATATTCTATTATTGTTTAAGAGCACGATTAATTTTTTTTATTTGTGCGATTAATTGCGATTAATTTTTTGAATTGTTAGACAGCCCTAGTTTTTCTGCCTCACTGTTAATGTTAAGAACAGCCTTTAGGGCACACCGAAGTGCAACATCAAATGTGCTCAGCCTTATCCCTTTTTCTCCTATTTTTTCTTTCTGGTTATATATGTCTACCTGTTGACTCTTCAGATTTAGTTTCCGTTTTGTTGCAGCTACTATGGGTAAAAACCTTCGTGCAGGGGCTGTGAAAGTGTGTGAGTTCTTCTCCCTCACCCCTGCCAGAACACTGCATCAGTGGTGGTGACGTACCGGTATATGAGACTGGAAGAGCAACTGATCAACAAAACATTGAAACAGACTCTACGCTGTGGTGTCAAATTTACAAAATAAACACGTGGAAAAATTAGAGACTTTTTTTTCTCTAGAACTTCTTAATTAGGGTAGTCTTAGGTGTTATCTGTAATAATAGCAGGTACAAAATAGAAGTGATTTTCAAATTAACACTGTCCCTTTTAATCTTCATTTCTGTACCAAACAAAGAAAACCCTGGCCAATACAGGCATCTTTCAGTTTAATTTCTGAAAAGGCACTGAAGCTAGCTTTTCTTTTTCCATCTTCACAAAGAGGAATCTGTAAGAAGCTAAAAGAAATAGGCAGACTACCTATAAAGAGCTGTTGCAATCTTTGCCGGTAGAAACCACAAGAATGTGTCTGGTTGGGGTGACTGCATGCCCCCTGATGAATGAGCTTATGACAGTGTTGTGATTTGTGCAAAGATGGGTTGCTGCTCCAAAGGAGTGTAGTGGGGGAGAGAATTTAATACCCATCCTTGCTGCTGTTGCAGTTCATGTTTCCATTAACCGTGTCATTGAAAATAAAATCTTGTCTCAAATCGCCTTCTAAAAAGACATACAAGTTAGTTTTCATGTGTCTGTTCACTGAGGGCATACAGAGTGATTGTGATGGATTGGCTTAATTTAGTTGAAATATTGAACCCAGTATTGGGTTTGAAAACCCCTGGCCTAATGAGATGATGAAATGGGTTATGCCATTGTTTTGATATGTGTCTGGGAGGCTTCCCTATGATTTAAGCATCCACTGTTGATCATCTTTGCTTTCATAATTGTGGAATGTTAACATTTTTGTATGTATTTGAATCATTTTCTGAAAGTTTTTGGAAAGCGATGTACTAAAACTTCCCTCCCCAGGCAGTTTTCATATTGTATTTTATTAACTGTTACTATTTAATGCAAATTTAGGACTCTTTGGCATTTGTCTCATTTTGCAAAGGGAGATTAATATTTAAAGGTAACAGTTCTGTCATAGCCACTTGCACTTCTAGAGCATTTCTAAACTGTAAAGAGCTTCTATAATGTCAGGTTCTTCTGTAGGTAAAATTAAGTTCCTGGCCAAGACTTTCAAAACGCGGTGCCTAAAGGTAGACTCCTAAATCCATATTTAGGCACCTGAATGTGGCCTGATTTTCAGAAGTGCTGAGTTCCTATCAAATTCCAGTGAAATTGATAGGAGCTGCTGTATAATCAGGCCCCTTATTCTGCTGGTGCCTAAGAATGGAATTAAGGGGCTAACCTTAGGCACTTATTTTTGAAAATCTTTGTCCCGTGGTACAGAGAGAAGTTTGTATCTATGTGATAATCAAGGAGTCCTATCACCTTTTAATGTAGTTATTTATGTGAAGGATTATAGGGTAATTTCTACAGTAGGTTACTGGCCGTGATACTTCAATGACTGTTTATAAATTTGATTCATATGAGATTTTTCTCTCTGTTTAGAACCTGTAAGTAATCCTTGTTCCTTTGTTATTTATATACTAACTATGCTTGATACTATAGAACGTTATCAAAATGTGTTCCTGTAATGAGCCGCCACTTAAATGCAGGGTAGGCACCTGCAAATCATAGGAGAGCATTCCTTTTACATAGTTTGTTCAAATGTAGACAAACAGGGGATTTAGGTTAGTACTATGTAAACTGTCATCCTTGCACTTAAATGTCTGGGGATTGGAGAATACTGATCTTTTTCTGGTTTGATTTTTCTGTCAGTCTCTCAGACAAGGGAAGGTCCCAGAAGACCCCAACCTCTCCCCCATCTCCAGGCTCCCAGAAACTATCGCAGTTTGACTCTCTAGGAAATACAGCGGAAAGAACCAGGTCCCCTGCAGGCTTTCCTGGGACTACAGCTTCAGGGTTCAAGCCCAATGTACCCATCTCTGACTTGAGCCTGGGAACTAGCAAGACAGGAGCAGCCGTGGCTGGTGAGCTGGCTCCATTCAAGCCCAACTAATACTATAAAACTTCCTTTTTTTTTCTCTCTTTGTATTTATGTATAGTTTCTATGATGCAGGCCAAGGGCTTGTCTACACTTGAAATGATTCAGCTGCAGTGCGGCAGCTGCACTGCTGTAGCACTTCAGCACAGACACTCATGTCATCCTAGGTAATCCACCTCCCCAAGAGGCGGAATTCCTCTGTCCATCTAGCGCTGCCTACACAGGGATTTAGGGTGGCTTAACTACATCATTCATGGGGTGTGGATTTTTCACACCCCTAAGCAGCATAGCTGGGTCGATCTAATTTTTTAGTGTAGACCAGCCTAAGTCCTATAAATGTTAAATAGTAAGTATTCTCTTACAGGATCCATGCGCTTCTCTCCTGCTGGTCTCCAGCATCGTTTGTCAGCAGAGCTCAACTACCTGAGTGCCATTGAGGAATCTGTACGGCAACTCTCAGATGTAGAACGAGTACGGGGCATATCACTTGCCCAGCAGGAGAGTGTTTCTCTGGCTCAGATCCTGAAGGTGACTGGAAAAGTTCTTTTACTTGCTTTAACCCTCTTGTTCTGTATTTTGTGAGGAAAAAATAACCAAAGCACTGTAATTGAAATAGTTCTGCTGCTGCTACATAGCTGAGGTGATGCAGTCTTTTTGAAAATGTCCAATATATTTTAAGATCAATACCTGCATCATCTTCCCTCTTCTTCTCAACACACCAGTGGTGAGTCATGAGCTCCTACCATTAGTGTGCCATTGGCAGAAATAATTGTTTTTACTTTATATCACGATAAAACTAGAATTTGTTTACTTGCTAGGTTTGATATTTGGCCCTTAGGCAACACAATGTTGGTTGTTCAGGCTGGGTTCTTGGTCTTATTCCGGGTATATCTTGGTTGAAATCTGCTCCTCTTGACAAAATCAGCTACTTCCCAAAGCAGAACAAGCAAACCTTCCAGATTCTGATTTCTATTGTACCCAGAGGGAAAGGGAGGGAAGGGGTACACATAGTTGTCAGCTCCCTCACCAACAAGATATTGGTGCTGGAAGAGAGATTGAAGGTTTGACTTTAGCACAGGAAGCTGCGAATAGAGCAGCCTTCTGACTGTCAGTTAGCTACAGTTAGGGGCGGGTTGTGGAATCTAAATGCAGATTCCTTTTCTTAACACTAAAATGTCTCAATCTGTAGGCACAGCAGCAGCGACATGAGAGGGACTTGGCTCTTTTGAAACTCAAGGCTGAGCAAGAGGCTTTAGAGAGTCAAAGACAGTTGGAGGAGGCGAGGCAGAAAGCAGCTCAGGTAATGCCTACCTTCAAAAAATATCAAGTGTGTAAGAGACAGAGCTTTGAATCTGTAAGTAAACCTGTGTCCAGAAATATTCTTAATGTGAAGTCCATGGATGGTCTGGAAAGGGTGAAGGAATTTGAAGTATGACCAAAATATGTCAGAGACCAATCTTAATTTCAAACTGATTTTTTTTCTTTAAGGCTGTAAACTCAAAACGAATAGTAATACTACCCACGAAGAGTAATTATAACCTCGCTGTTGTTTCTTTATAGGCCCATGCAGAATCTCTGCAGCATCTGGTCCAGTCACGACAGGAAGCAGCAGAAGCACTACAGGAGACCACATGTAAAATTGCAGCCCAGCAGGTGGAAGCTGCTCTGCTCACCACAGATGCAGCTCGCCAGATCCGTGAGGTGAGATTCTGTATGAAAGACTTGATGAAAATGTTCCATTGCAAAGTTGTCTTGCTACTAAAACATTCACTCTTCAGTGTAGCTTCTTCACCTTTGCAGCATGCTAGTGCTGGAAGGATTTTCAGTAGAACTTCTGGCACTGCTATGTAGAAAAAAGTGAGTGGCCTTCTTATAATCCCCATGCACTCCCCAGAGCATCTTTCTAAGACCATGACTTCCCTTTGTTTGAATCGTTCTTATCTCAGGTTGATGGTTCTGGAGAGAGAGTTTTTGGATCAATGTTCTGAAGAAACTAGGGCAAAACTGAATTGAATGTCCATAGAGTTAAATGGAACATAATGATGTATAGTTAATACCTGTCATCAGTGCACCAAGCACATTTGCTGGGCACACACCATACTTTCCTTAAGTATAAAGGGAGTTACTTTTTCTGACTGTTTTCAATAATGTGCATATATATGTACACAAGAAGACATGATGATGTGATGCAAGTTTATCAGTGTGCGTTTAAGGTTACTACGTTACTCACGAATGATGAAGACATGAGCAAGTTATGCAGATCATCTCAACCAAAAATCTTTTATGCTGCCACACTGTCTGTTCTGCATAAGCTACATATTTTACAGAAAAACTATTTTAGAAATGTATTTAGTAAGTTCTTGAAAAATATTATTGGAACTGATTTTTTTGAACCCATTCACCTATAAAGCCAAGCTTTTAGTCTCCCAATTCTGAACGTACAGACCTCCTGAGGAAGAGGAAAATTTAAAACTAGTAAATCTTGAGTTTCTAAAAGTAGAGTTTCCATATACTTTGATACGTTTGACATATTTTGTGTACCTGATTAGAAACAAGCGCCTTATACCATTGAAAAGAGGAAAGTCCTGGGTTTCTGATTATATAATGCCATTTCTAGTCCTGATGGTTTGCATAATATTGGGCCATAAAATTGGCACTTGTTCAAGACTAGGCATAGTCAGTGTCACTCATCAGACAAGTGTAATTTTTTGGGAAAGAAGAAAATTATATTTGTGGCAGATTTTCTTTAAAAAAATACATCTGTTAAGCTGTCTGGAGTTTTGGAATGTTTGTCTAAGTGAAGATCATTTAGTGAGCAGAGTTCAGGTTAGTTGGCCAAAGTGGTATGATTGATACAGTTTATCACATGGCTTTTCCCACTCTGTGTGTGTGTGTAAATAAAAAATAAATGTACAGAGCAGTCTGCTCCTCTTACTTAGTTGAAATTGATCCTTCTTTAAGTGTAAAATTATTTGTATATCATGGTGCTGTGTGTTGTGTATATATGCCTGGAACAATGCAGCTGTGTATCAAGTATATTCCTATATTCAGATGACAGAGTTGGCACGAACACAAATCTCAGATGGTGTCAGTGCTCCAGCAGCTCCAATCACCACACTGTTTGACCATCAGCGGCAACATCATTCAAAGTTCATGAAAGAGCTCAGAGACAGAGCCGATACAAACAGGTATTTGACCAATACAACCTCTCACAAACGTAGCACATTAGGAAAAACAGTAGCAGTTGTTGTGGTCTCTTGTACTAGTTCTCCCACCATTTTTTAGGGAAAACCATATGGAACTTTAATGAAAGAGCGTTATATAAAGGAGTTCTATGTGGCTATAGTAGATAGATTAGAAAGATTAACTTAGCTTAATGTAAGAGTACAAAGACAGAATTTTTTCCCTTGGTTTACACATCATCTGTTCTGTAAAAGGTTGTATATAAGTGAGAAGTGAAACTGTTTACTCTTTTCATTGGATAGTTTTCATCCTGTTAAGTTTGGTCTGATTTAACTGGCCTATCCTTTTTTAAGTCCTCCATTCTCTTTACTCAACAGACCCTTATTTCTCCTATTAAATTGAAGTAGACTTGTAAAAACCTTTGTTTTTATTCTTTATTCCAAGACCACTCAAATTTATCCAGAACATTTTACTTTGACAGAAAAAATGAATCTGGGGCCCCTTCACAAAGTAAAGAGAAGACAGCTGACTCAAAGCCGACATACTCCCCATTTTTTGATAGTTACTCAGAATCCTCAAGATCCAAGAATCATGATCAGAGGTGAGAAGAGATTAAATTATGCCATCAATTTCTACTTTAAAAGTGTAGTAAAGTAAAAATACATACAAGTGAATGCTCTGGAAAACTGGTATCTATTGGAATTTTAAACTGGAAACTGCTTCTTAATTCCCAGTAGTTGGAGATTGGTTTATCTTGAAGGTTGAAGGTTTCTATCCCTTCCAAAACTTGTTTGGTTTTTAAATATTTACTATTATAACTCTGGATATTAGTGTTATTTATATAAATAATCCTTAACCTAATCTCTTTTTTTTGTGTTTCCTGCTAAATTCTGCTCCTCAAATGAGAACTTGTTGCAATGTATTCCAAAGTCTCGTGGTGTGAAGATATTTTTTTCCGTTTTAAATTTGCCACTGTTTAATTTCATTGAATGTCCCCTTGTTTTTCCTGTCTCATAGAACAAGAACAAACTCCTCTTCTGCCTTCTCTATAACATTAATTATTTTGTATATTTTTTTATCATGTCCCCTTTCTCCCATGTTCCCATTTGTCCTTTCTAAGGTAAACAGTACTAAACTTTTCAGTTTCTCTTTTTATGAGATTTTTTTCCATGTCCCTAATCATTCTTTTGTTGCCTTTCTCTGAAACCTCTCTGATCCTGTTATATATGTTTTGAGATGGGGTAACTGGAACAGTAAACGGTATCCCTGGTGAAGGCATACCATTGATCTATATAATTGCTTTACAATATATGTCATATTTTGTTCTGTTCTTCATATACCCTGACGTTTGCTTTGTTTTTATTTGGCAATTGCTCTGCACTGAGCAGAAGTCTTCATTGAACTGTCTACAGGTGCCTAGGTCTCCTTCCTGGGAGCTATTTGCTAATTTAGAACCCAGTAAGGTGTATGAGAACCTTCTGTTAGTCCATCCATTATTCATTATCTTGAATCTGTCAACACTAAATTTAATCTTTCATTATATTGCACATTCTCCCCTAGTTTCATTAGGTCCCTCTAAAGTTCCTCATAGTTGTCTGGTTTGACACACCTAAATAACTTTGTGTCTTCTGCATATTTTACCACCTCGTTGCTCACCCCCTTTTCTAGATCCTAGTTTACCACATTGTGGCACCTCACCAATAACTTTTTATCCAGAGGAAAATTGACCACTTATTCCAACTCTTAGTTTTCTGTCTCTTAGCCAATTTGTTTTCCCTCTCTAATAATAACAATAAATAATTTAACAAGCTAAAACAAAACACTCCCCCCTCCCCCCAAATTTTAAAGACTTGTAAAAGAAAAAGGGAATGATTGGCATGATTTATCGTTAGTACCTATTGCAGGGTAAAAGATGTGCATACTTACAGGCTTGTTTGTTTCCCTGACTATTCCTTTCTATCTTAGACCAGAAGTGAGAACTTCTAGTGTGGATTTCCAATTTAATTAGGCCTGGGATTTTGCAGTAGCCAAACTGTGCTTTTGTTTAACCTAAATATTTTTTTAACTAGGGCTTTTACTCAGTAAGAGATAAGATGAGAATACAAACTACTTTTAAATGTTGAAGGAGTGAACAAGCAGAACTGTCAAATACCTGTGCAACATTTCTATGTCTTGGTTCTGGTGGAGAAAAGCAGAAACAAAGTAAAAAGTGTTTGTTCTTGTTAAATAGTAGCAGCAGCAGCCGGCAGGAGAGTCCTTCAGTTCCTTCTTCCAAGGAGAATGAGAAGAAGCCCTCCCGACGTGAAAAGACGAGCAGCTCCATAGAAGAGCAGGCTCGTACTGGTGTGGATGATTCCTTGCAGAGTGATAGTATTCCATCACTACCAGATGAGAAAGGTTAGATGTATTCTTGATCCTTGGTGAAGCTAGAGGTAGTGCCCCAGAATTAAAGTCTCTGAGATAAGTGGAGGGGGAATGCAAGTGAAGAAAGATGAGCATCTGGACTAAGTGGTGGTGTGTGAAGAGATAACAGAGGATGACATGGTGGGAAGGAATCATTTAAACTGTTCTGTATTTAGCAGGCAATTGACTTCATAAGCTGTTCTATTTTCTGTTAACTTAACTGTTGCCAGATGTTCATTTACTTTTATACCAGAATATATGCTGAAGGTCCGATGTTTCAGCTACCATAAAAATGCATTTGTATAGTTTTTTTTAAAAAATTCAGACTGTGAAGTGGCACTGGGTACCTTCTGTTTGAAGCCTTCATTAGCTAAATAATACTATTAGTTAAAAAATGTCTGATATTCTACTTCATTATAATCTCCAAGGGATGACCACACATTTTTCTAATAGGCTTTTTTTGCAGGATGATAAGTGTAGTTCAGACTAGTATTTTTTATTTTGGCTTGTACATTTTTCACAGTTTTGTCATTCATTCTGTGTGGTAACATTTTTGCCCATTATTTGGCTGAATTATTTCAGTCCGAGTTTCCACACAACAATTTATACCTTTGGTGAAGCTAGATCCACTTCAAAGCCCGTTGTGTTCATTGTTAGGGGGCTTATTCCTTCACCCACTTACTTCCCTGGTCCTTCTCGCATGAACAGAGAGCAACAATACCCGAAGTCCAAAGGTGCAAACAATTCAATGTTTATTGGGGTGAACTTCCAGCAAGCATGATTCCAGTTTCCTTCCTTAGTATCCTCCTCCCCAGCTCTGACACCATAGAGCCTTACACCTGTGTCCGTGTTCCCATTCCTGCCCTTAGCAAAACATGATTCCAATTTCCTTACCCCCATTCCCTGTTCCCATTTCCCCCTTTAGCAAAACATTATTCCAATTTCCCCACCCCCATTCCCTGTTCCCATTTTCCCCACCCACACACTTCCTGATTGACTGCAGGCTATATAGTAAAACTTGAGTTTTGCTTTGCTATACCTTAACCAATCATTTTCCTGAAATTTAACTAACCAATCCTAACATATTGTAACGTGATTATGTAACCAATTATATATATCCCACCACCTTAATTAGTTTACACCCAGCAAAATTAATTATACAGCAGACGGGAATAATCACAGAACCAGACAGAGATTATAAAGACAAACAATAGCAAAGTGGGAACTATAATGACAAAACAATACAGAAGTGAGGATTTCACATCCCAGCTATTGATAAGTGAGTTTTTGCCAGACAGGATGCTATCAAACTAAGTTTCCTTTTACATTTTCTAGGCACTTCCCTTTCTCTGGAGGCGATAGGCACTATCAGGACAGGATTGTACTCCTAACAGCCCAATAGCACCTTATTTTCAATGTGACTAGTTTGGAATGTGAGGATGTGACCAGTTGCTTCCCAGCTTATGGCTGCCTCTGCTGCTTAGCCAAAGGCCTTAGCCTAAGAACAGGGCCTCAAACTGTCACAGTAAGAGAAGGACCTTACACCGGCAGACAGTGATTTTGATTCTTTCTTTTATACCTCTATAACTAGCCAAGTGATAAGAATACACCTAAATTCTTAGAGTACCTTTGCAGACAGGCTTGAATATCTATATCCTAACATGCATAATGAAGACTCACTGGAGAATAAACTCTTTTTTTTTTTTTCTGATTCCTCCCTCAGACTCAGCTTCCATTGCAACAGAGTATTCCCTGAAATTTGATGAGTCCATGACAGAAGATGAGATAGAAGAAAAGTCTTTCCGGTCTTTGCTACCTTCTGAGAGCCATCGGAGGATTAACATGGAGAAGAAACGAGATCATCGGGACGATTCTGATGAGGAAGTCTCCCCAGAAAAGACAGCCCTGTCATCTGTCAAGGTAGGTCTCAAATACCATGAAACTGTAGTTATGGAGAATAAATGCAATTGAGGTTCTTCCCTAGGTGAGATACTCAATCTGTTGGTGACTTTGAAATGAACCATCTTTTGTCAAGTTACGCTTGCAAACTTTAGGATGTTTCTTTCCTGTAAAACACTCAAAGGATAATTCTGTATATTGTGCCAAATGTAAAGCTAATAGAGAATGAAGCTTTCCATCTTGCACTGAATTTCAGTTGTACATAATATAACTTGTTTACCATTTTGCCTTTAAAAAAAAAAACAACTTTGGAAATCACATAATAAAACTGTGCTAAAAAGTTATTTAGCTTTCAAATCAGGCATTTGAAAATTACAAAATGCCAGAATTATGATTGTCAGCGCAACTTTAATTCTACCCCATTACATGTTTTTTAATTACATTATCACACGTTTCCCACAGGACTGCTGCCTCATTCAGTGCACAGGAGGGACATAACTCACAAGGGGACAGAATTAAGGTTGCATAGGCAACCATAAATCAGGCATTTCTGAACTTTTGAATGTTTGATTGCAACCTAAATAATGTTTTTACCATTGTTTTTTCTGTAATCTGTCAACTATTTCAATAAACACTTGTGAATGTGCACTGAATACAAACTTTTCTAATAATTATACAACCATGCCAGTGTCTCCCCACATTATTATCCTTCAAACAAAAACCTTTCACTTAGAATTAAGCAAATCACATCAACGCAGTTGCTGAAAATCTAGAAATCACATTCCCCCAACTATGTACTTGTCACTTTTCCTCTTCTCTACATCCATCAATTACCCAGACCACTCAGACTTCCTCCATCGCACTCACCAGCAAATATGTAGCCCTCTTCCTGCCATTCCCACCAGTTCAGCCGCTATTATTAACAGGGCAGGAGGCAGGAAAATTTAAGAGACTTGTAGCTAAAGGTGCCTCAACTCTGGTTCAGAGGTGACTTTCCTTCTGACAAACTTCTAGTGGTTCGCTGTGGTCCCAGTTTTTTGGGCTTTGGATGTTCCAAGCCCAGCTGACCTAAAGTTGGGCAGAGTTAAGATTTACCAGGGAGGATATGTGGACATGGATCTGGCATGGAAAGTATTCCCCTGTTGTGCCACTTCCTCTAATAGATCAAAAGACTTTTTGGAACTGTCAGCTAGCTATCAGTTGGCTAAGGTAGTTTTGTAAAACAAAATATAGAAGCCTTTAGCAAAGGATAAAGCTGAAACATGTAAGTAGAAAGTCTACCCTGTGTTTGAAGCATTTAAATTTATTCTATACTGTTGTGTTTGGGGCACATTCCTCTGCTTCTCTGTTGCTTTGTAGCCTTGTCAGCCACAATGAGGAAAAGAAAATAAACTAAAAATGGCATCAAAATTTTTAAAAAAACAACACAAATTTCCCTACACCAGGAAAAGCGCTAACAGTTTTTCAGGTGAAAAGGACGTTTTCAAGTGGATGTAAAGAACAGACTAACAACCGGTGGAAATTAATCTTACATTAATGTAAGATGTTGGAAAGTTAAGACTGAGGGCATTTCTACACTTACCTCCAGAAGCGATCGATCCAGCAGGGGTTGATTTATTGTAGCTAGGAAAGATGCAATAAATCAACCCCTGAGCGCTCTCCCGTCGACTCTGGTACGCCACCGGAGTGAGAGGTGCAGGCAGAGTCGACGGGGGAGCATCAGCTGTCGACTTACCACAGTGAAGACACCGCAGTAAGTAGATCTAAGTATGTCGACTTCAGCTATGTTGTTCACGTAACTGAAATTGTGTAACTTAGATCAATATTTCCCCGCCTGGTGTAGACCAGGCCTGAGCTCAGTTTATAGGGAAAACTCTTTCTCAGTGTGTGGCATGTAATTCTCAGCCTGTACTTTAAGTGCAGCATCATTGTCTAACAGTGAGGTAGCTCGGTGTCCTTTTAAATGAAACAAACACACACCACCACCAACTGGGGATCTCAACTTGCCCCTCCGTCTTCTGTTTCATACCATCTCTTCAAATAGCCCTTGGTATGAGTTTCAGTCTCCACATGTAGTTGGGTACTGGTATTGTATATGCAGAATGCTGGCCCTCATCCTCTTTCACTTAGATTATTTGGGTCTGATGAAATATTACTTGAGGTCCTTTTTGTGGGGATTAACTGGAATATCTCTTGCCCCACCAGGAGCTAAGTATGCCATTCTCTGGGGGGCAGGATAGTTTCTCTAAATTCACCATGGAGATGGTACGGCAGTATATGAAGGAAGAGGAAATGCGAGCAGCTCATCAGTCTTCACTGCTCCGGCTCCGTGAGAAGGCACTGAAAGAGAAAACCAAGGCTGAGTTAGCCTGGCTGGAACACCAGAAAAAGTAAGAGAACTCTGAATATGTAGTATCACTGATGATTCCTGCACTTGTGCTTCTACCTGGGTATTTTTTTTATGGCTTCTTCATGTTCTGTTTTTTAAATTCGATTAAATGTTCTTTGTAAACTATTCATCTAAAATCACCTTATATGTATAAAAAATGTAAAAATGACACAATAGGCACATGCCTATTTAAATTCAGTACTGTTCAATAAAGAGAAGCTTGTCTTCACAGTAAACTGCAAGAGATGATGATTGTCTTAGTGCTCTTTTTATTATTTATTAAAGTATTGCTTCCTGAGTTAAGGTTCATAGTGGGGAGGGTGCAAGGGGGACATAACTATTCCCTCATAGATTGACAAAGCAATTAATTGTATAGCATCACTAATAATGTCCCACCTGAAATCACTTTTTCAACTCAAGAGGAAACCATTTTCTTTCAACTCTAAATTTTTCTGTTATAACTGCATGCAATATATTCAAACCTTAAATATGCTGCTGCTTAAGTTATCTTGTACTGAGACTTCTGTCTCATCTCTTTTATGTACATTTTGATAATGTCTCAACAGTAATAGTGGTATTAAGGTCACTTGATTCCCTCCCCCCCCCCGCCCTTTCTAATATTCCCGTACCACCAACCAGCAAAGGCCCTATGTTGCAGTAAACAACCATAACTGTTTCCTTTACTCTAGGATTTCGTGTACCAGGCAGGGAACTATTATAGAGTGACCTGAAGCATTTTTTCACTCACTCTTTCAAATGAGAGCGCTGTGAATATCTGGCCTGGGTATGAGAGACAATGTCTGGCATAACGTAATTCTCTTTTAACTTTTTATGCCTTTGCTACAGAATTGTATCTCAAACAGAGCCAAACTAAAAATAGCAAAACTGATTCTGTTTAGACCCTAAAGAATATAGGATATTTCACTGAAGAGAATATTCATGATGGAGTTATGACATGCAAAATGGTGCTACTCTGTTTTAGAGATGTAAGATTGTAGAGGAGAAAAGTATTGCTGTATTTGGAAGCAAGAGAAATTAAGGCTATTTATTTATTTCTTCCCTTCCCCCAATCTCCTTGCAGACATTTACGAGACAAAGGAGAGGATGACAAGATGCCACCCATCCGAAAGAGACAGCGTGGTCTGCTGTTGAGGCTGCAGCAGGAGAAGGTAAATGCTACCCTATAGACAAATCCAGTTGAATCCATGGTATAGTCACTGGACAGCTCTGACATTGTATAGATTCTTAAGTATTGAACAAGAACCACTGAACCAGATCCTTGGATACTAAGCTTATTGTGGTTCTCATTATTATTATTTTTATTTATTTGTATTATAATAGCATCTAGCATTAGCAAGTTGAGCCTTTTACATCAGGACACAGTTATTAGTGATGGTATAGTTATTGATCAGCTGTCCTTGGACTGAGAATATCTGAACAAAATTATCAAAATAGCATAATGCTGTGGCCAATTATGTGGCACAGGCCTTACGGCAGCCTCAGCATGCATTCCAGGCAACTGTCACTACAGTTCTTTTGCTGCATCTTCCCTACCTTTAAAGGCAGAAATTAAGCGTTTGCAAGAGGCCAATAAGGCAGCTCGGAAGGAGAGACAACTGATACTTAAACAGCAGGAGGAGATAGAACGAATCCGCCAAACTACCATGAAACTGCAGGAAAAACTGAAGTCTGCAGGGGAAAACAAGCTGGTAAGTAACATTACAGAAGCTGTATCTTGGTACTTGGAGCCAACCCATATCATTGGTAATTGACTTCAGTGTTATAGCAATGAAAAGTTATCATGTTGAATATATAGCTTACAGACTTGCTCCTAACCCTTCCCTCATCCCTTGGGTTTATGAGCAATTTTGTCTGTCTGATCTGTTTAATTTATTGTGGAAGGAAAAAACAGCCATATGGTAATGACTTCCAAAAGATGTTTATTTTTTTAACTGGATAGCAAATGATGCTAATTATCAAGATTTTCAAAAGTTACTAGTGATTTTGGGTATCTTGATTTATGGATACCAGCTTAAGACACTTTAAAGAGTCTGATTTTCAGAAAATACTGAGTTTTTGCCCTTTGAAAATCAGTCCGTTTTATAGAGTCCCAAGTTGGGCCCTGAAAAATTGAGGCACCCAATGTCACTTTTGAAAATCTTGACTAATAAAACTAGTTTTCCTTACTATACATTTCTGGTTTAATCTGAAGAGACTAAAGCTTTCTGGTGACTTCAGACTATTTAATTCAGTCTTCCAGTTGCACAGGATATATGAGACTAGGGACCTAAAATAGCAGGAAGCCTCTGTATCATGGATAATACTAGTTGCTGTGCTTCCTGGATGAAAGACCTCTTTGGAAAGTGAACATACTTGTTATAGTGCAGGATTGTTGACTACGGCAGCAGCAGGATTCTAGGACTTTCCAGACCATGCAAAGAGTGCATTCACTATGAGTCGGAGGAAACAAAAGGAAGGCACAGTCATCTAGGAAAGAAAGAAACCCATATCATTAACTTGTTAAATAAGTCATTGTTAGAGACTGAGGAAGGTAAAATGTAGAATCGAGATTCTATAGAATATATACTACCCACAAAGGGAGGAAGAGAACAAGACTGAGAAAAAGACACTAGAGGGGGTGGAAGCTCAATACTTTGAAATGTGTAGGTAGAATGGTTTGAGCTCTTGACCCTTAGTCTTGCATGTTTCTTCCTCCAGACAGAAAGAGAAGAGAGATTCCATTACAGATGCGAAACTCTTTACAAAATCTAAGATGAGGCTTTATTCTAGCAATATGGAAAGGATTGACTCAGTATTTAAGAAACTATCAGTGGAGAACTTAACTTACAGAGGGGCAGAGTACAGAAGGGATTCATGCTGAATTTTTTAAATTGTTATTATATTAAATAAGCTACCAAGCATCTGCAATAGGAACTAGTGCCTCAAGTTTCTATTGTCAGATTGGTGTTGGGTGGGAGGTAAATATGGGGTAAATTAATAAAATAAAAAAGAAACCTGAAAAGGTTCAATTAAAAGAATTTCCTGCCTTCTTTTTGGCTCTAAAGTTTTCTCAGTAGAGGTTTCTTATGGATTTATGTTCTTGATTGCTTAAAATTGTATTGTGTTTGAGTTTTAGTAACCTCAGGATAAACTCTAAATAGGCTGCTTGGGTCCAAGGATTAACCTGTCTAAAGCAGTGTGGTAATAAGTATTGTTTTCAGGGCCAAATTTTGTGTTTTAAGCTGGAGAAAGGAGGAAAGCGGATCAATATTCAAAAAGTTCTTTTCTCACTCTTCACTCCAAGCCCATGGTACTTTTCTTAATTTTGTTCCGCTTTTGCAGGAGGTTCGCAGTGAAGATGATATAAAGCAGAGCAATGCTTCCAGCCCACTTCCAACTGATGTAGAGACCCGCAGCCCTTCCCCAGTCTCCATCTCCAGTAGTGAGACTAGTAGCATCATGCAGAAGCTCAAGAAAATGCGCAGCCGAATGGATGAAAAGTAACTATTTTTATAAAAGCTGTTTTGTTTATTTTAATAAAACTAGTAGCAGAAAATAAGTAAATGCTTTGTTTTATTAGCAGTAGATGACACTGCCAAGGCTGCTCCCTTTTACTACAGCAGCCCTTCAGTTTAAATGCCGTGCCATTAATTTATATGAGGAGTTGAAATGAAGTTGAGTACAACTTGGGAAAGTGTCTCCTGCAGTTCAGTTCAGATAGATCTTTAAGACTACTAAGATACAGTGCCTGTGTCCTCTGTTTGGGCATCTCACTTTATCCCTTTCACTTTTTAAGGGGACATTTATGTAATAATGCTTTGATGTTACAGTACATCTTTGCCCTGCATTCTAACAGAAATCTGCTGGCACGTTAGTTGACTTCAAATTCTGATTTGCAGATCACTGGCTAGCTGATCATATAGTTCTGGCTCTCCTTGTTTTTAACTGCTAAATTGGATTAAAAATCATCTAAAGATAAATTACTTTTCACTGAAGCAATTGTTGTAGGTGGCATGGGGTGGTGTTTGACCATGAATGGGAAGGGGAGATGGTCTGAATGATTATGAAGGAAATAGTAGGCACTCCATGAGATAATCCCGCTGTTAATATGTGGTCCATACACTGAGAAAAATTGAGAACATGTGAGCCACAGGCACTTATTGGAAAGCAGAATACAGAGTCTAAAAGGTGAGGGTATTTAAATTTAGTTTCCTATTTTATTTTATTTTATTTTATTTCATAAATGGCTTTTACAGTATGCTTGCTTAAAGGAGATACAACCTAATTGGAGGGCACTAGATGCAGTACAATGAACAAAGAGATTGTCAGATCCAGAACGTCCTTCAGGGAATTTGGATGGTATAAATTTCACAGTGAAATAACCCTTGTTCCCTAAAGATTGGTATTAGCTATGGCTCTACATTCCTGCTGTACAAGGTAACGAAGGAGCAAATTCATTGCTTCATGATGAGTAAAATTTTTCCTTGAGGCATGCCCTTTGTGTAATGCCTGTATAGTATATATGTCAAAGGATATAAATACTTTGTTGCAGAGCCCCTAGTTCCTTTTGTCTTATTTCATTGGTTAAGTATCACATTTTCAAGTCAGAAATGTTTAGGCCATCAAAGACTGCAACTTGAAGGGCATGTGAAAAATAATTTCATCAGAGCTTGTAGCCAAACTCAAGCTGATCTGAACAGATGAGATATTTGTAAAATAAAAATATGGCATTCTTCTTCATTGAAAATATGCAGAAGCAATTCAATGTGGAAGTTTCTTGTTCTGCTTTAAAAGTCCCACATACGTCTAAAAGAAGTTAACTATTACAATTCAATATGTCCACTAATCTTGGATATTAATCTAGTACCTTGAAGTTACCATATAAAAAGTATGTGGCCCTAACTGCCTTCAGCTCTTCTCTTTTGACCTTTAACTATGGGTCACCACTATTAATAGTCTTAAAGTAATTGCTGTAAATAGCTTTAAACTTGTTACTAGTTAAGGTAATTATAGTTTAGTCCATACTATGCAGATTTTCTGCTGTTTTTTCTCTTTTTGTCTCTAGAATCCCAAGATGTTGGGTCCAGAGAAAAGGTCATGAATCAAATGTTACACATCTTGTAATGACAAGATATCCATGACTCATTAGCATATTGGATACTTGAAATGCCTGGGGAGGGGCATAAGTCCTCCCTATGTTAGATTCTCGGTAACTATGGTAATGAAAGCTCAGATACTAAGGGGGCCCATATAGTAAGAAATAACTTGACAGAAGGTCAGTCTGATTGCACAGTCTTTACCCACTTTGGGTCTAAAAGGAAGTCTTCTGACCCAGACTCCACTGATTGGTGTTGAGTGGCCTGAACCCTCAGTTCAGTTCTCTTCTTTAAAGAAGAAACAGCATTCAGGACAACTGAGACACTGACTATAAAGTCTTAAGGATCTGTGCCTCCGAAGTTAGTCATGCTAAACCAAGTCCATCTTTATACAAGAAGCGTTGAGATTTAACTATGCCCTAACATAGACAAATCCTTTTAGAATGGGAAGGGCCACTCTGTTTATGGGCAATAATGGGTTCCAGAGTTCCCCAAAAAGAAAGGGTTTTTCTCCTTAGAACAAAAGAAGGTCTTTGAGTCTTCAAGGTTAAGAATCGGACAGATTGATCACAAGAATGAAATTTCCAGTGGCAACAGATGCCATAATTCAGAATTGGTTCACAGTTCTTGAATTTTGAAATCATACTTACATACCTTGATAAGAGTAGCTCTATAGGAAGTATCATAGGTGACTGAGTATCAAGGCGTAGCCATGTTAGTCTATATCCACAAAAACAACAAGGAGTCCGGTGGTACCTTAAAGACTAACAGATTTATTTGGGCGTAAGCTTTCGTGAGTAAAACACCACTTCTTAAGATGCAACTGATACGCTTTTTTTTTATCAGTGACTGATGCACTTTTTAATGGAAGTATTTTTATGCCAAAAATTTTTTTGGTAATATTTAATGTTCATCTTGTATTGTACTAGATACCTCTCTTCTTTCTCCAGGAGTGTAGATCATTAAATAATGCTTATCTTTACAGAAAAAGAGTTAGTTACTGGTAGATAACGACCCCATTACAATCTTGTAAAATTGTTATAAAATCTTCAGCCTTGGCACACAGTAAACATACCTTTAAGATGATAGGGAAAGGCCTAATGATATTTTAGTTGCCAGTCAAAACAATTGCCCTAGTTCAGTAGAATTTTCAAGACTGGCTAGCAGAACAGTTGCCCTCCTTTATCACGCTCTGAGCAGTAAGAAATGGAAATTATGCCTTTGTGTGGTTTAATATATCGTTCCAATGTTATCTCATTGCTTCTTGTGCTGTGGATTGTGTGTGTGTTTGGTAGAAGTTCAGGGAGGAGTAGCACTTTCTTTAAACTTAAATTTAACTTTTACTTTTGCCAAACAGATTATGCCAAATGGATATTTTTTACGTAATTAATATTTTGCTACATGGTTCTGAAACGGTATGTTTGTTCATAAAAACCAGCATTGCAGACTGCGGAGTTCTCCCAAGGATGTAGCAAAGAATACGGTTAAATCAAAGCAGTACAGCAAGACAGTATTGGCAGAATTTTTGCAGGTGGGGAAGGGAAGCCATCCCTTGAAAGGGAACTAATATTGAATTAGTCTAATTGCATAAGGTGCAGGAAAAAAACTGAATGATAAGAATTAACTAAAAGCAAACTGGGGAAGAAGAGGGCTTTAAAAGCCAGCTATACTTCAGACTGGAAAGGAATGCTGGACCTGCTGGACTCTGTGGCAAAGGAGAGATTCTTCACACTTCTGTGACAGCTTCAATACCTATCTTCTGCTAAGAAGGGAAGAGAAAAAGAGTTTCTGTCTTAATCCTTGTGGTATGCATGTGAACAGGAGCATGCTCTGTCAAAGAGAATTAACACTTTTTTCCCCTTGTGTCCTCTGTGTATGCAGCTTCAACAGTAATCATCCATGCACCATAGGAAATAGAAGAACTAACCTAATCTTTTGCTTTATCTTAACGTGTTTCTTACCTTGCACTGTAATAGTGAGCTATCTGTAGCATGGCTTTTCCTCTGAATAACTTTTGGGGGCTACACTATATTTTAAATATTATCATCCAACTGGCTTCAGGAATTTTGTAATATGGATGCAATTTTGTTGCACTTTAGTACTTTTAAGTGAAACAGGCAGTGTGTAAATGTGAGACCAAGACTATGCTTTGCTGAGAATGAAAAACGGCAACATCTGCATTCCAGCTAGAAATAGAAGTACCCGTGAACATTTCAGGCTATTTTTCTGAATCACTGCACTATTTTTGAACCAGGTGGTGCTACTAATTAGATCAGTGGCATTTATCTTTGGAAAAATGGTCAGATTCATGTTTGAACCTATAAGTGAAAATGTGTTTAGGGGTCTCAGAATAGTACCATTGTCCACATCATAAAACAAACAAGTCCTCTACTGAGGACTGGAATAGCAGGAGGTGCTAAAGACCCAGGATTGAGGTGTGTGCACAGAACTGCAAATGGAAGCTTATACACAAGCAACAAAACTACTACCAAAATCTGAAATTAACCTAGATAACAATATGAAAAGAAGCTTGCATTTAATTGACAGAATAAATTGTTACATTTTATGCATAGAAGTAGTTATGTTCTGTTGCCCTTGGAGTGACAACATACAATTTTTCTGTTTAAGATGAGGTGATGTAATCCATGTAATGTTAACACATTTTTAAAATTCTTTGTTAGCTGCTCTCCTTTTCTTGTTCTTTCTGTCTTTTTGATATCTTGGTTTTAAACTCTTCCTCCTTATTTTGTAGACACTGCTCTCCTGTTCACTACTTCTTCTCTGTCTTTACGTCTCACCACTGGGCCTCTCTCAGTGTCTGTTTTCCCAACCTCCATCCCAAATTCCAGCTGTATATCTACAACCAATTGGTCAGGTAACGGCACCTTTTTCAGTGGTGTACTCTTTGATAGAGCATGCTCTGTTCATTCCTAAACAGCTAGGAGGCTCCTCATCAGAATAGAATTCCAACACTTGCCTCACTGTTTCCAAATTAATCTGCTGTTGCTGAATATAATTTCCTGAGCAGTAGGTAAGAACACAAAATGGACTGCCTATTATTGAGCTGCTGCAACGGAGCAGTAATTGAAAACTTTATCTAGCGCTGGGCTTGAAGTCTGGACGCCTCAGCTTCTATTTAGTTATTGCATCTGTGTTTGGAGAGAGCACCACATTTAACCTTTTAAACTGCACAACTAAGTTTTCTTTATTCAATGGTTTCTGTTAACCTTTTGGAACTGATGGGTTAAAAAATACAGCATTAGCACAGTTAGCCTTTGAAAATAGTAATGGTGTGGTGTGAATGCCTTTCTCTCCCCCGCTCCCCACTGACCAAAAAAAACAAGAGAAACCTCTTGCCCAGTATGTATTAGAGTTTTCACTGGATTATTTTCTGTAGAGATCCCTGCTCTATAGGATGCATGTGCGTGCCTGGTGTTACATTGGAACACTCTAGAATATAGCAAATATTGAGGTTGTATACGTATTCTCTTGTGGTTTGGACCATTCAGTCCTCTAGGTTGTAAAAGGTTTCAGAGTAGCAGCCGTGTTAGTCTGTATTTGCAAAAAGAAAAGGAGTACTTGTGGCACCTTAGAGACTAACCAATTTATTTGAGCATAAGCTTTTGTGAGCTACTGCTCACTTCATCGGATTCATTCAGTGGAAAATACAGTGAGGAGATATATATACACACTGAACATGAAAAAATGGGTGTTGTTATACACCCTGTAAGGAGAGTGATCACTTAAGATGAGCTATTACCAGCAGGGGGGAGGGGAGAAAACCTTTTGTAGTGGTAATCAAGGTGGGCCATTTCCAGCAGTTAACAAGAACGTCTGAGGAACGGGGGGGGGGGAGGAAATAAACATGGGGAAATAGTTTTATTTTGTGTAATGACTCATCCACTCCCAGTCTCTGTTCAAGCCTAAGTTAATTGTATCCAGTTTGCAAATTAATTCCAATTCAGCAGTCTCTCGTTGGAGTCTGTTTTTGAAGTCTTTTTGTTGTAATATTGCGACTTTTAGATCAGAGATCGAGTGACCAGAGAGATTGAAGTGTTCTCCAACTGGTTTATGAATGTTATAATTCTTGATATCTGATTTGTGTCCATTTATTCTTTTACGTAGAGACTGTCCAGTTTGACCAATGTACATGGCAGAGGGGCATTGCTGGCACATGATGGCATATATCACATTGGTAGATGTGCAGGTGAACAAGCCTCTGATAGTGTGGCTGATGTGATTAGGCCCTATGATGGTGTCCCCTGAATAGATATGTGGACACATTTGGCAACGGGCTTTGTTGCAAAGATAGGTTCCTGGGTTAGTGGTTCTGTGGTGTGGTGTGTGGTTGCTGGTGAGTATTTGCTACAGGTTGGGAGGATGTCTGTAGGCAAGGACTGGCCTGTCTCCCAAGATTTGTGAGAGTGAAGGGTCGTCCTTCAGGATAGGTTGTAGATCCTTGATGATGCGTTGGAGCGGTTTTAGTTGGGGGCTGAAGGTGATGGCTAGTGGCGTTCTGTTATTTTCTTTGTTAGGCCTGTCCTGTAGTAGGTGACTTCTGGGTACTCTTCTGGCTCTGTCAATCTGTTTCTTCACTTCAGCAGGTGAGTATTGTAGTTGTAAGAATGCTTGATAGAGATCTTGTACGTGTATGTCTCTGTCTGAGGGGTTGGAGTAAATGCGGTTGTATCGTAGAGCTTGGCTGTAGACAATCGTGTGGTGTGGTCTGGGTGAAAGCTGGAGGCACGTAGGTAGGAATAGCTGTCAGTAGGTTTCCGGTATAGGGTGGTGTTTATGTGACCATCGCTTCTTAGCACCGTAGTGTCCAGGAAGTGGATCTTTTGTGTGGACTGGTCCAGGCTGAGGTTGATGGTGGGATGGAAATTGTTGAAATCATGGTGGAATTCCTCTAGGGCTTCTTTTGCATGGGTCCAGATGATGAAGATGTCATCGGTGTAGCGCAAGTAGAGTAGGGGCATTGGGGGACGAGAGCTGAGGAAGCGTTGTTCTAAGTCAGCCATAAAAATGTTGGCATACTGTGGGGCCATGCGGGTACCCATAGCAGTGCCGCTGACTTGAAGGTATACATTGTCCCCAAATGTGAAATAGTTATGGGTGAGGACAAAGTCACAAAGTTCAGCCACCAGGTTTGCCGTGACATTATCGGGGATACTGTTCCTGACGGCTTGTAGTCCATCTTTGTGTGGAATGTAGGTGTAGAGGGCTTCTACATCCATAGTGGCCAGGATGGTGTTTTCAGGAAGGTCACCGATGGATGGTAGTTTCCTCAGGAAGTCAGTGGTGTCTCGAAGATAGCTGGGAGTGCTGGTAACGTAGGGCCTGAGGAGGGAGTCTACATAGCCAGACAATCCTGCTGTCAGGGTGCCAATGCCTGAGATGATGGGTTGTCCAGGATTTCCAGGTTTATGGATCTTGGGTAGCAGATAGAATACCCCAGGTTGGGGTTCCAGGGATGTGTCTGTGCGGATTTGTTCTTGTGCTTTTTCAGGGAGTTTCTTGAGCAAATGGTGTAGTTTCTTTTGGTAACCCTCAGTGGGATCAGAGGGTAATGGCTTGTAGAAAGTGGTGTTGGAGAGCTGCCGAGCAGCCTCTTGTTCATATTCCAACCTATTCGTGATGACGACAGCACCTCCTTTATCAGCCTTTTTGATTATGATGTCAGAGTTGTTTCTGAGGCTGTGGATGGCATTGTGTTCTGCACGGCTGAGGTTATGGGGCAAGTAATGCTGCTTTTCCACAATTTCAGCCCGTGCATATCGGTGGAAGCACTCTATGTAGAAGTCCAGTCTGTTGTTTCGACCTTCAGGAGGAGTCCACCTAGAATCCTTCTTTTTGTAGTGTTGGTAGGAAGGTCTCTGTGGATTAGTATGTTGTTCAGAGGTGTGTTGGAAATATTCCTTGAGTCGGAGACGTCGAAAATAGGATTCTAGGTCACCACAGTACTGTATCATGTTCGTGGGGGTGGAGGGGCAGAAGAAGAGGCCCCGAGATAGGACAGATTCTTCTGCTGGGCTAAGAGTATAGTTGGATAGATTAACAATATTGCTGGGTGGGTTCAGGGAACCATTGCTGTGGCCTCTTGTGGCATGTAGTAGTTTAGATAATTTAGTGTCCTTTTTCTTTTGTAGAGAAGCAAAGTGTGTGTTGTAAATGGCTTGTCTAGTTTTTATAAAGTCCAGCCACGAGGAAGTTTGTGTGGAAGTTTGGTTGCAGTTCCCACCCATCCCTTTCTTTTCTCTTACCACTGTGGATTGAAGGTCAAAACCCTTGTTTTCTCTGGACTCCTTTTGGCTTGTTCGGCTAGTGTCATCATAAATAGTTAATGTTTGTGTAGCTGTTAATTTTTATGGCAAGTTAATTGGTTCTTCATGTCATTCTTTGGATCCATGAGTTGATACAGTAGGCATCTGGTTCGGCATGGTTTTGTCAGCTCCTGCTCTTTTGAATTCATTTCAAGATCAGAGCTATGTTATATGCCTTATATTGAGGTTATCTGCATAGACTGTATGGGGTTTATACAACTTCATGAAACTCGCAGGAGTGGGTGGATGAGATTCTGTGGTCTGTGTTGTGCAGGAGGTCAGACTAGATGATCATGATGGTCCCTTCTGACCTTAATATCTATGAATCTATCTATGATTCCATTTATTTCTATTGTCAAAGTGGCTGAGTCTGAGAAGAATCTGAGGTTGAAGTAATGTACATTGTATGAGGCAAAGATTTTTGTATTCAGACCAGTGTATCCAGTTCCTGGGTGAGTGATACTTCCCACAGAGGTGTATGCTTTATGCAGATTGCCTCCACTTCCCCTCCCAAAATACTCAGAGTGGGAGTCCCACCTATGTATGTTGAAGAAAGTCCAACAGGCTAATCTGATTTTAGCTGAAATGTATTAATGAATTGGAGTCTGGAATATCTTCTGCCTAGAAGTCCAACTCTGAGAAATCACTGGGTTCAAGAATGTCTCAAGGACAACAGTGCTCACTGGACTCAGATCCCACTATTCCCTCTCTTGGAAGGAAGAGGAGAAGACACATGATGTTTCTCTTGGTCCTTTATGGATTCCTGAAATAAGTTATGGAGACTTTGGCCTCAGTGAAGATCAAGCTAGGATGCAGTTAGAGGTCTGCTCCATGGTTCTCAAACGTATCAGGCATCTATGCAAAATCCTTCTGAAATAATCATAAGAGATCCACATGGCCTTGGACTTGTTGGCCCAACAGTCTTGATCCTTTTCCCCTGAGTGGAGGAGAAAGAAGAAATAGAGAATAATCATTCAAGTAACTGCTGCTTCCTCCTCTTCAACTGATGAGTCTGTGTATACATACCATCCTTTTATGTCTCAATTTGATGACTTTAGGAAGTTTCAGGAGTTATTGAGCAGAATGGCAGAGGAGTTTTATATTTAAATTCGGATAATTCATGGAACATCATCTCACCACTTGTTTACTATCATTCAGCTCCAGCAGAACACAGCAACTATCCCCTTATTCCTTCTGAAAACCTCTGACTATCATTCACCTCTATCCCACAGACATTTAACCCTGCTGATAATCACCAAATCCCAGATCTCTTATTGTGGCAGTTAATAAGAAAACAAAGTAAAGAAGAGTTAACCCATCACGATCAGAATGTTGAGGGAGTAATTTTATTCCTCTGCTGTGCTTCAGAAGAGAATAAGGATTCATCAAATGATATTGGAACAGTACAATTTCTTGGCTTGGGGCGGACTTCTCCTATTAATGGACTGGCTTCCAAAATAGTTGAAAAAAGAAGCCAGGGTAGTTGTGCCTGAAGATCAAAAGGAGGCAAAGCATTCCTCTAATGTGGCTTGATTCCTTAGACACAACTCAATTGGTAGTCATGGCAGTGACTTACCAATGAATTATGTCTAAGGAGGCCAGGCATTCCACAAGATGTTCTAGCAAGTAGAAATATCTTCCTTTTGAGGCCTCCCCACATATTTAATTATAAGACCAATTATACAATGGAAGAGAGAAAAATTCTAGGTCGTCTTGGAAATTTTTGACTGGATTGATCCTCCTACAGGAAAAAGCTAACTTTCCAGTATCCAGGTGCTGCAGAGCAATCATCGGAACACTTTGAGAAACCCCCATCAGACACTGTCATTCTGGCAGAAAAAACTTTAGTTAGCAGAGATAAAGGAACTTATCTACAGCTTGGTGGTCTGTGCCAGTGGCTCCCAAAGCTTATTGGTTCATGTACCACCAACTTAAAAAAAAAAAATGTATGAAGTGAATGGATGGAATATCAAGCTCTCATAGTACCCATGGTACATGAACCATATAGTTTGGCAACCCCTCATCCAGGTACAGTTTTTGAGACAGTAAATTTGATATGCATACAAGAGCCTTAAGATAATAAATGTGGCAGGTTATTTTTGTTTCTGCTTAGGAGCCAACTTCCTTCTTTATTTTTCGTGAATCATAGAGTTGCAATTACCTCAGGCAGATGGGTGCTTGAGGTTGGTTTCAAAAAGATTACGCCATCTAATTCTTCTCTGTTTCTTACCAATCTTTTCTTATCAGTTACGAAAATATACTGAGAAGTAATTGTCGTTTTTAATTGGAAAAAGATAGCAAATGTCACCTCTGTGGCCTACATTAACAGACTAGGGTGGGCTGAAGGAGTTGAGCTTCATCCTGTTCCATTGTTCAGAGGAACTTTTTGCAATCTAGTAACCAGCTGGCTGTCCAATTTAGCTGATCATTTATGTGATGGGCTTTAAATATGAAGACCTTGTACCAGGAAAACTATCTCTGAATCCTGCTGTGTTCCAATGGATAATATGCTCATTGGCCCTTAGCACATCAGTCTGTTTTGTAGCAGCAGCAAGGTAACACTTTATTCAAAGGTGATTGTCACAGATGCCTGTCACAACATTGCCCAGAGGGTCTGTTTTTATACACCTTCCCTTCTGTGCCTCTTCTAATAAAAAAGATTCAGAAAATGGAGATCCAGAGAAAATAATCTTAGTGGCACCCCATTGTTTGCAGTGATCTTGTAGCTGTATTGGTCTCAGAATATGAGAGACAACGTAGGTGGGATAATATCTTTTATTCGATCAATTTCTGTTTGTGGAAGATATAAGCTCTCAAGCTAAACAGAGCTCTGCTTCAGGTCTGAGGGATGGAAGCAGAACGTCTCAGCTAATACAGGTTAAGCAGAAGGGATAAGTGTGTTGGAGGTCATTACTTGAAATGAAGTGGGTTATTGGGGGTTAGACTGTTATGCATAAAGGGTTTGAAATGGGCAATTAAGGATAGCAGACAGTGCAGTGTTATAACTTGTTGTAATGAGTCATAAAAACAGTGCCCCTGTTAAGTGCATGGTGTTTGGTAGCTAGCAGAGTTATGAATGTAAGTTTCCAGGCTTGCCTTTTGCAGGTTTTATGCAGGTTTCCCTTGAGGACAAGTACTGAAAAATCACCTTTGTTGAATGATCACTGTGTGAAAAATTTTCTGCCGTGGATGATACGATATATTTTTGTCTTCTATCAATTTTCTATCTGAGCTCATTCGAGAGTGAGGTGATTGTCTGGTTTCACCCACTTAGTTGTTAATGGGGCATTTGATGTAGGACCCATGAATCTTGAACATGTTTTGTGGGGGATATTGATCATCATAGCAGTGGAGATATGTCTGGAGGTTTTGCATCTTGTTCTGGCAGGGTCTGGTGCTCCTTTGAGTTGGTGTGTACTGGTCTGTGGGGCGCATGTTTCTGATGATGAGCTGGGCGAGGCTGGTGGGTTGTTTGAAGGCCAGAAAAGGGGGTTCAGGAAGGATTTCTTTCAGGGTGTGGTCCCTATTAAATATGGGTTGTAATTGTTCGATGATACCCCATAAGGGTTTCATTGTGGGTGGTAAGTAACAACTAGGGGTGTGCGGCCAGAGGGTTTCTCTTTCCTGTACTGAAACAGGTTCTCTGGGTGTTTTTGGATGGCCCTTTCCATGATGTGATCTACTTCTCTGGTGGCGTGTCCTTGTTTAGTGAAGGCCATTTTAAATGTGTTTAGGTGTGCATCTTGGACTTCCTCTTTGGAGCAAATTATGTGATATCTGAGTGCCTAGCTGTAAATAACAAATTATGTGGTGTGTCTGGAGTGGTTGCTGGATATGTGGAGGTAAGTGTGGTGATCAGTGGGTTTCTTGTGTATAGTCATTTGTAGGGTTCCATTATTTAAACTAATCGTGGTGTCCAGGAAATGGATGCTGGTATGGAAGTGTTCTAGCACCTCACTGGAAGATGAGACTCTGGTTTTCACTGCTCATACATTTACTGAACTACCTTTTGACTGTTATGACAACTGGACTTGTGCTTCTGGAATCCAGTCAGCCACAAAGAACTGGGAATTCGAAACGCATCAGCCTGGCTGCTGAATGAAGCAAGACAGAGGTAGTTATCGTAATGAGGTCATTGTCACCTAATTGGTCTCCATAAAAGTTTCTGAGTCAAGGACCTACTTGACTAACTGGAATGGCTATGACATGCATAATTGAAAACAAGGAATAAAGAGTTAAACAGTCTTGGTGAAGAAACAAATGTGGACTCCATGGTGATCCAAGTATTGTCAATTACAGTTCCCTCAAGATGCCTTATCCAGGGGTTTTGTACTAGGACTTCAAAGGTATATACTAGGCCCTAAATTCAGTTATGTGCTGCCAGGTAGAGGGATCACTCATAGGCCAGCAACATGTATTATATCATATATTTTTTCAAAGTACTGAAGAAACTCAGACCTCCAAAGAGGTTAATACGTCCAACATGGAGTCTCAATTTAATCTTAAAATCCCTCCTTTCACATCCCTTTGAACCATTAAAGTAAGTTTCTCTATACTGCTTTAGTCTTTGTGTGTTTCATGATATCAATCACATCTCCATGCCAAGTATAAGAGATTCAGAGTACTTTACATGTGAATTATAAATACATCCCCAAGGACAAAATGATACTGAAAATCGAGGAGAAATTCATCCCCTTCAAAGGTGGTCAGTGTTCCACAGAGCCCAAGATATAGTTCTACCTTCCTTCTGCCTCCATTTCTCAATGCAGGAAAGAGAAGCGGTGGCACACTCTGGATGTCCGATGGCTCCTGAAAATATATCTTCATATAATTATTCAGAAAATCTAATTTTTATTTGGGAGTTTCCATGTAGTTAACTGAAGGAAAAAGGCATGTGAAGACACCATTTCCAAGAGCAGGGATCCATACAGACAATATTAAAAGAAGAGTTACTTATCAGTACCTATAGTTCTTCAATTGGATTGTCAGTATGGAACCATATGCCCTCTTCTTATGGTTGCTTGTGTATTTGGAAAGAACTTGAGACATTTAGGGTTGCAGTATCTTCTATACCAGTGAGGACAGTAGGGAGAACGTTGGGATCCATGAAAAAGAATGCTCACAATCCCAATGGTCACTGTTTTCTAGAGGGTTCTGACTTAATGGTAACAGCCTTTTTGCATGCCCAGGAGTGGGGATCACTACAGACTATCTGTTCAAATTGGTTACTGGTGAGTAACCCTTCTATGTATAACTACAGTATTTAAAATCCTCAGAATTTGTAGGTGATTAGCTCCCTCCAGATTAGTGATCTGTTTATCATACTGTATCATAAAAGCTGGGCCTCAGAGTTATCCTAAGTGACCAGAAGTTGTTTATGTGTGTGTTGACTTTCTGCTCAAAGTGGGCCTGGTGCAAGGTCAACCTTGAAACCTCTTTTAAGGGGACAAGCATTTAAAAAATCCAAAATGGTGGGTCTCTTGGTAGATTAAGAATTTTCCATCATAGTTTTTACATTAAAAACTTGCCTGCTTCTCATAGAAAGGAAACGTGCAGAAAGATATGAATTGGAAGATATCTGTTACACTTCTGATTTTTTTTCTGTGCTGTTCTACATAATTTGTCAATGAACCGCAATAAGTCCTACACAGTAGGAACAGTAAGTCATTTGCCTCTTTTTATTATATAGTTTTTTTCGTTTGTTTTTTGGAGATCTATGGAATGTCACAACATTGATATTCTCCTAGAAAACAACAAGTCTATATATCATGATGATAGAGCATCTGGCCATTGGGTCTTTTGGCTGTGGTAGACTGTTTTCCTGTTGTCTTCTGATATGTTTATTAGGTTCCTGACTAAGCGAGAACAGAAGCTGATGCAGCGGCGACAACATGCTGAAGAACTGCTGGAGTGGAAGCGCCGTCTAGATGCAGAGGAAGCAGAGATACGTCAGATGGAGAAACAAGCCTTAGCTGCTTGGGACAAAGAGAGACTCAAAACAAAAACAGCCAAAAAGGAACTTGGGGACCAGAGGGCTGAACCCAAAGGTAAAACCGTGTTCTGCTCAAAGAGTTACCCAGTGCAAATGATGACTGGGCAAAACATAGCATATCATAAACTATTAGCCTCTGGTAAGCTCATATTTTTGTATTTTCTTCCTGTGTGGTAGTGGTTATTCCTCTCTGGACACACAATTGTGTTCTGTCCTCTGCTCTTTATTATCTTCTAACTCTTATCATTATCTTTAACCTTAGCTACCACGTTTACACTGATAGTCAACAGTATGTCTTTAATGACTTTGTTCACCCTCATGTCTTGCATTGACCAAATAAATCCGTTTCTTTGTTTCAACTTTCCAGAGCTAAATACCTCTGATAGAATTGCTTCTCTTATACAAGACGACCTTTCTCAAGCGCCACTCCATCTCCTTCTCAACTCAAAGTTTTTGGCTTCCAGTGGCTTTATCTTGGTGACATCTTTGACTCTGTACCCTTCTTTATATTCTACATGTTACATCTTGAAATACACCTGAGGCCGTCTCTGCAGCTTTATCCATTTGTCTCAGTGCCTCTGTTTGTCTCTCTGTTTTTCTAATCCAAGGGTCTCAAACTCAAATGACCACGAGGGCCACATGAGGTCTAATACATTGGCCCGAGGGCCGCACCACTAACCACACCCCCTGCTGCCCCAGCCCCGCCCCCACTCCACCCCTTCCATGAGGCCCCGCCCCTGCCTCGCCTCCTCCCACCCCTTCCCTGCCCCCATTCCAACCCCTTCCCTGAAATCCCCACCCCAATTCTGCCCCCTCCCTGCCCCCAGGGGGTTGGAGTGCAGGAGGGGTGCGGGGTGCAGGATGTGTGCAGGGTAGTCAGGGTGCAGGATGTGGCAGGTGGCTCAGGGCAGAGGGTTGGGGTGTGAGGTGCAGCGGGGGCTCAGGGCAGGGGCTTGGGGTGCAGGAGGGGTGTGGGGTGCAGCAGGGGGTCAGGGTGCAGCAGGGGCCTCAGGGCAGGGGGTTTGGTTGCAGGAGGGGTTCAGGGGCGGGTCCGGCCCCACATGCACCGGGGGCAGGGCAGGCTCCTTGCCTGTCTGCCCTGCCCCCACACCACTCTGGGAAGTGGCTGGGACCTGGGGGAGGGGGAAGGGGGCACGGTGGTCTGTGTGTTGCCTTGGCTGCTCCTCTAGGTACCTCCCCCGAAGCTCCCAAATGGGGCGGCACTGTGAAAGGGGCGGCAGTCCGTGTGTCGTCAGGGCGGCACTTGTCTTTCCGCGGCAGCAGCGGCAATTCGGCAGCAGCCCACTCTGCAGGCTGCGCCACGGCGGCAGTTCGGCAGCAGCTTCTGTTTTCAGTCGTCCTGCTTGGGGCAGCAAAAACGGTAGAGCCGGCCCTGCTCTTAAATCCCCTTTCCGTTTCAGTGCTGTTCTCGTCCATCTCCCTACCAGCCATCTTACTACCATTACGATTCTTGCCATCAGAGGGAGCTTTCTTCTTCCTCACAATTTGCATTTCGGATCAGTGAAAAGCTGTTTATCTTCCCTGCCTTTGACTTCTATTTTCTCTTGCTATGTTATTAACTCTGCAACTATACATGACTAAAGTATTTTTGGGTGCAGTTTGTATGAAAGGTTCTTCTATATGGAAAATAAACTTGCTTCGATGCAGCTCCCAAAATGAGTCTTGTTCAGCCTTCCTGTGGCAGTTTGTAATTTCAGCAAGAGGTTTCGAGAGCAGGGAGTCTAAGTGAAGAAAATACTGGTCTCTTCAAAGATTGTCCCAGAGGATCTTAATTTTCCTTTCTCCCCTCACCAAAATAAAGCACATCTTTTGAATCTATGAGGCAGTTCAGAGTTATGGTCCGTTTCACTCGTCATTGCAAACTCCCACTTGAACTTCACACGACTATGACAATTAAAAAAAGAATGGTGAAATATAAAGTTTTAGTGAACAAAAACCCCAATGTGTTGAATGTAAAAAGCAAATGTATTTGTAGTCCCTCCACTAATTTTATCTACCTACCAGGGTGGGAGCTCAGTCATCCTGGAGAATGGAGTAAGGTGATTCCTTTCCCCAACCTCTGCCCCAATATTGAGTAATTTTCTAAGGCTTTTTTCACTAGTATTGTATATCCTATAAAAGTTAGAAAACAGGAATGTTTATAACTAGGTCCTGATTTCCAGATTCTGTTATCTGCCAAGAGTTGAAGAAATCATAACATCTAAAATAGCACAAGAAGCATTTTCCTACTGCTTCCCGTGTTTGAGGTTTGTCAACAACTGTTTCAGGGAAAGCATAGAATTTTGAACTCAGGATTTGGTTTTCAACCAATCACAGCTAACCATGCAATATCGTTGAGGGGTGAGGAATTATTTCCATAGGCAGATTCCATGCTCCAGTATTGGTCTCCGGCAGTTGACTTCACCACCTCAGTGACTGCTGAGGGTTGTAATTGAATAGGGGAGCCTGTCTTTGCGGGGTATTGGAAGATGTTCATTAAGAACCACAGAGTTTGGAAAAGTTAATTTAGAATATGCTGAAATCCCTTTGTTTTAGGCATCCAGCAGCCACTACTAACATTTGGCATTTTGTTTTATTAAAATTCCTTGATTAAATATTGCCTTGGTAAAAAATTCAATACCATATAATGTGAAGTAACACTATACAATCAGAATGGTGTAAACTTGAAAGCATGTCTGTCACCAACAGAAGTTGGTGAAAATATTACCTCACCCACCTTGTTTCTTTACTGTACAATCTGGCATTTAAACACAGCTTGTGACTGATTCTGTTTGATCAAATGCAGTAATCAAAACTACCTTAGATGCATGTAAATAGTGCAAGTTCTTGCTCGGCTGACTGTACTGTGTGCTCTCTTTTGCCTCCACTATCTCATTTCAGAAACAGCCAGTGAAGAGGAGTCTCCAGTGCTTTCCTATACTCATCTAAACAGTGAAAGCTCTGTCCCAGAAGAACTAGGCAGTCCAGCTGGTGAACCTGTCCCATCAGAGGCTGTGGACCAAGGGAAGCCAGTAAGCCCAGATCAGAGTACACTTACTGAAGAAATGATTTACTCACAAGATCTAGAGTCTGCTACCTCGCCAGCCAAGCTTGTGAGTGAACTTTATCCTTCACATTTATATATTCTAGTAAAGAACCATCAGAAGAGAAGTAGAAAATAAACTTTCTAGTAGCCGTTTAAAGCTTTCTACACAGAGATTAAACTGTTTTTTTAGCTGAAATGCTATATCCGAAGGTGTCAGTAAATATTGGAGACTCGTACTTTCTTTAAATTCTTTAGAAAAAAAATTGTTTGGGAATGGGGTCAATTAAGCATTTTTAACTTGTGTGCAGACTTACTACAGATTTTGAATGTGCCAGAGGGGCTACGCAGCATAATCAGTGGAATGCTAGCCCAGCATACCAGTGTGACTTGGATGGATGATAGTTTGTCATGATTATATCAGGCACAGGAAGCTAATACTATGATTTTGATTTGAATTATGCATTATGAAGTGTTTGGGGGTATTCCATAGCATAAGGAACCCAGCTGTGCCTCACCCATAGTCTTGCAGGTTACAACATATAATGCCAGCTTGTAGATAATTCTGGCTTTCTACTCTGTTCCAAGTATTATGTCTGCTTGCTTTCTAAGTTGCATCATGGTAATTCTTGTTCTCTGGGCTTTATACCTGGGTGAAGCTGTGAGGCTAAAGATGCTGTGTCAGCCACTGTCTGTGGAGACACTGCTCATTGAGACTTACATTGAGTTTTACAAACACTTTTTCCTCTGGGAAAGTCCATTTAGAACGTGCCGCTGAAGAGAGAGTGCAGTGTAAACATCTAATGTGCCAAAGGTTATATTCTGTCTGGGTAAAATGGCTATGGCAAGCATACTGTTAATGCTGTAAACAGATATCTGGCAGAGAATCTGCCCTTAAGAGAAGTTTTGCCTGGCTGGAAGTTGAGCCCGTGTTGTGGTGGTTGATGTAGGGTAATGCCTTGCACTTCCTGATATTGAGAAGTGTCCTTTCAGTTTAGCAGATATATTTGGCAGCAGTTTTTATGAAAGTGTGGTTGCACCAACAAATACGTTAAAAATATTCTAATCTGAAGCATACAAGTTTTCTTTTTTAGCAATAAACCAGACCATGTAAGGCAGAATTACTGAGGTCCAGGTTCAAGATAAATGTCTGCTTTTGCTACTTTAGGTAGTTTTGTTCTGATGCGTAATACACTGAGACGGATAAAGCTTTCGTTAATGTATCTGGATAGGTAGCTAGCTATTTATTATTGCTAAAGATTTATGGCTAGGGAATACTTTCCTTCCTTGTAATTAACTCCTGTTGACAGTGATCTCATACTTTTAAATTGAACTTCACAAGTAGTTACTTATTTTTTCTTTCGTCTTTGAATAGTCTCCTTCCAAAAGCAGTACATCTATGTCAAAGCAGGATTCCATCAAAGGAAGCCACAGAACTGGAGGGCAGCAGCGTTTACCTGTGAAATCCCATCAAATATCCCACAGTTGGTCTGATGAGTCTTTATCCATGACACAGTCAGGTAAGATTGAAAGAATACATTGTCTTGTGTTTAAATTGATTTCTCATACTCTGTGTTTTTGCAACCCAGTAAATTAACTCATAAATCTAATTAAGTAAACTGAAAATATTTGAAATTGCGCTGAGTTCAGGATTCTGTAGGAGGGTTTTATATTAAAGTTGATCACTTCAGTGTACAGCAATGAACAAAGTTTCCTAAACTGTGATGTCATTAACTGTTCTAGAAGAAATACAGAGCCTGAAAATCTGATGTCAGAAGTTGGAGGAAATGATCTTTCAGATCCTTTGTTTACTATATTGAATTTAAGTGTACTTAAACATGCACACCCACTGATATGAATGAGATCTTAAACATGTTGTTTTTTTCACCAGTTCACTTTTAATGAAACCGATGTTCATTACCCCTGTTAAGAATACTTTGACTTAGTTATTTGCACCCAGGGACATTCTGCAGTTTGTGAGCATAAGAATGCCACCTTCATTGTAGGGAAGCTTGCACTGGGGTTGTATGTCTGTGCTTTATCTGCTCTGTAGGATGAGTTTATCATCCTCTTAGTTGCTCTACCTGGAAACCTTTACCAGAAAGGAATTGTTTTTTTTTAACAAAAAAGGGGGAATTTTGCTTCAATTTTCTCCTTTTCCTGACAGCAAATGACTTGCATTAAAATTAATCCTGAATTTAGAATATTTGTGTGCTTATATACAAACAGCAGAAAGTGTCGGACGCCACCAATGCAAAAAGGTTAGCACCTGGCATATATATTATAGGTGGAGCTGGTAATACCAACCTATTAAGGTTGCCTATTACTTTCCATTATAAGACTGTGTGTTTGGTTGCTTGCAGTTTTGACAAACTTTGACCGTTCGGGCTCCAATTTTCCATGCTGGATGTCTGCTTCAGACTGAATTTTCTTAGAAAATTTCAGCTAAAATGGTTTGGGTGTGTCTGAAATCAAGGCTAGAGAAAAATACATTGTTTTGCCCATGTAGAAAAATTCTGGCACACTTTTTCGAGAAGCCGGAGTGACCTCATGCTTTGGAGCAAGGACTTGAAATTTGACAGAGGGGTTGCCTTTGTGTTAAGGATATGCCTTTTTGCCTTCCCTATGGAAATCCATCCAAATTTGGCCAAGTTACAAACCTTGGAAAAATCAGTTCACACATGCTCAATAGAGACTTCCTAGATTTTAGCAGCTAGGATCTCCAAAAGTTCTGAGGCAAGAGAACTGGGAGTGGCTGGGTAAAACGACTGCTAAAAGGAGCTAGGAGGTTGGAGAGAGACACTGAGATAGGCCAAAGAGCCCAGGGAGGAAGACTGGGATTGAAAGCTAATGGGGATGTAGAGGGAGGAAGAGAGTCAGGGTCGTGGGGACTGGGACTGATGGTAAAATGGGACTGGAAGTAAGGTGCTTGTGGGGAAGACTTGGACAAGGAGTCTGGAGGGGGAGAACTGGGATGGAGAATCCAGAAGGGATTCTAGGACTGCCTGGGTAAGGACACTGGGACTGGGAGGAGAAGCCTGAGAGTGACTGGATAAGTGAAGAGAATGGCACTGGGACAAGGTGCTAGGGTGGGAAAGAGATGGGACTGAGACAGGTATGAAGGGACAGAAGAATCTGTGCCCACTAGACATGCTCCCTTCCAGAGCTTGGACTGGAACCCAAGATCCCTAAGTCTCACCTTTCCTCTGCTGTCAGTAGTACCTGTGGAACCCACTGGCAAAGTTCGTTTCATCCCCCTCTAGTGCTGGTCCATATAGAGGATGACAACCTACTGATGCTATCAGTTACTCTGTTAGCTCAAAGGGAATAGGTTTCTGTGGTGTATCTAAAGGTTCAAGCCCTGCTGATGACCTATGTGAGTGGCAGTATGAATGGAATTTGCGGTTTTTCAGTTTGCCTTTTAAAAATCTAGGAGATTACACACACAAAAGCTAAACGCAAGAACATTAAGGTTGCACAGTGAAGCAGTCAGAAGCTAGGAAAAGCCAGAATTAATGTTGCCTGTGCACTCTTAATTTGTCTTCCTCGTGTGTATTCATTATGATACAGTCTTTAATTACATGATCATGTACTATTTTTTCCACATGACCCCTGCCTCCACCAGTGAACAGGATGGATGGTACTCATGTAATGAGCAGCTATTCAATATTTTATTTTATTTTCATTGTGCATTGTGTCACCTTAAGTCTCATTTGCTGCACACTACTCAAACCCTGCTCTGAAGACAGAATTATTAATTCATTTATGGACTTTTCTGTGGCACTCATCACATAGTATCAGAGTACTTAACAAACGTAATTTTTCAACTTCCCTGTGTGAGGAGGAGGTGGTATTATCCCCATTTTACAGATAGGGAAGTGAGGCACAGACAGTAAGGTCAAAGGTGTCCACTAATTTTGGGTGCCCATTTTGAGGTACCTAGGACCTGGTTTTCAGAGTACTTTTCATTACATAGCACTTTCTGTGCTCAAAGCACAGCTCTCATTGACTTCAATTGCTGCTGTGAGCACTCAACACTTCTGCAGATCAAACTCCAGGGTCTCACATTAGGCACCCAGAAAATGAGGAACATCTAATTAGTGACCACCTGTGAGAGGTTTGGTTTCAGTGACCTGCCTGACATGAGACAGGAACTTTGTGGGAGAGGCAGAGATAGAATTCAGTTCTCTGGGCCAGCATTCAATTGCCTTTAACCATGAGATCATCCCTTCTTTTTCTGCAGTCCCCTGCCTCATTCACTGCAGACCTTCCAACTTCTGCAGCAAATGCAGCAGGGGTCCTCTGCACTTCCCCACAGCAAGTCCCTCCCCACAGCAGATCCATCCTCTACACTGAATGAGGTGGGGGTCACATGGAAAAATAGTATGTAATCATGTAAGTTAAACATGTATCATAAAGAATAAGCAAAAAGAGGCCAAATTGAGGTTGCATAGGCAACCTTAATTCTGGCATTTCCTAGCTTTTCAGTGCTTGCCTTGCAACCTTAATAATGTTCTTATAACAGCTTTTGTGTGCACTAGAAAATAACAGGACTTGTCAGGACAAGTGATTTCCATTTTGATATAAAAATGAATACATAAAATAAACACATTCACACTGATTAATTTTTAATAGCATGCCACCTTCAGGGCACTGTAACATAATTAAAACATGCAATAACTTGATAAAATTATCTTAAAGTTGAAACAGAGAAAACCAAATAAACATATCAGTACGAATAAATGAAAAATAATGAATATGGGGTGCCAACAGTGATCATGATGAGCTCTTTTGAAATAAATAGACTTTCAAGTATTTGGCATTTTAAAATATGATGGAGAGACTAAGACTGATGTCAGCTGGAGGAGGGATTTGGGGATGTATCACTGCATTCTAGTGTTGGTCTGCATTGTTACCCTTTTTCTCGCACCATATGTAAAATGATCTTGGTTCGTTAAAAGGACATTGTCGAGTTAAAAATAGATATTGCAGTTTTATTTGCGGGTTTAACTGATGTCTGAGATAAGTAAAGAATTTTTAAAAATTAATTTACTTCTCACCATTTATGCTGTTTGTTTCCACTTCTGCATTTTTTTGTCAGCTTGAACTATGAAAACAGAATAGTCAATTTCGTGTTTGTTTATAATCAGTTTCTGGTTCATATGTGCTATCAATGCTTGAAAACACTTTAGAGGAAAGTTATTCTTTTAAAAAAAATTCATTAACATTTTTCAAATGTCGTGGCAACAGATTCTTTTGTTAGGCTTTGTAGAAACTTGCTTTATACAAAAACTGAATTTGGGCCTTAATTAACATGATGTTACTGTCACTTAAGTAGGAGGAATTAATTATAATCAAGACACTTGCCGGAAAATAAGTACACTACCTCGGATTATGAGGAGAGAACACATTCTTCCTATCAAACACGTATATCTATTTTGTGCACTACTTGTTTAAAAACACTTTCATAAATATTTAACTATAAAACTTCACTGAAAAAGGAATGCATCCAGCTGCTGATCACATTTACTAGCTGCTGACAGTGAAATCCCTTACTGCTAGTTACTTTTGCTATCTTTTGGTGAAATGAGGCATTGGTTATCGAACTGAAGTGCAAATTGCTATTGGGCCATGAAGAACTAGCTGGTCACATGGTGCTGCTGACTTTTCTTCTTTATTTCAGCTGGTTTTATAGTCATCTATGCTCTTCATTGCAGCAAATGGTCTGGGTGCCTGTAAAACTGCCTAGAACAGGGGTGGGCAAACTTTTTGGCCTGAGGGCCTCATCATGTTTCTGAAATTGTATGGAGGGCCAGTTAGGGGAGGCTGTGCCTCCCCAAACAGCCAGGCATGGCCCGGCCCCCGCCCCCTATCTGACCCCCCTCCCTGATGGCCTTCCTGGGACTCCTGCCCCATCCAACCCCCCTGTCCTCTGACTGCCCCCGGACCTCCCACCCCAACTACTCCCTGACACCCCATCCAACTCCCCCATCTCCTTTGTGACTGCCCCCCCCCCCGGACCCCTGCCCTATCTAACCACCCCTTCTCCTTGACTGCCCCTGGACCCCCTGCCCCTGACTGCCCCCCGCCACCCCATCCAACCCCCCCCTCCTTCCTGACATCTCCCCGGGACCCCCCACATCCAACCACCCCTTCTCCCTGTCTGCCCCCAGAACCCCTGCCCCTGACTGCCCCCCACTGCCCCATCCAACCCCCCGTCCTTCCTTACTGTCCCCCCAGGACCTCTGCCCCCATTCAATCACCCTGTTCCCAGCCCTCTGACTGCCCCAACCCCTATCCACACCCCCGCCTCCTGACCACCACCCCCGAACTCCCCTGCCCTCTATCCAAGCCCCCAGCTCCCTGCCTCCTTACCGCGCTGCCTGGAGCACCAGTGGCTGGTGGCGCAGCTGCACCGGGTCAGGCCGGGCTCTGCAGCTGCGCTGACCCAGGAGCTTGCCCCTCCCTGGCCGCCCAGAGCATTGTGCCGGCGGCGCGGCGCACTGAGACTGCGGGGGGGAAAGGGAACAACATGGGAGGGGCCAAGGGCTAGCCTCCTGGGCCAGGAGCTCACGGGCCAGGCTGGCCAGTCCTGCGGGCCGTAGTTTGCCCACCTCTGGGCTAGAAGCTGCCTCTACTAGGGGCTGCTGCTACATAGAAGGAGGAGAGGACACAGGAGCGCCCCTGAGACTGAAGTTTTCAGCCACCAGGGAGAAGTGCCAAGGGGACTGTAAATTAGACTGAAAACTATTAATAATATTTATTATTTCTATTTTGGTAGTGCCAGTCATGGACTAGGACCCCATTGTGCTAGGTGCTATACAGACACAGAACAAAGACTCCTGCTCCAAAGAGCTTACAGCCTAAGGGCTTGTCTACACTTACAGCGCTGCTGTGGTGCAACTGCACAGTGGAGCTGCACTGCTGTGGCACTTAGAGAAGATGCTACCTATGCTGATGGGAGAGTTTCTCCCGTTGATATAGTGCTCTCTACACAGGAGTTAGGTCGGTATAACTACATCACTCTGGGGTGTGGAAAATTCACACATAGTTATACTGGCATAAGTAGATAGGGTAGACCAAGCCTAAGTATAAAACAAGAGACAACCAGTAGATACAGACAGATGGGAATGTGCAAGGAAGCATTGAGACAATAAGACCATGCTTTTCTATGAGCTTACACAGTCTTGTTTGGGCCTTGGTTGTTACAGAAATACAAAAACAGTTATATTAGTGGAGACGACTCTACTGTTGAGAAGGGAATCAAGCAGCTGGGCATGACTTTCAGTAGAATAGAGACAGGTTTCAGAGGAACAGCCGTGTTAGTCTGTATTCGCAAAAAGAAAAGGAGTACTTGTGGCACCTTAGAGACTAACCAATTTATTTGAGCATGAGCTTTCGTGAGCTAAAGTGAGCTGTAGCTCACGAAAGCTCATGCTCAAATAAATTGGTTAGTCTCTAAGGTGCCACAAGTACTCCTTTTCTTTTTAGTAGAATAGAGGGAGACGACTACCAGCAGGACTGGAAGACCAGACAGTAGGGAATCCTGGGGGAGGGGAAGAGGAACAGAACGAATGGTAATGAAATTGCAAAAGGAAACCATGTGATTTCCTTTTTAAAGAACAATGAAAATATTTGTTCAAGTGAGAAGTGGCTACATTCACCACAGGGATATATTGTTGTTATGAATGACATAATAGGTAGTCTGCAAAATCGAGACTAGGAGCTTAAGTGGTCCATGCAGTTGTGAATGGAATGTCGGGTGACCCATGAGATAATCTCTCTAAAGATGTGGTTCTCTGTTTGCTTAAGTGTGAGAACCCCAGAAATAAGTTGTCAAACAGGAGGGTTTGACAGTTAATTATTTCCATGATCAAACTGCTCTTTTTCTAACTGAAGTTAACTAGTCATCCTCCAGTCCTAGTGAATTTGTTTAGTCCAGGAGATTTAAAAGCTGGTGGTCTTACTGTATCTATAGCTTGCAAGAGACCTAGCTTGCTTCTGTACCGTACTATTACAAATGAAGTACTCTCCATTAAAATAATACATCATGTAGCATAAGGGTGTTTAAGGTGAATTTAAAAGCTTTTAAACACAAATTTTAAAAATATATACATTCTTAAACCACTAAAAAGAAGTGTCACACTGAAAAACATAACATTAAAATACTGTTTCCTCTGCAGCAGTTGACATCACAAGCAGTTAATGACAAATCCTTAAGTCTTTATCCAGACAAGTGATCAATGAATTGAATGAATGAGAACTGAGTAAAAGTTACTGGATGCTTGTGCTGTGTGTGTGTGTCTGTGATGTCCTTAACAAAACACAGAGGCCTGAACTTACACATTGGTAAGTAGGGAGAGGCGGCAATGACTTTCAGATACTTATTATATCTAAAATATATATTTGAAACACACTTATCTATAAATTAACCATTTGCATTCTAGACACACAGCATAGTTCTGAATATTGAGCTAATTTTCAGTCCTGATATTCTTCTGTAGATCAGAGTCAGTCTATTCTATGCCACCTTCATAGCATAAGGGTATGTCTACATTTGGAGCTGGGGGTGTGATTCCCATCTTCAGGAGACAAACTCACACAGGCTTTCATCAAGCTAGCACGCTAAAACTAGAATGTATCTGCAGCAGCATGAGCTGCAGGACAGGCTAGTCATTCTGAATATGTGCCCCTGAAAAACCCTAGGCACATCCTTGGGCAGCTAACCTGTCCTGCCTTCTGTTTGTAGCATGCTAGCTCAATGAAAGCTAGTGTGAGTTTGTCTCCTGAACATGGGAATCACACCCTCAGCCCCAAGTGCAGACATGCCCTTAGTTTGTCATTGAGTAGGCTAATATGCTTTAGTTAAATGGAGAAAATACCTATGTATTGTTTTTGTTTATTTAACAGTGACTGCACTTTCAACATCTCAGTTCTGTGTGGTCTAGACTATAGATTAGACTAAGGGACAGGGAATTAAGAGGCCTAAAATCTACTTCCTGTTCTGCCACTGACATGCTGACCCAGTGCAATTCACTTAACTGCCCTGTACCTCAGTTTTTCTATCTGCAAAATAGGTATAAGAATACCCATCTTTGTAAAGCGGTTTGGGATTCTCAGATTACATGTGCTATATGAGGGCAGAAAGGTGTTCATGCACTTTACACTTTTTACCTTTTGTTTAATTGTGTGCCTTTTGTATCATAACTTTCAAACACAGCAGAAATTCTATCTATTTTGGTTATTCAGCAGTGTCTCTAATGCCTTCTTTCAGTGTAGGAATCACAAAGTTAAGCGACTTTGGCTTTCTAAGCATGTACAACATAACTAGGAACATAACCATTTTATACGTCATGTCTTTGACAAACTCAGTAAGGTCAGATGTAGCGTTTTTCTTCCTTACCATATGTGATGTGATATTGTTAAAATAAGAGATGCTGACTTAGGAAGTCTTTATTTAGACGATATGAACATGTTAAAAATAAATTATTTTACTAATATTTTATGTGATGTAATTTAAATTCATTAACTGAAGATTCTGTACTTGTAATAATTCAAATACTTGTAATGTGTGAGGTTATTTGAGGATTAAAACTAAACTACTTTTTTCAGAAACTACATCTGACCAGAGTGACATTGAAGGCCGGATCAGGGCCTTAAAGGATGAGCTACGGAAGAGGAAGTCTGTTGTTTATCAGCTGAAAAAGGAACAAAAGAAGAGGCAGAAGGAGAGGCTGAAAGCCCAGGAGGCCAGTTTGATCAAACAGCTAGAGGTTAGGAACAGTTAGAAGAAGGGCTAAGTAACAAGTCAAACTGCTAGCATAGTATGAATTGGTATATTACAGTCAGTTGTTGAAGAAATCCTTTCTTTTGTGCTTATTGATACACCTTTTTATGACAGCAGCACCACCATTCTGGTACTGGTTTAAATATTTCCAATAATTCTACAGTAGCCCATGTGGTACTGATATGATGGACAATCCTCTTCAGGATAAAAGACTAATCCACCAGTAGCATGATGTTGGGGGAGGGGGGGAGTTTTGTTTTTGTTTTGTTTTTGTTTTGTTTTGTTGTAGTATATTGACTCAGACTTGACAGACACTTGGAGTCTATAAAAATAAAATATTAAAACTCCAGCCACTCGCAACTGAAGAGCTGTTTGTCCAATACACACATGAAAACTTCTTGCTTTGAGAGCAGTCTTCTAAAAGGAAAGGATGTGCTTTATTCATTTGATAACTTCTGTTTGCTGATTGATTTTTTCCAAGAAGTTGTGATTTGGAAAATTAACAATCTGAACTTTTTCACACTCAGTCTTACGATGAGTTCATAAAGAAGACTGAAGCAGAGCTGAGCCAAGACCTGGAGGCATCACCCACAGCTAAGCCTCAAATTAAAACTCCATCCTCATCTACTGAAAAACCTAAAATTAAGCCACCCCCACTCCATAGGTAACTTGGAAATCTCTTTGTAATTTAACATTACCTTGTTAGCATTTTTCTAGGTTAGCTGTACAAGTACAAATGCCTTTTCCAGAATATGCTACGGTTATAATATAAAGTAGTTGTGTGAAGATATTTCTGAATGAGCATGGAAGAAAAGTACAATCTGTGCAAGCTTCTCTGTTCCTCAGGTATTATGTACTTGGAGAACTTTAATCTAAACTAAACAAAAACATGTATTAGAATGTAGGGGGTGTGTGTGTGTGTGAGAACACTCAATAGCATTTTGGTGGAAGGGAGGAAGTTGATATCTCAGAAAGTGCAGCATATAGGTATAGGGGAAAATCACAGGGAGGAAACCTGAAGACCACAGCTCCCTAGGCCACTGGAGAATGGCAGTGTGTTGATGCCTTATGCTAGCCCAGTCAGCAGACACATCATCATACAGACAAGCATTGTATGAAGTTCCCATGCACAGTGTCAGTGTATTCTATTCTTGTCCTACCTCATCCTGGTGTCCTAATCTAGGGTTTTTCTGAGCAACAGCAGCTCCTGCCTGTATGGAATTGTGACAAATATTATGGATGGCTTTCTAACCTGGACAGTTCTCTTCCTGGCCCCCTGTGCAGGCATCTCCCCGTCCCTCCTGTAGAAGTCATTCATACTTATAACTTAAACCTAGTTTACAACCCAGGGTTTCAGAGGTAAACAGTGCATTAGCCCACTACACCTCTTGGTGTATCTCCTTGTGGTTCTGTTTCCCACCCCAAGAGATGGTACAAAAAATCCCACTGGCCTCTCAGTAGTAGGTTTACATGCTCTCAACTGCAGAGGGTAATATTTCTTTAAGCTAATCTTTATTAGAAAGAAATCCTCCCCAGAATATATCGATTGCACGCATACATACACCCATCTTTATAATTACTTTCTATATTCATCTCACCTTTAATGTACTCTTGCATTGGGGTACATGATTCTGTAATTATTGCTGTTTGCATTTACACTATGACTAGCGATTCCAACATCTGGAACATTGGTGGTTCACTTTATTGACTTTTCAACCCTAGGCCGGAGACAACCAAGAATTGGAAATCACTGACTGAGTCAGAGCGGTCCAGAGTATCTTTGGAATCTATTGCAGAGCATGTTGGTATGTATTTGGAAAATAAATGCTGCAGATGGAGGCATCCTTTCATAAATCTTGAAGAATTCTATTACTTTACCGTGTTTTGAAAAATATCCATTCTTTCATAACCTCTCACTGTTTGCTTCAAGGTGAGAAGGGATTTAGAGAGAGAGTGGTTAAGTCAAAATTGAATGCATAGTACACACTTTTTCTTTATAGTTGTATTTTTTTTCACATTTACATTTGTTTTGATTCTAACATTAATCTTCTGAAGATCAAATTTCACTATTCCTCCCCTTAGCTGTAAAGCATCTTAGGTCTCTTCTTTTAAGAGACTTTAATAATAAACAGCCAAAACATAGTGGAAAGAAAATGGTAAATTTTAGAAGAATATTTTAACTAAGAAGAAATGGTAGCATCTTGGCTTTTTCTTCTTGCTGTATCACTTCAACTTAGGAGACAGCAAAAGCAAACAATGTGCTGAACCACAGATATTTGGTTCTATCCTTGCTGAGACTCATGTGAAACATCAAAAGTATGACAACTGTTTTTCTTTTTGCCTTTTGTGTTCCCCAGTATCATATAATTTGAGAACACTGCCCTTGAAGAAGCCAAAAACAATGAAAGATTTCCTTTTTATGTTCAGATATTTTTCAGTGGTTTACTATTAATCTTTATCTCTCCACATACATTTATAACCTTGTTTACCTTTGTGACCTCCAGACAAATACCTGAGCTTTTACCTCCTATAACAAAGTCCCATTCCACAATAATAACTTTTCACAGGACAGCGGCAGAGGTAGGAGGTTAGAAAGAAAACTATGGAGACATAATACATACGGAATACGGAGGATGCTGTTATTATTTACAGGACAGTCCAGGAGCCTGTGAAACTTTCCCAGCTCCCTGCTAATATCCTTTAGTCTCAAATCTTTTGACTGAACAGCTGTTTAACTTTGGCTGCAGTTTCCCAACAAAATAACAGGCATTCCTGATCACACCTTGCTCTGATAGGATTAAAAGGTAGCAAAAGATTATTCTGGATGATTTAGCATTGTGATGATTAATCTTTTTCATTTAAGATGCTGTATCATCAAGTTCTGAGAGGTCTGTGTCTGTACACATCAAGAGACTCATTGACTCAGAGGTTCATATAGAAGAACCTTCCCGAACCCTGTCCCCGGTCTTCAAGTCCCCAAGGAGATCTAGAGCTGAATCTGGTGATTCCTTGGACAGTGTGCCCTCATTAGCTCTTCTCAAAGATCTAAGAGATAGTGGCAGAGTATCCCATGTGTTACTGAGCAAGTCAGAAGATGTATCCAGTGATGATATTGTGTCCAATCACAAATCTGATATACAAGAGGAGATGGAGTACATAAAATCAGAAGAATCCGAGGTTGAAGATGTTAATAATAAACATTCAGAGAGTTCTGGTGCCTTGTTGATGCTAGATATACACCAGGAAATCTTACCAGAAGTCCTTCCAAAGAGAGATCTCCACTCTGACACTGAACAGTCTCAGAAGGAACTATTTAGCATGACTGCTGAAAATATTCAGAGTAGAGCAGAGATCTCAAAACAGAGAGAGGCAGTCAAAGATGATGCAGGGAGTGATCAAAGTGACAGATCAGAAAAGTCCTCTCTCAGCTTGAACAAGTGGGCACTGGAAAAAGACTTCTCTGTTCCAGAACAAGTTTTTACTCAAAAAGAGCCATCATACTCTGAAGATTTTTTGGGGTCCCCCCCCAGAAAAGAGACATCAGTTGAAGAAACTCCTTCTGCTAAATGTTACAAAGACGATTTTGAGAAGCCTACACTGTCACACAGAAAAGATTCTCAGTCACTTAGAGAGAAATCACAGCATTCAAAACCTCCTAGAAGCAGATCCACCAGCCTTGGCAGTGAAGATGAAATCAGTGAATATCTCAGTGACAAGTCTCTCTCTGTCTCTGGCAGTGTGCATTCAGAGAAATTGCTAGAACTCAAGTCACCAACAGAGCTCATAAAAAATAAAGAACGCAGTGATGTGGAGAAAGAACAAGCCCCCATCGAATCACCACTTTGGGCCTCAATTTCTATCACAGAAGAAGCAAACACACTGGTAAATTTCAATATTGGTGACAGGATACTTGTGAGTAACATCCAGCCTGGAACATTGCGATTCAAAGGTCTGACCAGTTTTGCCAAAGGGTTTTGGGCTGGTGTGGAGCTGGATAAACCTGAAGGAAACAACAATGGGACTTATGATGGTATTAAATATTTTGATTGTAAGGAAAAGCATGGTATTTTTGCTCCTCCTGAAAAGATCTCTCACATTTCAAAAAGTTTTGATACCTATATAGACATGAATGAAGATGAAGACTCATTCTTTGATGACAGATTGGGTCAGCACTACAAATCCGAGCAGAAAGACAAAGAAAGTTCCAAATCTGGCAAAGTTGAAGAAAGCAAGGGAATAGATGCAACTGAGAAATCATCCCAAGATAAAGCTCCACCAGGCATGACTGCTTTAGAAGGCTCTATTGGGCAAAAAGTCGATGATTACTCCAGTTCTGAAGTAAACCACATAAAGGAGGTTTTCACAGCTGTTAGACCGCTTGCCAAAGAGCAGTCTGTGGTGGACTGCCTGAAAGATGCTGTAAAAGATGAGACTGTCCATGCACTGTCTGTTTCTACTATAGAAAATGTTACCACCGTTCTATTGAAGGGTACCTTAGATGGTATATTGTCTGAAAAGCTGGAGGGGCAGCAGTCCTCAAGGGAGGAATGTACTGAAAAGTCAGATAATTTCTCCTCTGAAGTTTTGGAAAAACCTGGAACTCCACTTCTGGACCTATTGACCAAGGAAAAGAATCAATTAGAGGCCCAACTTAGACTGCCTCTTAGAGAGGAAGAGAAGTCAAAAGACCAGCTAGAAAAGGTCTGCTTGTTGACAGACAGTCTACTTAAGGATTTTGTTAAGGACACTGTCAATCAGCTACAGCAAATCAAGAAGGTCAGGAATGAGAAGATTCATCTTAGCAATCAGGAGCTCTGTGATGTCCAAGAGGAATTATCATCCAGAACCCCAGCCCAGCATGTGGAGGAACAGGTAGCAAAGGGCCTGCAGAACTTTTTTTTAAGTCCTGAATTGGAAGATGAAAGAGAAGAAGTTTCCTCTCCGGATATGTGTCCCAGACCAGTGAGTATATAGCTTGCACTGATTTCAGAAGCTAATATATTAATTGTTTATTTGATAATTATTGAATCTGAAGATTTTGTTTTCTACCAATTTTGTTCCTCCCAAGTGTTTTCAGGTGGCCTCCAATATGTGTCTCACTTTATGGTACATTCTGAAACATTTTGGGGATTTACAAAGATGTATGAAACACCTACTCATATCACATGAAAAACTAAAAAATATTCTACTTAGAGAGCATTCTGCTTACATATATCATATTTTCTGCATTAGCCTACCCTGTTTTTCATAATCCTAATTGAATTTGCATGAATGCTGACTCTTGTATTTGTAGAGTAAGTTTGTTTCTGCTTACTCTCCATATGAAATAAGCATCCTCTGACCTTACAATTAGTTGCTATAGAGATCCTTAAGATATCAAGCTGCTAAAGGTGCTGGGTTAACAGCTCTCTGATAGGTGAAGTTATATATCCACTGGACAGATATATCATGAACAGTGAAAGTTCAAGCTTCCCCAGAACCACCTCTAAGGGTAAGAAGATAAGATATGGCCTCTTTGCTGAGGCTCCTAACAAAGTTGACAACTGTGGTTATATTCTCGATATGTTACTATCACAAAAAGCACCAGCTCGCTTTCACATGGGCCACCAAACAGCCATCAGCTTGTAATGGCTTTTTGTCTACTGATTTAAGCTAGATCAGAGGTGGGCAAACTATGGCCTGTGGGCCACATCCAGCCCGCGGGACTGTCCTGCCCAGCCCCTGACCTCCCGGCCGTGGAGGCTAGCCCCCGGCCCCTCCCCTGCTGTCCCCCCTTCCCCGCAGCCTCAGCTCACTGCACCGCTTGCACAGTGCTCTGGGTGGCGGGGCTGTGAGCTCTTGCCAGGTAGCGCAGCTGCAGAGCCACGGCCTGACCTGGTGCTCTGTGCTGCATGGTGGCGTGGCTGGCTCCAGCCGGGCAGCACAGCTGTAGCGCCGCCAGCCATCAGTGCTCCAGACAGCATGGTAAGGGCGTTGGATAGAAGGCAGGGGAGTTCGGGGTGGTGGTCAGGGGGCAGGGCTGTGGATAGGGGTCGGGGTGGTGGTCAGGGGGCAGGGCTGTGGATAGGGGTCGGGGCGGTTAGAGGGCAGGAGTTCCGGGGGGGAGGCGGTCAGTAAGAAGAGCGGGGGTTGGATGGGACAGCAGGGAGCAGTCAAGGGCAGGGGTTCCGGGGGTGGTCAGGGAGAAGGAGTGGTTGGATGGAGCAGGGGTCCTGGGGTGGGGGCAGTCAGGAATGAGAGGAGGGTTGGATGGGGCGGTGTGGGGCAGTCAGGGGTGGGGGGTCCAGGGGCGGTCAGTGGACAGAGAGGGGTGGATGGGGCACGGGTTCCAAGGGGGCCATCAGAGGACAGGGAACAGGGGGTTGGATGGGGCAGGAGTCCTGGGGGGACCGTCAGGGGGCGAGAAGCAGGGGGCGTCAGACAGGGGGCGGGGGCTGCGCTACCCCTGGCTGTTTGGGGAGGCACAGCCTCCCCTAACTGGCCCTCCATACAATTTTGGAAACCCGATGGGGCCCTCAGGCCAAAAAGTTTGCCCGCCCCGAGCTAGATTTTTACTGGTTGTAAGTGAAGTGAAAAGTTACATATTCCATTTCCAAACTGTTGAGGCACCCAGCCCCTCCCAAACAAATTAGTTTCAGGGCAGAATGAGCAACAGGAACAGATGATCTATTTTTAAAAATGTTTCTCTCTGTTGTAAATTCCCTAGTAACTTTTCAAAAACATTGGGGAAGATATGATGAAAGTGCAGGTATAGGAGTAGAATCAAATGTTTCCAGTGGTTTGGGTTTTTTGAGATAATTATTCAAAAATGCTTTATATACACAGACAATCATATCAGAAGTACATTTCAAAATCTAATTATAAGAAGTGTTTGATGGGAAATAGAGTACATTACTGCTCTGAATAGTAATTCTGTTTCTTATTCCACAGGAAAGTCCAGTGTTTGGTGCCAGTGGACAGGAAGAGCTTGCAAAGAGGCTGGCAGAACTGGAGCTCAGCCGGGAATTCCTGAGTGTGTTAGGAGATGATCAAGACTGGTTTGATGAGGACTTTGGCTTGAGCTCCCAAAAGGTCCCACAGAAGCAAACTGAAGAAACAGCGGTGTTGCCCAAGATAGAGCCACAAAAAGTGCCACCTAAGCCATGTGAGGAGCCTTTGGCTGTTCCACATACTGCAGTGGAAGTAGAAGGCATGGTGCATGCAGCAGCTGAGGAGCTGTGGAAGTTGAAAGAGCTGGGTCATGATCTTCAGAATATCAGCCTTCCCATAGACCTTGGTAATACCACCAAAGAGCAGGACATGGAAACTATAAGCAAACAGGTCTATAAACAGGTACAACCCTGGGGAACATTGATCTCATCCCCGGGATACTTGCTCTCAGAAGCTGAAGTTTTAATTTTGACCTTTTTCTTTTTGTCAAGGCGGTATTTGACTTGACGAGAGAGATTTTTCGGGAAATCTTTGCTGAGGATCCTAGTCTGAATCAACCTATTTGGATGAAACCATGTAGAATTACCTCCACTTACTTCCGGCGAGTAAAAGATCCAAACGACCTTGACGAGATCAAGGTAGGAAAGATGCTATTAAATTGTGACTGTCCTCATATCATATAATGTTTATATAGCATTTTTTCATTTGTAGCCCACAAAATGCTGAATGTAGGTAGGCAAACATTACCTGGATTTTAACAGATGTAGCATTTGAGCACAGAGAGGTTTCAAGAGTGGTTCTTCGCTGAAAAGCAAGTGTTTAAAGATGGTAATTTTTTTTGTTCAACAGATTTACCACCCTCTCTTTCTGGGTTGTATTTGTTGACTTTAGTGACTTTAAAAAATTTCCTTTACTGCAGATCTAACACCTTAGTCCTGCAGTCTGATCTGTGTGAGCAGATCCATACACCTATGCAGACTTCAGTGGGACTTGATGTAAGGGTCTATTGTCATGGATCTGGTTGTGGGATTGGGGCTAAAAGACTGAGCTGGATTTTATACTTTACTGTGCATCATAGTTGTATGCTAAACTTCAATCAGATACACCTGTGCCAAACCCAGTGAAGGCAATGGAGTTGCACAGATAGACTAAGGGTATGATTTGAAGATGAAATGGGTGCACTGCTGTAACTAAGGGCCTAGTTTGGTCTGCAGACTTTTTATTACTGGTGATAATGCTCAAGAAAGAAAAAACTCAGCTTGTTGCTGAACCCAGATTGAATTTACAGGGCTGTATGTTAGAAAAAAACACGTGTCAAACTAGCACTTTTCATATGGAAATCATTAGGACACAAACAAGGAATATCCCCTGCTTCCAGTGCTGTTATTCCAAAGTTATTTTTCAGAGTAGAACGGCATTTAAAGTAACTTGCCCAAGATAACACATTGAATCTTTGGCAGAGTCATGGACAGAACCTAGGTCTACCAAGCCATAGCTGTCCCTGAACTGTTAATAGCAGGGAAGAATAAAGTTAAAAGGATAAAGGACTGTCAGTCTCTAACCCTATTTTCCTACAGTGTCCTTTCATAAACTGAATTAGTTTTAGTCTCCAGTTTACTGTATCATTAAGTGAAAGTTGTGCTCTACAATCAGTCAAAGCTCTAAGGGCTAAAAAAAATTCAGCCCTTTTTTAAATATAGTATACTCTCTGCATAATAAGAAAAGGAGTACTTGTGGCACCTTAGAGACTAACCAATTTATATGAGCATAAGCTTTCGTGAGCTACAGCTCACTTCATCGGATGCATCCGATGAAGTGAGCTGTAGCTCACGAAAGCTTATGCTCAAATAAATTGGTTAGTCTCTAAGGTGCCACAAGTACTCCTTTTCTTTTTGCGAATACAGACTAACACGGCTGTTACTCTGAAACCTGTCATCTCTGCATAATGTTGTCTCTAAGATAGGGTTATTGCTCAGTGCTTCCACTGTAAATCTCTTGCACTGCAATGTACATCTCACAGTGAAACAGAAGTTCACCCTGTATTTTAAGATCAGATTTTGAAGGGCAGGTGCTCGGTACAGGATTCACTTCTTCCCTCAAATACAATATTAACTCTTTTTTTCTTTTCTTCCTCTAGAGTTTCATTGCAACTGAAGTGCTGAAATTGTTCAGCTTGAGGAAGGAACCCAATCACAAAACAGATTGGCAGAAGATGATGAAGTTTGGACGCAAGAAACGGGACAGAGTGGATCATATACTGGTCAGTGGATAAAAGCATTCAGTAGTTTGATTGTATTCTATTCCCTGAATACAAAGGGTGTGTTAGTTATATCTCAAAAGAAGGCATGAATCTTTTGACAAAAGGTTGTTAATCCTAGGTGCACAATTTAGAACTAATATTTAAGTTCCATATGGTCCACTTACATTTTTGTCTTTTTGGGGTATTTGCAATGAACAAAATAACTTTTAAACAGATCATTGTGTGTGGGTAGTGAGGGTAAGCAAAGGAGAAAGTTGAGAAGCATCAAATATTAAAACCATTAATTTAAACAGTGAATTTGTTACAATGTAAAATGCATAACTGAAAGGAGAACATTTTTTATTTGGACCAAAAATGGTATTCCTACCTGTCACAAATTCTCGGAGAAGGACTGGCTTTCTGCCTTGATGAACCAAATTATTTATTTTTTAGTAATGTTGTTTCCACTGTGACAAGTGATACTGAAATCCAAATAGATTAAGCTCCTTCCCATGACAGAATTCTGATATAGCATTTCTTGGCTTTTTCAAGACTTCTGCAGTTAAGACCAGTATAGAGTTTGAAATAGGATTGTAATTTCAAAGTGACTAGATCTTCTTCATTGTACTGTGGTAGCAGCTATGCCACATGGTACACTCAACATGTTCTCTAAGCCAGCATTGAGCAGCATTGCTGCTCCTATAATACCTATGCATGTAAACTCCGATGAACAATATATGCTGCCAACACTGGTTCAGGGATGGAGGATAACTCATGGGGGCAAGCTTTTTAAAGCTGATCCTTGGGTGGTTTTACTGAATGGTTGGGGTCTCTCTCGTCTGTGATGAGTCTACTTGGCAACATAAGAGTTGCCAACGCATTGCATTTATCTTAACTATATCCTAAATTGATATATAAAATTACCAGTTAATTCAAACAATGGATATCTTCAGTCTTTTGTTCTCCCACCTGTGGAAGATTTCCCAGCAAAGCATTAGGAAGACTTTTCCGCCAGGGACAAAGTTGCACCTTAGCTAGGTAAAGGATTTAAAGTTAGGGTCAAGTATCCTGGGATATCTGGGCCTTATTAGTACATGTGTTGTAACTAATATCATTTGTAATAAGCTAAAGTACAGCCACATTAGGTATGGAACATGCAGCTGTTGTGTGCCTGCACCAGCTCACTGTACCAGCTTTCAGTTGTTATGAATTAGTCTCAATTGGAAACATTCAAAAAAGTGAATCAGGTTGAATGAGGTTGAAATTCAGGCACTAATGTACAATAGTCTGAGACCTTCCAGATTTCATACAAGAATTCAAGTGTCAAAGGTTAAAACACTTCAATCAATATATTTTAATAAATAAGGTCTGACAAGCCTGTGTTTCATCCCACCTCACTCTCACAGAGAAACAGAGGTAAAACAACCACCATTTTAGCTGAAGGCTGGGAAAAATATGGAAAAACAAACTCTATACTATACTGTTTGCTTTAGGAATTGGCATTGCTCAGTGACATTGTTGCTAAGCTTATCATTGCAACGTAAGCAACCAAGAGAGAAACTTCTAGCTTAGAAAAAGTAGCCAAACCCTGGAAAACTTCTATAAACATATTTGTTAAAACCTCTTTAAACTGTTAAGCAGCTGTTTAGCTTTCTTTGTTTCCTAATCAGCCTCCAGCTTCTGCCACTTTTGTTTATGTGGTCATGAATCGTGAGAATACAAATACTGGATCATGGCAGCATCACTAACTGAATCAGGGGCATTGCTAAATAACAGTGTTCAAAAAGAAATAGAACATGATGATTTAAATGGCGTTTCGAAAACCCCGTTTCATGTTTTCCTGAGTATGGCAATAGTCTATTAAAGGAACAAATCAAATTTGGTTCAAAATTTAGATTTTGTAGACGTTTGTTTTCATCTGTGTTCTTAAGTATAGGTGTATTTAACAAATGTATCTCTGCAACTCAAATCCTGTCTGTCCTGCTCTGGAGTGCCTCACAGCTGAGTGCCAGCCTCAGTGCAGATACCCCAAACTGGTAGCGTGTTTGCCCGTAACAAGTGTGAACTCCCGGACCGCTACCAGTCTTACCATAGAGTCACAGACAGTCCCCTTGGATCTCCAGGGCATCTTGCCACCCAGACAAACTGGACTTTGTGATAAAAGGTAACTCAAACCAAAAATCATGTCACACAAGGTTGCTCCCAGTCCCAAGAGACCTCCAGATCAGTTGGTATTCTACATTTTACACCAAAGGCTACACTTGCAGCCAATTCTATTTTAAATGACCTAAAGGTTTATTAGCTAAGAAAAGGAAATGAGAGTTATTAGCAGGTAAAATATATGCACAAGTGAGTCACTCTTTGTAATTCCAAATGGTGACAGTCATGTAATAAACTGGCAGTTTCCCAAAAGTCTTTTCAGGGTACCCAGATTGTCTCTGGGATCTCCACTTTGCATCTGGTACACATCCCAAAAGTCCAGAGATGAATGATCTTTCCTTTAATCCATTCTTAAAGCTTCTTCTCACAGAAATCAAGCTGACAGGGTCACTATTCACGTGGCCTTTTCCTTTGATGACAGAGGGTGAGGAATGCATTTTGAATCTTTGACCTGCGATCATCATGATGACCACTTGCTTTGAAATTAGCACTTTTCTGTTAAAGTTCTTCATTTGCATTTCAAAAGGCTTCTTTCTTGTCTGATGGGTTATTTAGTTACAGTGGTATTTACAATATAAATGTTAGCTATTGCATTATAACAGGATACGAATAAGTGAAAACAATGCAAGTAACAACCCATTAGTTTTTCATTAAGTTTAAATGCCAGATACACTCTTATACATTAACAATTACTTTGATCTATACTAATACAAAAGTGAATTGACCTGTGGCTTCAGCATCAGCTGGCACCTGCTCTGCCAGTGTCACATAGGAGAATATAGAAGTTAAACTGTAGTTAGTCTGTTTATAATGGCTGATTTATTGTCCAAATTTGATTTGCTCCTTATAAAGGACTATTGAAGTGCAGAAACATAAACTAAACATAGTGAAAATTGAGTTATATTATAATTATTTTCATTTTTAATAATGTGAGGCAGAGATTCTAAAACTTTCATTGCCTGAAATAAGATATTAGTAGAGTCTCTTGCAGGCTTCTTCCCTTCCCATTCATAATTGTGTAACATCCTGTGACAATTACAGCAATTGCTTACTTGGAAAAGTATTCTTAGTAAAGTGTGTACTTTTGGCTGTATTAAATATAATGTAGCAGCTGGAAACAAGGAGAGCCACCACCTTGTGACCATCCAGCACACTGGGAACCACAATTTGGAGACCACCGGTGTAATGTGTTTGTAATATAGGCAAGGAAATTTGTTGTGCGTTCCTCTTCTCCCAGCCTACCAAAAAAGACAGTCAATTACATATAGTGTTGTGACTTTGCGTACCAGGAAGCAAAGAGGCAATAATTCTGTCAGGCAAGCCCTGCATGTAAGGCCCCATTTCAGAGATTTCTCTTTGCTTTTGTTTTTCCCTCTGTTCCTGTTTCCTCTTGCCCAGCTTTATCTTTCCTCTTTTCCTCATTTCTAAGCCCAGAACTGAAGAAAAGGACAAGTACAGTTGTTGGGTTTAGTGCTGGGTGGTGTTGGTGGTCTGTGATATACAGGAGATCAGACTAGAGATCTGGTGGTCCCTTCTGGCCTTAAACTTCATGACTCTACACAGAGAGGGGGCACAAAATAGACCTCAAAAAGAGAGCAGAAAAAACGAGTTTTTCCTAATGTCCAACCTAAACCTCCCTTGCTGCAATTTAAACCCATTACATCTTGTCCTCTCCTCAGAGGTTAAGAAGAACAGTTCTTCTCCCTCCTCCTTGTAACCCCTTTTATGTACTTGAAAACTGTTATCATGTCCCCTCTCAGTCTTCTCTTCTCCAGACTAAACAAACCCAGTTTTTTCAATCTTCCCTCGTAGTTCCTGTTTTCTAGACCTTTAATCATTTTTGTTGCCTTTTTCTGGACTTTCTCCAATTTGTTCGCGTCTTTCTTGAAATATGGCACCCAGAACTGGACACAGGAGGCCTAATACTCCAGTTGAGGCCTAATCAGCACGGAGTGGAAGAATTACTTCTTGTGTCTTGCTTACAACATTCATCCCAGAATGATGTCTGCTTTTTTTTTTTTTTTTTTTTTTTTTGCAACAGTGTTACATTGTTGACTCATATTTAGCTTGTGATCACTGTGATTCCCAGATCCCTTTCCGCAGTACTCCCTTCCCAAGCAGTCATTTTCCCATTTTGCATGTGTGCAACTGATTTTCCTTCCTAAATGGAGTACTTTGCATTTGTCCTTATTGAATATCATCCTATTTACTTCAGACCATTTCTCCAGTTTGTCCAGATCACTTTGAATTTTAATCCTTGCAGCCCTTCCCAGCTTGGTATCATCCACAAACTTTATAAGTGTATAACCAGTTTTGCACCCACCTTATAGTAGCTCCATCTAGGTTGCATATCCCTAGTTTGTTTATGAGAAGGTCATGCGGGACAGTTTCAGAAGCTTTACTAAAGTCAAGATATACCATGTCTACCACTTCCCCCCCATCCACAAGGCTTGTTACCCTGTCAAAGAAAGCTATCAGGTTGGTTTGACACGATTTGTTCTTGACAAATCCCTGCTGACTATTACTTATCCCCTTATTATCTTCTAGATGTTTACAAATTGATTGCTTAATTATTTGCTCCATTATCTTTCCAGGTACTGAAGTTAAGCTGGCTGGTCTGTAATTCCCTGGGTTTTTTTTATTCCCCTTTTTATAGATTGGCACTCTATTTGCCCTTTTTCAGTCTTCTGGAATCTCTCCCGTCTTCCATGACTTTTCAGAGATAATCACTAATGGCTCAGATATCTCCTCAGTCAGCCCTTTGCGTATTCTAGGATGCATTTCATCAGGCTCTGGTGACTTGAAGACATTTAACTTGTCTAAGTAATTTTTAACTTGTTCTTTCCCTATTTTAGCCTCTG